GTCATTGTATGTCTGGTTATCAGATTCTTCTCCTTGGGGCAGGTTTCTAAGCTCTGTCACTCACATGTCTACAGTTCGATTTTGCTTATTATAGTTGGCACACGGCTCTTTGTTTGCAGTCACTTGTGCCACACTCTCCAGAGGGTTTCAGGTCTGGGTTCTTATGTTAGGATTCTGCCATGGTCTCCATTGTCCCAGCTCCTGGCTCACCAGTCTCCACCTGCTATGATACCTTACTGAGGCTGCACCATTTTCTGTACAACCTTTCTCCCACTTCCAGTTGTAGTAGTTCTCAGGAATATGGAGACAGCAGGTGTCCTATATAGCTAGGTTGTTGGTGGAGCTGATCTTGCCAGAACCTGTTGGTCTGAGGGCCACATGGAACTATTTTGACCGGTACGATGCCATAGTCTGTACTATATTCCTGTGGGACCAGAGCAATGCAGTGCATGCACAGCTCACTTTTGTCCCTGCAGTCTTAAAGTCTTCACCACACTGTAAGAAATGGTGCGTGATGTGCCACTACTAGAGTTCTTGATCTGCTGGCCATCAGGTCTGAGGGCTACCTGGACCTGTCTTGCATGGAATCTGTCGGATGCCACCTTGTTGCAGTTCACTGAGTCAGAAATGTGTTCATTCCCAGCTCTGTACATGCACAATCCTGCCTCATAGCCCTTGCCTCCCTGTCTTAAATGGTGTGTGATACGGCTCTAGGGGGTGGACTGGGCTGGGAAATCCACCCTGTTCTTGCACCACCCGTCTGGGACCTGACATTCTGCCTCTGCTCCTAGTCATATAAAACAGACCAGCAGGACTGGAAGCTCTTTGTCTGGGTTCATCTCTGAAGCTCCCAGCACACATCCCTTCTGCAGATGGAGTTCAGATCGCTGTTAGCTGAATGCTGCTGGGGTAGCAGTCACTGCAACACCACACCATCGTTTCCTCTGCTTTTCTGTGTCTGTCAGTCTCCAGGTGCCCCTCTGCTGTTGTTCTGTCCACTTCAATTCCTGAATGTGCCCTCTCTGCTTCACACTGGGTAATATTTCTCCATCTGTTTAAACGTGTCCTTACCCTATTCCACCATCGTGAATTCTCCTATGACAGCATTTTTTATTTAAAAGTATGACTCCCAATTTATGCTTCTTTTCACACAGCACATGGAAGATAACAAGGTAAGAATCTTGTTTAGTCACTCCTCTAAGATAACAACATAATGCGGTTAAAGATGTGGACTCTTGAGACAGACTGCAAGTTCAAATGCTACTTCTTTTAAGATTTATATATCTTTATTAGAAAATCAGATTTACAGAAAGAAGATACAGAAAGATCTTGCTTTCACTGATTTACTCTTCAAATAGCCACAATGGGTAGAGCTGAGCCAATCTGGAGCCTGGAGCCAGGAGCCAGGATCATCTTCTGGGTCTCTCATCTGAGTGCAGGGACCCAAGGTTTTAGATCATGCTCAATGGTCTTCCTAGGCCACAAGCAGGTATCTGGATGGGAAGTAGGGTAGTTGGGACATGGATTGGTGCCAAATGGGATGCCAGCACCTGTAGCTGGAGGATTAGCCAATTGAGTCATCATGTAAGTCCAAATGTTACTTCTGCCAATCACTAACTCATAATCTTGCCAATCTCTCTGTATGTGAGTCCTAGGTAGACAATCAAGTAAAGTTTTGTACATTGTATTCTTGAGATATTATTTGGATACTCAAGTGCAAATGTAAATTTCACAGCCTAGAACTCAATGGTAAAATTCAACCTAAGTATTGTCAGAAGTTGGGCTATATTTAAGGCCATGGAATGAGATAACTCCTTTCAGGAGCTGGTGTCTCCAGTAGAGATCAGAAGGTACTACACAAAGGAGCTGTTAGCTGTGTGGAATGCTAAAGATGGAAACAGGTCAAATATACTGATTGAAAACTACCCATATAAGCTGTAAATATTGTTTTGACATGTCTAGGGGTAGTTACAGCCAGAAAAAAACTTAAAAAAGATGAATAAAAAAAAAGAGTTCAAAGAAAGAAGGGGGAAAAAAGAAAAAGCAAATTTACATGTTTTCTAAGTCCTGCTGGCAAACAGAAGCAGAAAAATGTGGCAATCCTGGCAACGAGGTCCTCTTCCATGAGGTATGAAAGTCATTTTTACCCAACGAAGGTACTGACAATTTTCAGGCTGAAGGATCACAGTTCGCTTCAACTGAGTTAATGTGTCTTTTCAGACTAATGCTCAGCTTTGTAACTAATGATCTCTTGGTTATTTTTTAAAAGAGTAGCAATGGCTTCTAATAAGATGTAAAGAACTAAGCATTTTTACTCAACTGGAATAGTGATTCCTCATACTAGAAAATTTACAACTTTGTCAGCCTCCAACTCTAGTTTTGCCGAGCTGTATTCTTTTCAGTGTTGATGTCACTCAGCATGGTGTTTTCAAAGAAGGCACATATCAACCTGTGTTTTATTTCCTTTTAATCATTATGGGTACCCAAAACTGTGATATTCTTAAGTTATACTTAAACAAGAGATATTGATTTCTTTATAGATTTGGAGGCTGGAAGTGCAAGGTGTCAGTCGGGTTGATTCCATGTTTCTTCCCTGTCTTGCATAGCTACCTTCTTTATCATCCCATAGTCTTTTCTCTGTGGTCTGCATCACTGGTGTCTCTGTATGCTCAGTGTTTCTTACAATGATGGCCAGAGTGAAGTAGGACTCTCCTTAAACACTTGGCTTAACTTCATCATCTACTTGAATGCCCTATCACCAAGGACTTCCTGAGGTACCGGGCACTAGACATTCAATATAAAAATAATGAAAAGGTAATTCAGTCCTTCTTTGCAATGTTTCAGTAGTGGTACTTATTTTAAAAAGGCTAAAGGAAAAAGAATCCTACTAGAAGCAGCTTGACAACCAGGAGCAAAAAGCATTGATTTGGATCAAATCAGAGCAAGAAAAACAAATTAACATGTTGATTCTCCAATACTATGTGCTTAGTTTCTATAGGTGACCCAGCGTACATATGTGCAGGTATTTATAAATATACATACATACATGGCATGCTTCAAACATTTCCTGGAGAATGGAGTTCAAAGGTATTTATTTTGATGCAACTTTTTGAAATCAAAAGGTAGATGGGTTCCCCAAAAAGTTCATGAATCTAGAAAAGCCTAGTGGTAGTTATTACTCCAACTTCTCATCACAGAGGAGCATATTGGCTTCTGAATTTAAACTAATCCTAAGATCTCTCAAACCTACAGACATATTTGAATGATTGAGTTGCAGGAAGAGTTCCCACCTACCAGGGCAGTCTCCAAAAACCACCAAAGCGGTTTGTCCAGAGCAGGAACTGAGAGCAAGTTATGTGAGCTAAGAAACCTACATATAAGGCAGGAACCCAATTACATGAGTCATGAGCATGATCTCCCAAGGAATGAACTGGCACCAACTAGGAGTTGGATCTGGAATGTGAAGTTTTCATTTTATGTGAACAGAATACATAATTACAATATAACAAATATTTCAAATAAAAAATAAATTCATAAAATAACTGTGGGACTCCAAATATGAGCTTCAGTTAACATGAGTAACTTCTGTGCTCTGTATTTCTGCTTAGAAATAAATGTGCCTATTAATTTCTTTAGTGAAACATAGGTCATATGGTAGCATTTTTTCAAGAAGGATATACGCAGAGAAAGATCTTCCTTACGGTGTTTCACTCCCAAAGTGGCTGTAATGGCTGGAACTGAATCGATCCTAAGCCAGTGGCCAGGAGCATCTCCCACACGGGTGCAGGGTTCCAAGGTTTTGGGCTGTCCTCCACTGCTTTCCCAGGTCACAAGCAAGGAGATGGATGGGAAATGGAGCAGTGGGATATGCACCAGTGCTCAGATGGTATCCCATGCACGCAAGGTGAGGATTTAGCCACCAGTAGATTGTGTTAGGCCCTTCACAAAGGTTTTGATTTTCCTTTTCATTTCTTCAGTGACTCATTGGTCATTCAGTAGCATGTTACTTAACTTCATCTTGTTGTGGATTTTCTATTTTTCTTCCTCTTGTTGATTTTATTTTCTGGCCTAAGGGGACGCATAGTAACTATGTAATAGAGACAATCATATCCAGGTGTAGATACAATGCAGGATGCATCTCCACTTCCAAAGATGGATTCCCAATGAAACTGTCAAATATATCTTGACAACAGGATGTTGCACTGTCTATACGGACAATGTCAGAATGCACTTAACAGCACAATGAGGGACTTAGGACTGTTTATGGAGTAAATTACAATAATATAGAGGAAATCAATGGGTGTAGGGGGCTAGGCAAGGAGAGAGGGCAAATCCCAGAACCTATGGAGCAGTATAATAGATTTAAAAAAGAAAAAAATGTATTACACACATGCTAGAAAAACGTTCATATTTTAAAAATTTGAGATTATTTGACACAACTGTTTTAAGTTTTTTTTTCCCAAATAATTGGCAATGCACACATCGTGGTTCATATTCTGATGATATGGTATATGCACTGATTATCTCTTCTCTGTAGTGCTTAAAAGAACTTTGATAAATAGGCAAGTATCTGGTGCTGCACATTATTAAAAATGCATTTGAAGCATGTTTTTGCAAAGCACAGCTCTATTTTAGAATTTAAAAAATTGTCAGAATAATGCAGACAGTACGTAGTATGCAGTATATAAGTCATATTTTTACTTCATTCTTATTTTGAGTCACTTTCTCCATGTTCCTTGAGGAATCATAAAGTAACGATTTATTTAGAAATCCAATATTTGCAAAGTCCAACAACTATTTTTAGCACTATAGGAATGAAAGAGTGTCATCAATTTATTCTGTGTGAACAATATTCATATTTCTGAGTTTGGAAAAAATGATAGGACCAGTTTGAAGTATTTATTAAATGGAAAAAGAATTTTTAAGGAGGGAAGATAATATTTTCACAGTAACCTTCCACACCTGAAAATAAGAGAAAAATAACAACCACATACAAAAGGTCTTGTGAAACAATTTTAATTTTTACTCAAAATATATGAGAGGTCATTAGCCCTTATCTTACACTTGAAAATGGGAAACAAGTGATCAGGGAAGGGAAGGAAACAGACACTGTTAGAACTTACGCTCCAGTTTCCAGAAAAGTCTTGATAAGGCAGGTTAAAAATTCTGGATACATTCCTACTGTCCACATTTCCAAACATTAATTCACATATGACTTTCTTTCATAAAAATATAAATATCATTCATTAGCAATGATAGTTAAGATCAGTTCTTCTTCCTAAATAGCACATTTTGCTTTAAAGGAAGGCTCCCTAAAGTGCCACCTCCTTTATAAACTGTCCTGCAGTTTTGCTTTTTTTTAAATTCCAATTTATTGGGATTTAATGAATAAATACCATCTATTCTTCATAAAATATTTTATCACCACAAACTACCCATATAAGTGGTCAGAATTTTACAATGTTGAAATTCATATATTTATCAGCACACTACTATACTATGATTTGATGGCCTAATGGATGGGCCTTTGTGTATACATAAATCCCAGATACAAAAGCATGTAAAACAGACGGGAGAGAGAACATGCACAGAAAAAAGCCCAGCCACACGAAATGCTTTTAATATAAACTCTTACCAAGCCTGAAAAAAGTTGAAACTGATGAAATGTGATGCTCCTAACATGAACTAAATGATACTGCCTCCTTAGAAAAATTGCCAATCTAACTGCCTCGTTAACGTGGAAACAAAACTAGAGCTGTGTCACTATTCCCAGATACATGGAAGAAACCACTTCATTGCTACAAAACAAAGATAATGATAGCCAGGTTGAAAGATGAACAAGTGGCTCTTAAATGTGCAGAAGTGTTAAATTATCCTCAGAGAAAGACACTACAACTTTACCTAACGAGAAATAAACATAAACTACATAAAAATCACACAACAACAACAAAACACTGTGATGATTAGATTTGCTCGTACCAAAAGGATACTTATGAACTTAAAAATGTTGTTTGCATGCAGAGACCGTGCAAATGGCATCGGGGGCATATTCCATGCACACGCAGTGTCCAGTTCCTCTTAGCAGCCATTACAAAGAGCTCAAGTGTAGTGAACGTAGAACTGGCTGATTCGCCAATACCATCATACTATTTTTTATTTTTGTTTGCTGAACACGCTTCTCTGGGGAAACAGACACTGAACTTTTTCTCAACAACCAATTTCTCGTAAATAGGTTTTGGGACAAATCTTAGTTTGCCTCTGTGGTTTGTTGACTCCTTGACAAGTTAGAATGCTTGTATCATTTGCTAGGGTAACTGCCTGAACAAATTCTTGCTCTTCTCAAATGGCTTCCCTTTCTCTTCCCTAAGGTATACCCTATGTAAACCTAAAAAAATTATGGTAACTAACTATACAAGGTTTCTCAAAGTGCAACATATGATACAGGCAGTTTCATAAGCTTCATTTGAACACAGCGTTTTATACAATACAGTACAGCTTGAGATTTTTGTTCATAAATTATAGCACTTAACAGACAACTACTTTAAAAGGGTTGACTATTTGAAGTAACCCAACACATCCTTGTTCAAGGTTAATAAGGCTGAACTTTACAAGCTTTGTTCAGAACAAAATTAAGTTAATCTTGCACTTACTCACATATATACATCGTTTAAAATGTTCTTTTAAATGTTTAAGTATGCACAAATTTCCCCTAGGACAGGTAGACGAATGTCTGAAGTATCAGACAGCCACATTTGCCTACAGACACATTGTCACCAATCATAGCTTGGCTTCTGGTTTACACACGAACACTGTACACAACATCTAAAAAAATAATTTGTGTGGCGATTCATTTGACTTCTTTCTGTATCATCTGTTCATCCTGTATGTCTTTTGGAAGGGTTCTAGACCGCTGCAGGACCACACTGAGCTCTTCGATCACTCTGGAAGGTAACTTATGATCTGAGTCCACAAGAATCTTGCTGTTTCTCTCCTCGGTCTTCTTGAGCATCTTCATGCCTTTATGGCCCTTTTGCTGCCCAGGGACCTCTATCTCTGTGTCCTCCAGGCAGTTGAGGCTCCGATGTTTCTTAGTGCGACTTCGGAGCTTGTCGTCTTTGTGCTCAAGGCAGTGGGCCACCATGGAGGCTCGATCCCTTAAGCTGGAGTCCATGGACTCTTTATCATGCCTCTCACTGAGCCGCAGCCTTTCCATTTCTGCTCTTGCACTCTTAAAAAAAAAAAGAAGAAGAATGCATCATGGCGAAACTAATATGAGGTGTGCTTTTAGTTGAAAGTTTATGTTGGCACATAAAAGTTGGTGTTTCCTATACAAGAGCTCATTTCTAGATGCAGCATCCAACTTGACTTTGACACAAGTGGCATGTTGAATTTATATCTCAGAGCCACAAAGTCATATAACATGTAGGTCACAAAAAATTCACTTTAACAGACACTTAACACACCATTTCAAAGATGTCTATCAAATTGACTCTCAATTCACACTTGTCTCTTCCAACTCATTTCTGCTTGGATTACATCACATGGGTTTGCATTCACAGCTTCTTCCACTCTACACACAGCACCCAGGAAAAGGTGATCTACATGGCCACAAGACCTAGGGAAATGCTGGGTGGCAGAGACCCTTCTTCTGGAATTCCAGTCAGTATTAGCATATTGAAGAGGATGAGTAGTAGCATCCAGAAGATACCCAGTAAAATGTTTTGCCTGCATTTTTCTCTTTCCAACGTATGCAATTAGTGAACCATCTCCCTCCATGAAATAGAGGTGCCCTAGATTCATTTTTAAAAGGTAAATATAGAAATAAATAATGTAATACATACATATGCATGTAAAGATTTATTATATACACTCACGTATGTGTGTGTGTCACTTCTGCATTAGTGGATGAGAGCACGCATTCCTAAGAGCTCACAGATACCAGAAGCTTACTGTGATAGGATGCCTGCAACTACATACTGTTGGGCTTTGGGATTTGTATGCATTTGCTCATTGTCTTTTCTAAAATGTCCAATATCCAGGCTTGGCCAGGCCAAAATTTGGCACATAATCTCTGTATCTTCCACCCACTGGTTCACGCTCATATGGGTGCAACACTCAGGGCATAGTGAGACTGCAGCCAGGAACACTTCCTGCCAGGTCTCCAAAACAGGTGATATGAGTACAAGAACTTGGGCCATATTCTGGTGCCTTGCAAAGAAACATTAGCCAGCAAGACTTTGGGACTTTCAAATGCAAAGTGTAGGGAGCAATACTAATACATAAAATGTTGAAATTTCATGTAAAATATACTTCAAACGATACATATTATCTGTAAAGGTAGGGACAGTTGGTAGCAGCAAATGGTTAGGGGACAGAGAATGGGACCGTGAGAAAGAAGAGAAGCCAGGAGTACCTTGAATGCTTTGGAAAAAACAAGTAGAGCCTGGGGAAACAGGTAATATTAGTTATGTACCATATTCTCCTTCAAAGACAAGGTACTGACAATTTAAACAGCAACAGATAAGTTATGAAATAAGGAGAGGCTTGCTTCAAGCAGTGCCATTTGACCTAACAGCTGCAGACAGAGTAATTCCTACTTTCCCGTCCTGAGCAAGGTGAAGCACTCGGGCTCCAGGAGCAGATCGTCCACATACTTTTAGTCTGGAGTCTCTTATAGCCCAGAGATGCAAGGCAATGGTTATGGAGGTCTCGTGATATTGAAAAGTAGTAAGACAGCATATTCTCAAGACACTAGAAGATCTCTTAAAATGACTCTAATCATGAAACTGTTAGTTGATAACCTTTGTATATGTGTGCATCTCTAAATACATACAAGCTCAACCCTCACCATAACGCTTTAAGTATTTCTGACTTTATTTCACTGGTCTTGGTTTAAAGTACATTACATTTTAAGTGGTAGAAATAGAAATACAAAGAACAATGTCCACGTTCATCTAAGGGAGACTCTGAAATGACAGCCAAGCTTGAGCTGTCTGAAACAAACATGCTTCTTTCCATTCCATTATATTATCCAAGAATGGCAGTAGGCGGGCAGGGGAGTAAGATTTTAGGCCACTTTTTTTTTTTTAATTCAGCCACATCTGTTTGCTTATTATTTTTATTTTATAGGTCTTCTTAAGGAAATGGGGATTTTTAAAATAGTTAATTCTAGCATATAGGCTTCTGAATGTCCTACTGTTTTGTTTCAATTATGTGCTAACCAAATACCAAACATTTGTCTAATAAATTCTCATGTATAACATTATTATCCAAAGAGTAGGACAGCAGATTCCACTCTATTCATCAGTGCAGATGGACTGAGCAAGGAAACCAAAGACCTTTATCTCTGACATTTTTGTCTTTCCTGAGATGGTGTATTACCATGGGATGAATGCTCAAGATCATTTCCATGCACGGGACATTTTAAAAATTGGGTCAACATTTGATTAAAATCACTTTAGATGTTCAATTGTTATTTCTGTTTGAAGGCAAGAAATTCAAACACACAAATCTCATATTTAAGCTTGGAAAACACATCTTTTAAGTGCTTTTCTATTGCTTTGTAGGATTCAATCGTGACACTGAAACATTGATTGCAAAATGGTCCATAGAGTGTCTTAAAATTATTAACCTCCTATGTTTTAATTGTAACTGTTTAATAGATTTTATGTGACTTGTAGCAAAAATTCTAAGGAAGCAATGACATTGCCATTGTCCCTCCTTTTCCCTCTCCTTGCTACCCTTTCTCCTCATTTTTCTTTAACTTTTGAGATAAAATATTTCAGATTTATACTACAGTAAAATGCTTAATACTTCACCAAATGAGAAAATTAACAAGTAAAAAGCAAAGGGAAAAAAAAAGATCTTAGTTTAGTGGAAATGCAGACAATGAGTATAAATAATAATTGAATACAAAAAGGCTTATTTCACCCATATACAGCAAACTATCAAGTAAGCACAGATCATTAAAACAGTAACAATATAGCTCTTCACCACTGACAAACATATAAAACCAAGTTGTACAAAACTATATTTGCAGTGACACTATGAAATGCTATACATGTAATCCCACCATGTGCAGCAAAATGTACTCCACTGGAGGACAACGAACTGAGTGAATTAAGACAGACTCAGAAAGACAAAAACTGCATGTTCTCACTCATATAAGGAAGCTGAAATTAAAAAAAAAAAGACAAGGAAAGAAATATCTATATGTTATGGGTATCATGGCAATCTTTGATTTAATGTTTATTTACATTTACTTGAAAGGGGGAGAAGGTGGGTATCTTTCATCACTGGGTCACTACCCAAATACACGTCGCAGTATCCAGGGTTGGGTTGTACTGAAGCCAGGAACCCAGAACACAATGTGGATCTTCCATATGGTTAGCAGGGACCCAAGCACGTGAGCCACCATCCGCCTCCCCGGGCATATCTGCAGGAAGCTAGATTAGCAGTGTAGCCAGAATTCAAATTGGCATTCTGATATGGTAGCTTATCACACCTCAGACGGAGGTAGCACACAACAGTTTTCTTGTAAGATGCCAAACTGTCTTTAGCAATGTTCAGCTGTCAGCTTACAGGTTCTGAGGTGAATGGAGACACCTCCACTGGTTCCCAAACGCCAGAACTTCATGGTGTTACCACAAAGAGTAGCCACCATGGCTCCTGACATACATGGAGTTCATTTTTAGTGTTGTAATGAAACCTAGATTAATACTGCTTTTTTTAAAAAGATCACCTTTGCAAGATTAGCAATGACAAATAAGTGGTGTTGTATATATGAAACTGAGCAGCTAGTGACATTAAAAATTATTGGCACATAGCTATTTGCACTGTTTTTGTATGTAGGTTGTTAGGATTTTCAATGTGATTATTTTTGGACTTTTGAAGCCACTAAAGTAACTGATACACTTAGTTGCATTAAAGACATTTGAAAACAAATGTTATAATAATGAAATGAGATGATTAACTTACCTCAATATTTCTCTGAGCCTGGATTATATTTTTCTCCTGCTGGATGGGAATTAGCGGCAAACCACCGATTTTGGGATTTTTAGTTATTGAACGTTTTCGCTCCTTCCCAGCTGGTGGCCATATATCATTTTCATGCTGTGGAAACACAATTTCCTGCTGTTGGTGTTCAATATTATCCTGCATTATACCACGCTCGTCACTTGGCTCCTTTTTTTGTACATCCACACCAGACAAATCTGCTTTCCATGAATGGCATTTGTAATTATGATGTTGACTCTAGTGAGACATCGCTCGAGGACATGAAACTCATGGAACCAAGCTTTGAGATCTCAGTTCAATTTCAAGTTTCAAATACATGCCTTCTGACTACTTATCAAACCAAAAGGGGAGAAATACTTGAGGAAATCAACAGATCTCTTTGTGGGAGTAAAAAAATGATGCATGTCTGTATTTCCAGGCTCAGTACTAAAGCCAGAAATGCATTAATTTGCTCTCTGCAGCTAAGATGGTTGTAGCATAAAACTAACTTGAACATACATCCTCCAGCCAAGCTAAAAGCCAGAGTTATCAGAAAATTAGCCTTATTTTTTTAAAAAAAACATCAATTTTTTAAAGATTTATCTATTTTATTACAAAGTCAGATATACAGAGAGGAGGAGAGACAAAGAGGAAGATCTTCCATCCAATGATTCACTGGTGCTGCTCCGTTCAAACGCCAGGAGCCAGGAACCTCCTCCGGGTCCCCCACGTGGGTGCAGGGTCCCAAGGTTTTGGGCCGTCCTCAACTGCTTTCCCAGGCCACAAGCTGGGAGTTGCATGGGGAGCTGCCAGGATTAGAACCAGCACCCATAAGGGATCCTGGTGCATTCAAGGTGAGGACTTTAGCCGCTAGACCATGCCATCAGGCCCAATTAGCCTTATTTTATCACTTTGTAAATGTGCTACATTTTCATCTAACTGAATTTCAAAGAATTGCTAACTTCTACATATTTACCCTAAAAATCATCATACAATATATCATGTGGCAATTTAACTTTTGAATTACTTTTGACACAACTAACATTCTGGCCCACTAAAGAATCAATGACATGATTGGGGAAATGGTAATTTTGCAATGGGATACACGTCCACTGATAAACGTACACACCGTTGTATGATTAATCCTTGAGAAGCATCATTAAGTTTTGTTTCTACTCCTTGGACTAGATTAACATTTCAAAAGTTAGAAAAAGCAAAATGAATTTCAGACAATATATGAAATAAACACAGAATGCTCAATATCAAATGAGAAGTTTACACAGGTTCCAGCAAACTGCAAACTATTTGGGGAACTATACAATTGCCTATCTAGTGTTGAACTCTCCTCAAATCCTATGCATCAACAGATTTTTGCTTCTCTGTTTCAGTTACTATTCCAATAGTGTTTTATAGCAGAGATTTCATTTCAACAAATATTTACTACATTCTCATTATAACAATATAACGATTATTAACAACAAAGGGCATAGTGGTTGCCACTGTGTTTATTAATACACCTATTTTATTTCATTTATTCTTCAATGATTCTGCAGAATCTAATCATAAGACTTACAGTCCCAAATGTTGGAAAATTAATTTTCATATTGTATAATCAGAATGTTCCCCAACATCTAAAAGCTGAGAAAAAAAAAAACTGGCTGCAATGGAAACAGGTAATTCTGAGATTTTTATTTATACTTTTAGGACACTGATGAACAGTGTATATGGTAACTGATATTTTAAGAAACATATGAGCAAACACATCTTTTCTGAAGCAACATAAAATGGCAAGACTGCTAGCTAACTGAACTATACTGATTCATCCAATCCGTATTTTTCCAACAAAAGTCATTAGTTCTATGTTCTAATTATGATTTATAGTTACTTTAAGCTTTTTCAAAAAATATACATAATGGACTGCATAGTTGAGGTTCATGCTTTCATAATGATTATCAATGATCATATCCCCAACATTACACTTCTGCCTTCCACTTTCTAATCCCAACCTCCCAATCTTTTCAGCAAACAATCTGACATCAATCACTCCATGTACTCTCGGGACCTTTGGCTCGCCAAGCCATTTGCGACTTCACTCCTCTACTCACTTTTCCTCACCTCTCCCACAAGCAGGTTGAGATTTTACTTGCAATCAGTAAACTCTCTTTCTAATAAATATGTTTCAACTCTTTGCTCTTTCTTTGTCATAAGTTACTTGGCTAACATAGTGAAACATTGTTCTATATATTTCATGAATCATAGCCATTGATAAATGAAAAAAGTAAGATTCCTCTGTAGATTTAACTACCTTTAACTTTAGGGGGAAACAATTTGCCATGGTGGGTGGACCCCCTACATCCTGTGTCCCATTGGGGTCCCAGCCCAGGCCTAGTTCTGGATTCCTGATTATGTATTCAGGTAGGCAGCAGGGGATGGAATCATCAATCAACTTTTTAGTACCTACATGGCAGATGTGGACTGAGTTCCTGGTTTCAGCCCTCAGCTCATCCTAGGCCTGGAAGTTACAGGCACTAGAGGTGTGGATCAATAGATGAAACATGTCTTTTTGCATCTGTCTGTCTTTCAAATCTATAAAACATCTAAATTTTTCATACATTTAGCCTCAAGTTTCAAGCAAAGATTAATCGCAACCTTCAAGTTAAACCACAGGATAACTAGGTTTTTTCACCCTCAGGAGAAAATTCTTGCTTGTTCTACCTTACAGATGGTGAACTTATTAATTCCAAGTTATTTTTAATAATCAATTAATTTCACTTTCTCACTGTGAAGTGTATCAGTGTATTTGCATTTGTAGCTGTGAAAGCTTTTTCCCTTTTATTATAATCACAATTCACTCTGATTATACATGACTCTTCAATCATATCTGTAATTGCTCAGTACATTAACATAGGTAGTTAGTAATTTGAAAACAAGCATGCTGGTGTCTGTTGTACAATGATTTTCTGCAGGGAACCACCGTGTTCTTGATCATATTACTCCAAGTCTGCTTGTGCCTTCTGATTTAATATCGCTCTTTTATTATAAATGCAAAGTATACACTTCCTGAACTTAAAGACACAAATCAAAACCCCCAAACCTATCGCTGCTCTCTTGTTGCTAGCTAATTACAACATCATTTACTATATAGTGAATTACTTCACAGAATTTTTTTTAGCTTCCAATTTGATTTGTGTCCTCCTCATCCTTTCCCAATTGTTTTGGTATTTGTTTGCATGTTTGTTTCCTTTCTGCTTGAGCTTTAAATTTTGTAGTATCCTGGTGTTTAGTCATCGGCTTTACCTTCCACTTCCTCTTCTGTCTCACTCCCTTCTTTCTCCTCTTTCTCTCTTCTCTGTATTGCCCCTTCTTTCTGGTTTCACCCAAACTAAATAGTAACTTATGTCAAACTTACAATCCCCAATTCTTTGAGTTTTTAATCCACACATCTTATTGCTACTTAGGAGAACCACCTCTGTATCTATTAAGCATCTCAGACTTCATGTGGTCCAAACACAACTCTAAGTCTCCTTCTGTATCTCTCATAAGTCTACACATATATTCTCTATTTGCCCAGAGCTGAAAAAATTAAGATTCTTCCTTGACTCCTGCTGCTTCTTTCAAACTGCTAGAGCCAGTCAATCAGAGAGCCTCACCAACTATACGTTCAAACATTCCTGAGTAAGAATATGCCTCATTTTATCCACTGTAACCACCTAGTCTGAACTGAGAGGAGTTTCCTAGTAAAAACTCTTCTTGATTCTGTGACCTCCTACAGTGCAGACCCAACAAAGGGACCACAAATGTGTATATATATATTTTTTTTCTCAATTAAATTAACTGAAAATGTATCTTTTGCTCTGAATTCTAAAAGATGAACTACAGGATCTGTCTCCTGCCTTCCTCATCTCTCACATCATCCCACACATAGGCTTCATGATTTTCATGAGAAAAAAAATAACCAAGATTATAAAGATGTCTTAGGACCTAGACCTGCTGGCTCCATCCCTGGAATGATCCCTCTTGATCCCTGCATAAATCACTCCTCATTTCAGAGATCTTTCAGCTTACCTTTCACCTAGTAGGAAAGCCACACCCCCAAGGCTCCTCCCTCAATGACTGCAGTCATAGGCACTTCTTTCCCAGCTGACCTCAGCTGCTACTTCATCACACTGATGTCCATAAAGAATTTCACCTGATTATTTGTGTTTTTCCACTTTCCTGCTCTCTTACAGATCATGGACTGTGCAAAAGACACTGGGCTCCAGGGAGCAAATGTGCTCAAGAGTTTAGTAAGACACACAAGTTCTTTCCTCTCTTGGAGTTTACATCTTAAAAGGAGAGGCAGACAGGGATAATTCAGGATACAAACATTTCTAAGGAACTGTTACAGTAGTAGAAAAGTGCAGGTGTGAAGGGTGATAAGCTGAAGGTTTAACTGCTCTCAAGGACAGAGAAAAATGTGCTATTCAAGCCGTAATCCAGAGGATTTCTGAGTAAGAAGCAAGCATGGAGATGAGTATTACCAAATATTTGAAATGCTGGAAGGAACTCTCCCTAAGGTATGCTTCTGCAGGAAGGGAGGGAAGGTGGGAGGGAGGGAGTGTGTGTGTGTGTGTGCTTTCTTATATTTACTCAACATTTGCTACTTTACTGTCTCCCTTTAGAGATGACCCATAAATCCCCAACTCCATGAGGGCCTCGGTGTTTTTAGTCAGACCCCATGAAGTGAGTTAGTGGAAGCATGACTGGGTCAATTCTTCGGAAGTAGGACACACACAGGCAGGAAGAAACCAGCTGGGTTCTGGTCAGGAGAGCTGTTAATTCCATGAGTTTCAACCACCAAGTCTACCGATTTCAATGACAAAAACAAGAGCATCCATTTATTGTGCCACACACAGCTTTTCAGTCCACGGCCTTACTTAACTAAAATACTTCTGGTCTAATTTTTCTAAGTAGACTTCGAATATCAGATTTTGTTTTTAAGTTGCAAAGAAAAGTCTCTTAAAAAGTTAACAGTCGGATTTTGCTACTATTCCCAGGTAGTAATAATGGAGACAGACTGAAAAGAGCCGTATTTATTAACCACTGGGAAGGTTAATAAATCAAATGAACAGAGAAAATGGTTTTCAAAACAAATAAGGACTAAATTTTGGGGTGAGTTAACTTCTTGTTTGTAAGAAACAGGAAAGTACCTCCTTGGTAATAAAGAGTGGCAACTTAATCGTTACCAATGAATTTCAATGTTCTGTGAAAACAGCTCTGTTGGGAATCAGTCAGACAAGGTGGTGAAACAAACCAACCCAATTAATGGAACTGTTTAACCCTTCCCTGAATGAAAAAGCTTTTTCCTTAGGAAGGAGTCTGACTGGAGAATTGACTACAAGCAATGTCTTTACCTCAACAATCCCAGGTTAAAACTGGTAATGAAAGCTGTGATCGTGAAGCAGTAAGGCTGCCTTTGCCCTGTTAGGCCAGGCAAAGCCAGGCCAGGTTTGTTGGGATGATCCTGAGTTAACCCTCAGGAAGCACAGGGTACACAATAAATGCTAAAGAAAGACAGGTCACTGCCCTTGGAAAGGCAAGTGTGAGGTGAATAGAAGGAATAGCAAATGAAGTCAGATACTTTTCTAAATGAAGATCTTCTTGGACCTCAAGGTGGCAGCTGGCATGAATTTCTCTTTCTTTCTGCATTCCCTTAAAGAACGCAGAGCTCACACCTGGCATTGATTGCCTAGTGGCTATATCCTCACCTTGCAATGCACAGGGATCCCACATGGCAACAGTTCATGTCCCAGTTGCTCCACTTCCCATCCAGATCCCAGCCTGTGGACTGGGAAAGCAGAGGAGAACTGCCCCAAAGCCTTGGGACCCTGCACCTGCATGGGAGACCTGAAAGAAGCTCCTGGCTTTTGGCTTTGGATCTGCTCAGCTCTGGCCACTGTGGCTACTTGGAGATTGAATCAGCAGATGGAAGATTTGTTTCTCTGTCTCTCTTTCTCTCTGTAAGTTTGTCATTCCAATAAAAATAAATACATTTTTTTAAAGAGTTATTTTTATTATTTTTTTATTGGAAAGGCGGATATACAGAGAGGAGAGACAGAGAGGAAGATCTTCCATCCGATGATTCACTCCCCAAGTGAGCGCAACGGGCCGATACTATGCCGATCCGAAGCCAGGAGCCTCTTCTGGGCCTCCCACGCGGGTGCAGGGTCCCAAAGCCTTGGGCCGTCCTCGACTGCCTTCCCGGGCCACAGGCAGGGAGCTGGAAGGGAAGCAGGGCTGCCGGGATTAGAACCGGCGCCCATATGGGATCCTGGGCGTGCAAGGCGAGGACCTTTAACCACTTGCGCCACCGCGCCGGGCCCAAAATAAATACATTTTTTTAAAAAATGCAGAGCTCCTAAGCCGGGAAAGTCCTTAGGCTTTCAAAAATCCTCAGCGGAGAGAATAAACTCTGCTGCACGGAGTAATGGACAAAACTGGGCTTATACCTATTTTAAAGAATAAGAACAGGAATAAATGTTTGCCAATTCTACATATCCAAAACTCTTACTAAAAATTCTTTGAAAACCACTGTCAGACTAGCATTTCCTGTAAACAAAGTTATTATATCTTGCCCAAGAACTGAAGCAGGTATCATACCTGTACAATAAAGATACTGGCCATCCACTCCATTTGGGTTTGTGAATTGTCACAACATAGGTGCCTGTAAAACAGTTTATAAGACACATAATCAGAGACATTTGATGCTTAATGATTGAATGCCATCAAAATGGAAATATATCAGTACCAGCTGCTTTAATAATCTGATAAGCATATATTATATAACAGTTTAAATATGCACACTTAAAATATTACAGTGTAAGATTTTGACAGCTCAAAGAGGTCAACGATATTTTTGAAAAGATGAAAAGGGCAATATCACTTTGCTTTTCTAGTATGTGATGGCAAAATACCTTTTTCTTCGGAAAGTCTAAACCTAAAGGGAAAAAAAAGTTTGCACACTCTCTTAAGAGCAGATTTTTTCTTTTTTATGAGACTGACACCATCTCTAGTGTTAGTACTGTTAACACTAACACCTGCAGACTCATGACAAATGAGCTACATGACAAACCGGTATATGTTCAACAACATTGATTCAGTAAGTTTTGTGCTCATGAATGCTTAGTAGGCTTGTTAATTATCCATCTATTAATAAGTAAGTTAACCTAGGCTCAAGAATCTTTAAGATTCATGTAGTTTTTTAGGGTAACTGTGTATCTAAACAATCAAATTATATCACAGTCGGTGAAAAGTTAAGCAAAAAACAAGGAATAGTAGTTGGCAATAAGGTGAAGGTAGTTTTATGTAAAAGAAAAATATTGTAACTTATATCAGAATGACATAAGGGATATTGCAATATAATAGTACTTTTTATATTCCTTAGTATTAAGGTGATGAACTTAAAATGTTAAAAAATATTTCAAATAGTTGCTTGCTTTCTCCACTAGTCTCATAAATTCACTGTCCATATCCAATATCTTATTTACCTATGCAGACCATTTTAATTATATATACTAAAATAATATAGGTGCAAAGAAAAGTAATCATAGGACATTGGTAGCTGGTAGAGCTTTTGAGGTGTTCAGGTCTAATTTGAAAGAATGAGAGATGAGTCCACTAGATCCTCCAAGTGAGAAAGGAAATTCCACGGAAGTTGAAGCAGCAGCATTTATTACCGAAGAGGGAAGGGGACCTATACCAGAAGCACCTCTGTGACACAAAGGGGAGCAAGATATGGAAGGTGGGTTCAGGACAATGGAAGGGGAAAAGTTATGGAAGAGGAAGCTGATGATGTCACCTGTTAAAGGTCTGACATGTCATTCCAATTATTTCTGCACTTTATTCCATAGGCAACTGGATTCACACAATAGTTTTATAACAGGAGAAAAACATGAAACATCGTAGCAAAGTCCCATTGGTGACTAAAAAACACAGTGAAGTCAGAGGCAGTGAAAAACATTTAGAACTCTTGGAATACTCCCGACAGATGCTCAAGGCCTGGCACTCAGGAGCACGAGGGGACGATGCAGAGGTGTTGTGCTGTGGTTTGGTGATTGATTTGGCATAGGCAGGTGAGGCAGGGAGAGAAATGTCATATACTCTCAAATTGTACTTGGCCATTTTTGGTACCAATGTGAATAGGAGCATCTATGTAAAAAACAACTTTGAGACCGGAATAAAGTTCATTAAACGGTTACCTTAATTAGTTTTTGTCTTTAAAAACTGAGTTTTGCCTACTTATCAAATGAAATTGCCTTTCATGATTCTTTAGTACCTGTAGAACAAATCAGATGTGGCTTCTCTTAGCGGGTATTGCCAACTGGCTGGACATAAGGACTGGAACAATCTGACAACAGACCTATTGCATTTTTTTCATCCTCAATTAAAAGTATTTAGAAAAGACTTTAACTTCACATAGGGTGAAACATTTTCTGTCTATAGTTCTGCCTGCCATAAAGTGAAGGGATTCTTTTATTGAAGGGGTCACCAATACAAGAAATCCAGAAGCAACCAATTACTCACCAGTGATGCTTGTCTGAATATGCAGTTAAGCCCCAGCTGTATCACACAGGAAAAAAACACACACACACACAAACATATATTAAAATTGATACATTTTCTAAGACTGAGATAGAATCTTATGTTCACAATGTGGGATTTAAAGGTAGATATATACAAGTGATCACGCACAGAATGATTCGACTGGAAATAAATACTAAGTATGAAAGGATTTGCCTACAGATTTCAGATGGGCAGAAGGGAGACAGTTGAGGTGTGTTCATGGGGAAGAGCAGGAAGCTCTGATGCCTATTCAGATGTCAATGAAAATGGCAAAAAAAAAAAAAAAACCTTCATATACAGTGACCTACTGATACTGGAGGAAATTTGAAATGTGCCAATTGCAACACAAATACAGATACAGGGCTTCAAAACAAAGCCTATGGGGAAGAGTGAGATTCCACCCAGTAACTGCATCTTGGAAGTAATCACACACAGCTCATTAACACGATGTTTCGTCTGAGTGAGAAACGTGTTAGTTTAAAAATAATTCAATAAAAGTGATTTGTGATTAAAAAAAAAAACTGTGGTATAAACTGAATGCTAGAGTGAATCAAGTGTTAAAGAGATGCATGATGATATCCACTTCCTGGCTACCATTTACTTGTTACAGTATCAGATTCAGGACAACAGAAAGGATTACAGGGTCACGAACAACACACTGTAAAAACCAACTACCAAAAGAATGTAGGGCCAAGTTTGTTCTCCTACAAGTACAATTGCCCGGACACTTCATAGCACCCATGCTGTGACGTGACTGATCAACGAACCCATGTCCTCTCAGGAGATGGAACCTTCTGAGGATGGACTGGACACACGTGGGACTGCAGCCAAGGCAGACGGTGGTCCCAGTCAGAGGTAACATGACCCCTCCTTACCTGCTCAAGATACCCAGCCATAGTCAGGGCAACTTAAAGGAATCTGCCTAAAATGTAATTCATTACTAATACATGTGATGCTTCTGACTCGTAATCACTTAACAGGCTCATTTTCCCCTTATTTCTTTCAACAGTCTTTCCCTGTCTGTCAAATCTTACCTTGTTGGCGGCTTCATTTTCTTTTTCACTCCAAGGTAAAACTTCATGGAACTGAGGGTAAACACTTTTTCATGTTTACTACTCTATAAGGAAGATAAAATAATTTGTAATTGAGCAGTTTAGATACATTTTATTTTTCCTAGAGTATTAATGCCTGTGTTTAGAACTATTTAGTTTCTTTAAGGTTTTATGAACACCAAATGTAAGTAAGCAAAGAGCATTCTAGTCATAATGTAAACAAGCACATTTAAATACACAGCTTTAGACACATACATATAAACAGGTGCCATGTTTATAAATACATGTGCGTATATATCGATACATATGTGTATATGAACACGCATATGCACAGCTCCCTAATTCTTTATTGGTAACACTTCTGAGCAGATATGCTTCAAAACTCAGGTGTTTCTTCCTATTTTAAAAATATGAAATGACACAAACCACTCCTGTTCTCTGGGCAGCACTGAACTCAAATACATTCTTGTTTCTGTGGAGGAATCTGATATTTCATATACTATAAGCTAAATAAGTAAAGCCATACATGTGTACAGATTGGCTGGAGTGAGACTGTATGACTAAATAAAATAAACATTGGACTTCAAAATTATAGGAAGCAGATTAATGAAAATTGCCATCAATAACACATTAAAGTATACTACAAACAAGACTGACATTTCGCCCTGGGTCAATTATATATTCTTAACACCCTCCTGACATAATGCATTTAAGCTGACAAGTTAAATATTCTTAAAGTCAGCTTGACTATATCATAAGAAAGTTAAGCAACAGTGACAAAACTGGGATTATTATGCACTAAAATTTAAGAGGAAAGCCACACACATTTTCTCCTTTACCCTTGGGTATTCTGTGATAGTTATGACACACACAATAGGAAAATAACTTATAAAATATGCCATGTCTTAACACATTTCCAGGGAAATCTTGTGTTTTAAATTGAAAGGCAGACAGTATTCGCAACAAAGAGTAAGAGATTGAATTAGATAAAGATATTGACTTGCTCCATACTAGTTTGTCATTTCTCATTTCTGCAATATGCCTCTTTTTTTGTTTTAAATAGAGATGAGACAATACTGAACATTTCATTAGACTACTGCAAAGATTAAGTTCATGTAAAGGGTCACACTACAGATTAAAGTAAAAAGTGCCTATGAAAGGTTTAGTCTACTCATGGACATAAAATAAACTCAAAGGAAATTATACATGTCACTATATAAAAATAATTTTATATAATAAAAAATCAAATATTTTAAAAAGCTATTTTTATTTCTACAACAACAGTTTGCTGGGAAACATTCACAGCTTTAAAATTTTTTTTAACCCCCAAACCATTTGAAAAATACTATCAATTTATACTTTGGGGTAAATTATCAGATCATTTTTTACGGATTCCAAAAATAATTTCCTTTCAGATTTGAAATTAATTAGAACACAACTATTAAATATAACTTGGCTTAATATTGATTTATTTCCATTGGCAAATTCTGTAATTTTCCTAAATATAAATTTTCACTTCTTATTACAGCAATCTGGTAGAAGCTACAGGATTACCTCTTGTTTTCCAGAATTTTTAAGGAATAATACTTTAATAATTTGAACTGCCAATTATAGCAAAAGGAGGGAACCTAGGATGACACTGAATACCCTAGTACAGCATGGTATGGTACGGTGTGGTACGGAATAGAATAGTATGGTATAGGATATAGTCAAGGAGAGGACAGCTGGGTATCTTGAATGTGAGCAGTAGAGGTGACCCTGGCTACCTTTGTGGCAATTTACTTCATGTCCTTCCTAAGAGTTTAGATAGCTATTCCCCAGACACGGTCCCCTCCCCTCCCCCAAGGCAGCAGGGTAGAGGGAGGACGAAATCTGACACACTGGGGAATGAGAAATACTATGCTTGCATAAACAGTCTACATGGCAATAGGAATTCATAAGCCGAGGGCTGGCTACGTTTGAAGAACTTCTGGTAATTGGCAGAGTTTAAAGCAAGATAATCCCCCCCCCCCACCATCCACTCCTGTAACAAAAGCTCATCTTTTCATGCCATAGTCTGTCCAAAGGAATACAGTGATGTAAGTTGGGAGAAAAGCAATTACGGAAACAAATGTCTTTTCTGTTTTAAACTTCAAACTGAATGTTCCTAGGCAGGAACTATAAGGATACTAATGGGAAGTGATATAAAAGAAAACCTTGTTTGGCAAAACAAATTCATTGTGTCCTATTACAATCTTTTCTATTGATATTTTCAATTCCTGTAGGATTTCTCCAGAAAGTTCAATACGCTAGACTGTTGTGATATCTACGCTGTATTATTTCAGCTAGTATACTACAAAACAAAGATTCAAGCAAAGCTAATTAACGAATATGCTTTAAAAATTTATTGCAGTAGCTAAAAGAAGTTTCCATACTACTGCATGCAACTTTTAATGACAACCGTGCACTGACTCATTTGCTTTTCACACCAGAAATAATGCAACATTAATATTCTTTGAAACCGCTTACCTTTTATGTAAATCAAGTCCGAAAACCTTTTAATTAACATTTTCTATGTATGGAATACTTGAAAAAAGCAAAATATATTTTCCCCTGTGTATCATCCTAATTTGTTTTAAATGAGCATTCATAAATTATCTCTAATTAAGTCTCCATAAAGGCACATTGCAAGTTTGTGATTTCTACTACTTTTGTGATACAGTTCAGCTATGGAACCAGGCCTTTACTTTCCCGAATGCAAATCTCAAGTGCACAAATATTAAAACCCGATGTGTTTCATTCACAGAAACACAAACACTTTATATACGAATGATTTCTATAAAATTTTCTATTCCTCTACTGGCAAGATTAAAGAAGCAAAACAAATAAACGTGAACTCTCGGTCTCCAGGCATATTCCTTTCTTTGTCTATGCGGAATGAAACGGTGGGAGCCAAAGCACAGTGTGTAGTTCATCTCTGGGAATACGGGGTAAGAGCTGCTATTTTGTTATCCTTCAGCCTCGACATCCCATCGCCCTTGAAGAAAACAACAGTGGGATGGACATACAAAATGGGAATGTGACTCGGATTCATCTGCATGACACGGAACTTTCCCTGCTGATGGAGCATACCAGCAGAGTGGTGAAAACAGTTGCAGAGTTCAACACACAACAACAACAAAAAAAGGGGTGCAGCACCTTAAGAAAGCTGTCAGACTTTTTTTAAAATATATATATATGTATATATAACATGTCAACAGATACCTAATCTTTTCTTTGTATATCTCCATGCTAGAACATGAAATGCCACTCATTTAAAAGTTTAATTTCACATAAAACATGTCTCCAGGTTCTGCTGACTGCTCTTTTATGTTCAAAGCAAATTTTTTTCAATACCACTTCAGTTTTTAAAGCAGAATTGCAATTGTATAGCACACACCTACCTAATGACCTCCCCATCCAAGATAGAGTACACTTCCATACAGAAAGTACTCTACTGAGACTGCTCCCTAGAAATTCCACAGCAATTTTTCTTTCTCCCTTATACACTAACTTCTATCAGCATCTTAAACACTGTGTCAACTCTCAGACCTATGAACACGTTCGCATCATACTGTTTTACGTCTAGCATTTTTTGTTCAATAAAGTTTTGAAAATTTCCCAATGTTCCTGTAAACAGGAGTTGCCATTCATTTTAATGGCTAAGGAGGATTATACTAATTACACCATTCTCCTTTAGTTGGGGAGCTAGGATATGTGCAAGCTGTAGATTTTACAAATGAAGCTGCTTATAGCATGGAAAGTATGTGACTAACCCTAATAACTGTATCCTTATATGGCACACTGTGGCAATGTATTATATGCATATAATGCATAATTATCATACAAGGGTAATTATAATTTATGTTTCCCTAAAAATGTCTCATGTTTTTGTTTTGAGGCTTTGAAGGCCTGTTGGCTCGAGCTTAGTAAAATACAAGCTAAAATACTGCACAGTGTGGACATAATACCTAGCAGCGGATTTATGGGATCCTGGTAGATGAAGACAGACTTAGTTTTTTTAAAACTTCTAAATTATAAACAGTTAATTGTGCGATTTTACACGTCCATCAACAATCTTGGACTTATCTAACTAATCTGCATCTTTACATACAATCAAAGTTTTCACACGAGGATTAAATGAAACCAGAAGTTGTAAAATTTAGTCTTATGGTTTTAATTTTATATTTTCCCATGACACAATACTGATGGCTTATTGACCATCTCTGTCTATTTATGTAGTCTGTTAAATCCTTTGCACAAATTTTTACTCGGTTGTCTTTCTTTTGCTGATTTGGAAAAATTCTTCTTTTCTGTATCTGAGTCCTTGTTCCAAAAAACCCATGGAGTTTCAAATGTCCATGGAAAAGAGAATTAAAAGATACATTTAGTACTCAACACTGTGGCTCAGAAGGCCAATTCTCCACCTGCAGCACCAGCATGTTACATGGGCACCAGCTCTAGTCCTGGCGGCTCCACTTATGACACCATCCACTGCTTATGGCCTGGGAAAGCAGCAAGAGATGGCTTTCAGTACTCGGGCCTCCGCATCCATGTGGGAGATCTAGAAGAAGCTCTTAGCTGGATTGGCACAGCTCGGCTATTGCAGGCATTTGGAAAGACAAACAGGATGGAAGAGTTTTCTCTTCCCCTCTCCTTGTTTCTGTAAATCTACCTTTCAAATATAAAATATTTTTTTAAAGAAAAGTTTACTTTGGTGCAAATATTTTTAAAATTTTGGTAATATGTATTTTTCATGAACTTACAGAAGATATATTATATGCATGATTTCAAAATTTATTTGTGCCAAAATGAACTTCATCTTTTTAAAGTACTCTCATTTGTACTATGGATATCTTTTTCTCATTCTAGGATTTTTCTATCCACAGCTCAATGAAGTCTTCTCATGAGCCTGCTTCTGTTGCTACACAGATTGGCCAAATGCTCCACATTCAAAAAAATGTTTATGAACACTGTTACTTAAGCATTTAAATAATCTGGCATATAGGACTCATGCTACCACCATAGTAAAGACTCAGAAATGGAGGTTGAAAAGTTAAGTTACTTATTCACATAACCAGCCAATATGAGATTTTTTAATGCTAATCTCAATATTCTTGCAGCTGCATCATTCACCTCCATCTTGCTTCTTACCTGAAGCTTTCCTATGACAAAATTCTTCCACAAAAGTCCTTAAGGAATTCAATATTATAGGATACATAACAGTAACATTCAATTAATAAATGTTACATGGATCAATTCATTTGCACATGTAAGAAAGACGCCGTCTCACTTTTAACTACCTTTTATTCCAGTTTTTATTAATTCCATTAATTATATTCAATTCTCTTTTATTTAGGGTACAATCCATTTGCTGCTAATTTTACTGGCTAAAATACTGACTTAGAAATTAGCTTATGCAATGCATATCAATCTTCGAGGCTTAAGTCATTCTGCCAAACTATTCAAGGTACTTAGGAAGCCCACAAGGAGTCATTCACTCTGTTCCGAATACTCATGTCATACCTCAGACAAATAAATCATCAGCTTACAGTACATCTTACTTACTGCAGGCAGTAATTTCTAGCAGAGAGAGCAGAGAGTGGTATAAAATAACAATGTTAATCCCACACAAACAAAAAGGGGTACATGTTCAATACCTTTGGGTCCTTGTACAGAAACAGACACCCATCACGCAGAACAAAATACCGGTCTTGAAACTTGTTTCCAGACAGTATCTTCGATGGTTCTTCTTTGATTTTCAAAACTCCTTCCTTGACACTTTCACAAGCACTCCTCTCTGTAAAGCACAGTGTTATTTTTGTTAAGTTGGACATATTTTCCCTTATTTGGAAAATGATACAGAAACATCAGCATATTTTCAGCTTTGATAATTTAATGTTGCAACTTGTTTTCCACTGTGAAGTAGCCAAAGGTGAACTGTTGAGAACACATTTTCTCACAGTTGCTATTTACCATACTTAGGCCTGCCGGTTCTGTCCAATTAGTCATGGGCTGCAGAGCACCTGAAATGTGGTTAGTCTGAACTGAGTTACATGTTAACCTTACCTATCAGATACTGAATACATTTTGCAAAAGGAAAATATCAGAATATTAAAGTTTGATCATATTGAAATATATACTTTGGATATATAATGTTAAATACAATCCAGTATGATTAATCTTATCAATTTTTACATACTGTTGAAAATGTAGCTAGCACATAAATCTTTTAAAGATTTTTTTTTTTTAATTGGAAAGTCAGATATACAGAGAGGAGGAGAGACAGGGAGGAAGATCTTCTGGCCGCTGATTGACTCCCCAAGAAGCCGCAATGGTTGGAGCTAAGTCGATCCAAAGCCAGAAGGCAGGAGCCTCTTCTGGGTTTCCCATGTAAGTGCAGGGTTCCAAGGCTTTGGGCCATTCTCTACTGCTTTCCCAGGCTACAAGCAGGGAGCTACATGGAAAGTGGGGCTGTGGGGATTAGAACCGGTGGTCACATGGCGTCCCAGTGCGTGCAATGAGAGGACTTTAGCCACTAGGCCTGCTATCACTTAATCTAAAATTATTTCAATAGGTTCCTTGCATGTTTCAGTTTGATGCATGTTTCTTTTTCATAGCACCAGTATTTAAGAAAGAAAACACATTCAGGAATTTTCACTCAATATAGAACTTCTTAAAGAAATGGAGAAATTGATATCAATATGAAACAGGTCAGATTAAAAAAGATAAATTGCTACGGTAGCACACTGAGCAATAAATATGTTTCTTACATAATAATCTCAGTGTGCCACTTAGAAATTATTTTAAAAGCACTTTGATAATACCAAATTTGCATTTATGTCTTTCATACAAAATTTTATCATTGGATCTCAAATCAAAACTTTGCAGATCTTGACAAACACACACCTGCTTACTTAAGAATTGAAGAACAGTAGAAAGGAAAGGAAAACAAACAAAAAGAACCTAAAGCCTGGTTGGGAAAGGTTTACCAAGGGGTTACACCTTGTGCTTCTCCTGTGAAGCAAGAGTCGTGACCACGTGCAGCAAGGCAATGCGGCCCATTCATACAAGACGTCATATTGCTGCTCCACTGGGCCTGACACCTTCAGCACTGCCCTACCACATGGGCAACATTTCAAATATCCAAGCACGGCTCCTGAAATTCACAAAACCTCTGAAGTATTTCATTAAAAACTCCTAGTTCTAAATCTAGCTAGCTTTGATTAATCTGAAAAAAAAAACCTATGTACTCTGCATATATTAATATTTATAATTATATTTTGCTTATAAAACAAAAAGTAATAGAAATATGAAATTGTTCCTTCTGACTGATAAGTGAGACTGGAACGACTATAAGCAAACAGATTAATCATGCCACAGATTCTAACCACAAAAAACGTAATACGAAAACCAACTATTTCTCATGATACACATTCTGATCTTAAATCATGCCATCATACCTATAGGTTCTGTAAGTACACTATGATTTTGAATTAGTTACTGTAAAATATGCTGCTGAAGTATGTGTTCTGGTATAATTTCTTAGTATTACTTTTGTGAAAACATATTATAAGAATGTTCTATAAGTATAAGAATAGCTAACCATTTAGAAACACTAAGGAAAGTTTCTGTAGTGTAGCAGTTATCATGTTCACCTCAGAATGTAGAAACACTGGTTGGATTTATGGATTTAGTTGATTTAAACAGTCAAAAGGAAAAGAAAGGCATTTATAATATCTCTATCTCTATATCTCTATATATCTCTATATCTATCTATCTGTCTATCTAGATATATTTAACTTAGAATGAAGTACTTTAAAAGCACCAGGGAAGATGTAATCAGCTTGTACAATACAGATAGTGGACACTGCGCAACCCAGGCAGATCCATTTATACATTTATTCAATTAGTTGAAAGGCAGAGTTGGGCAGACATGGAAAAATCTTCCATCTGCTGGCTCACTCCCATATGGCTGCAAAAGCCAGTGCTGGGTCAGACTGAAGCCAGAGCCACGAGCCAGGGTCTATATTATCTCAATAGATGCAGAGAATATATTTGACGATTTGCAACTCCACACCATACCAAAACCTAAACAACACAGGCATAGAAGGAACATTCTACAACACAATCAAAGCAATACAGGAGAAGCCCAATATCAGCATCATACTGAATGTGGAAAGACTGGAAGCTTTTCCATTCAGATCTGGAACTAGGCAAGGTTTTCTACTTCCATCACTGCTATTTGACCTTTTATTGTTAAGTCTTCACCAGAGTTGTTAGGCAAGAGAAAGAATGCAAATCAGAAAGAATGCAAATCAGAAATCAGGAATTAAAATTACCCCTGTTTGCAGACAACATGCTTCTATACATAGGATACCCAAAAGACTCAATCAAGAGACTATTGGAACTCGTCAGAGTATTTTGCAGGGTCACAGAGCACAAAATGTATGAACATAAATCAATGGTGCTAGCATACACAACGAACCCACTGTCTGAGATAGAGCTTGCAAGCAGAGTTTCCTTTAAAATAGTGGAGAACATTAAATATTTTGGAATAAATCTAATGAAAGAAATGGAAGACCCCTATGATAAAAATCACAAAAATTTTAAAGAAATAGAATAAGACATTAAAAATGGAGTAATTTACCATATTCCTGGACTGATAGAACCAAAATCATCAAAATGTCCATATCATCAAATGTCACATACAGATTCAGTGCAATCCCCATACCTACACAACCACATCACAGAAAATAATAGCAAAAATACAAAAAGTTGGTGATTTGCTCTTGAGAGCTTTTGTGATAAATTACCCTGGTATCCAAATGATTGATTTCTACTGTGTCCCAAGTTTATAACAGTAATATCTTAAGGAAAAGAAACCTTTAACATTATATTCTTTCTGCTTCTAAGAAAAACTATTTCTAAGATGATTCCAGCTTTTCTGCTAACAAATTGACATACGAATCACATTTGATTTACTTGCACTGTTTTCCTTTTAGATCCTAATTTTCAGGTAGAGTGGATGTAATGAATGGAGCAATAACTCTTGAGTAGGTGGTCATGGTGACTGATTTAGGAATCATTTGCCAAGACAGAGACAAAGTACACTGAATATCTAGGTTACCCAGAATCCACCTCAAAGAATACTCCACACAAGCAATTAATACATTTCAGGTTTCTGAAACAACCAGAAATAAAATCAAGACTTAAGAAATTGATTTTAAAGGCAGACCATATTTTCCTTAAGAAGGAACACCAAAATAAAACAAATTCAGAAACACTAAAATAAAACATTATTTTGGTTTGATAATGTAAACAAAAATTAAGTTGAGTAACAACACTAATAAAAATACTGGCTAGAGAATTAAAATATTTAATTGGGGTAGCTCTATTTTTCATCCAAAATAGGCAACAGCTAATAGAACATGGTATGAATAATGTACTTCCTGATAGGATTATTCTAAAATCTGAATATTTTTTATTGCAAGGAGACCTAATTTTCTAGCATAAATAATTACAGATGGGATAGCAACAAGTTGCACACTGATTTGGTAAGGGGTTGTATGCACAGTTCAGGGAGTTTGTTGTGAAGTTACTATCCTCTAAGTAAAGTGATAGAAATTTAAAAAAAAAAAATGTTACTTAAGTTTAATGACATTTTACTTCAAGCAATTTTTCATGGAAATCTGAAACTCTCTCCCTTTAGCTCGGCTACACTTCCTCTGCTTAGGCTGTCCAATGCTTGTCGAGGATGCCTGGCCTAGAGCTAGCAGCTTTCACGACAGGACCTGACATCCACTCACCCAGAGAAGGCCTGGCTTCGGGTGAAGCATCATGGTTGGATCTGATGTAATCTGTCACAGAGCGATTTCTACTTGCCCTGCAATAATGAAGATCTTACCAACATCTGAGCGCTCTAAGTCACCTCAGTCTGTTAACTGCTAATTTCATCTTCAAAGATGACCAACAGGGAGTGGTGCTGTTGGTTTGGGTTACCGCCCTACACATGCATACCACTCCCTTATATGATAACCATCTTACGTGCCCCTTTTTATTCATGCAAGCAGCCTTCCAACATCGAGGCAACAGCCAAGGTAGAAGAATATAAGAAAAAATATAAGAATATAAGAAAAAAATTATTATCAGAAAGATAAAATTGGTCAGGAAAAAATCACTAATTTTCTAAAAGCAAAGAAAACATGGGAATCAATCATATATACTACATGATGTTTATTTAGATGCTTGTAAGAAAAACATACCTAAGGCACCCTTTGTTGTAAGCACTTTGCACTTTGAAAAAATAATTTTTGAAAGATATAAAGGGCAATATAATGAGATGAGAAAACTGCCAGACTGGCAATGAAAAGCTAACTTTGCATTCCTACTAGAATCCATGCAATCATGCATAGAAGAGATGTAACACGTGTGAGAGCTGTTTCTCCTCACTTTTTTAATAGTTAGAAGAGCAAACTGTTCTTAAATCAAGTATGTAGTAACTAACTGTAATTAGAGGAACATTTTTTCAATTTCTCTTTTCCTCATTTGTAAGGGTCACATGACAAGATAAAATACAAAAATAACTAAGTGAGCGCTAGTATGTACGTGTTTCACTGATATGTGATCAATAAACATAATATTTGTTAATATTAATTAATATCATTATAAATGTCATCAACAAGTCTGAATTGGTTATATGTAATCCTAGCAGAGAATTTTTCTTAATTATTAATTGATGCCAACACAACAAGTTTGTTTCCAACAAGGAAAGGTGAAGACTCCATCTCAGAGAGTGTACAATGCTCAAAAAACTTTCAAACGGAAACTGAAAAAGAATCCTCAACATCAATCTTTACATTAGAAAAAAAAAAACCACATTTAAAACAGGTAGCAAATTACACTGCAAGATGTAAGTCACTCCCTCCAGAAAGTTAACGTTGGCACCAGCAACATTATTAGTTCTTTCTCATATACTGTTCACTCTTTTCTACAATGCTTTATCACAAGACTTGGCTTTTAGCTACTCATTTTCATATTTCCAAATACCCCTTGTGCCTCAATCATTGTCCTTGAACCACCTGAATTTTCGATCAAGGTTGCAGTGTGGAATACAGACACCCACCTCTGTAGTGTTTAATTGTGTCGACAGTTAAGAATCTCTTCACCACAAGATAGGCAGAGCCAGGCTCAGCTAAGGAACTCCACTGAAGCACCTGCTCCAACACATTTTCTCTGTAGTGAAGAGGACGCTCTGAAAAGACAACGCCCAAGATACGTTGAAAGGAGAAAGACAATGATCTGCAGGCAATAATACACATTATCATATCATATAATATACTAGAACTGCATACAAGACCCTTAAAATGAAACTAAGCACTTAATAAGCATTTTGTGTATATTAATCTGTGTTGAGCTTTTGTTGTTTAACTATATTTTTTAAAGATTTATTTATTTTTATTGGAAAGTCAGCTCCACAGAGAAACGGAGATACAGAGAGAAAATTGCTACACTCACTGGTTCACTCAAATGGCTGCAAATGCCAGAGCTGAGCTGATCTGAAGCCAAGAGCCAGGAGCTTCTTCTGGGTCCAAAGGCTTTGGGCCATTCTCTATTGCTTTCCCAGGCCACAAATGAGCACCCATATGGGATCCTGGCACATTCAAGTGAGGACTTCAGCCTCTTGGCTACCATGCCAGGCCCCTGTTATCTTAACTATTAAAATGAACATTTCAGAAGTTCTTTCATTGAGATAAAACCTCAGAGTACAAACATTTGCACAATGAATTGTGTCTGTGTCTTTTTAATTTATATTATATTTCTGGTTTGCTTATGAAGAAAAACCTATTTGCATATGCAACTGAATGATTTTAAAAGGAGCAGCAAATTAATCTTGATTAGAATTAATGAGTATAAATCAATCCTCTATATTATTTCCTATGACTAGAATCCCAGAGTTTTGACCAGTATTAGTGAACAACATACACCTCGATTTGTATGAAATTCTAAAATAGCATTTTTTTTCAAAGAACATGTGGAAATAAATCTAACACTAAGATACATTTGACTATTAGAAATATCATTTATAAACTTTATGAGGCTACAGCTTCATATAACAGGTTAACAAGCAAGAAGTAAAATGACAGCTTAACATTTCTCCTTGATGAATACTCATAGTATAATTTTTAAATTATATTGTAAACATGGATATCTTGAAAATTATTCCAACTAAAATTTTAGATTTTTTTTCTAATAAAATATATCAATCAGTTAATACAAATGTAACCATAGGAAGAAGTCAACTTATTGCAATAACAACAACAAAAAAAGTCTCTACAGCATAGAAACTGAAGACAAATCTGTGTCTAGTTAAATATTAGGTATCTCCTCTACCGGTGTAGCACTGCCACGTGATGTGTCATAGATTCTCAATGAATATTTGAAGGATTCTGCAGTAACTAACAGAGCTGGGCTTTCATCCCAGACACTCTGTTATGTGACATGGCTGGTCAAATGCCTACCCAGTTCTTAGTTTTCAATAACACTCCGAAACAGTCAGTATTATTTATATAAGTTAAGCCAATTCCCAGCATCTTATAGCTGGTAAAATTGAGGAGCAAACTGAAATGTCCAAGCTATCTGATTTTAAAACTCAGTTTCTCAACTACTACTCTTGGTTTCACTTTGCACAAATACATGAATTACTTCTTGAGTTTTTTCCTCACCTGTAATTTTATGGGAGAAAAGTATCAACACACTAAGGCTTTGATGAAGACTATAAATAACGAAACCTAAGTAAGGTGAAAAAACAGCACTTCCTCATACTCATCCCTAGTAAGATGGTAAGGAAACAGCACCAAGATCATTTCAAAGGCCAGAATGTGTGGAAACGAATGATACCACAGCAGGCTTAGAAAGGGGAATAATATTCTTAACTTGAATAAACTATCTGTGACAAAGAAAAAAACTTATAAGACTGGACAGGCAAAGAGGTTTGTAGATCATGGATAGTTGGTCACTACCACACACGAGTGGCAGTAAATACTGCAGTGATATCTCTTAAAATGTTCCTTGCTACACTGAAATGTACCAAAGAAGATACTGAGACTTATCAACATGCATATACTTCATCTTGATGGGAAAAATTAATCAAATACATTTTCCACATGCATACCATATGAAATACTTAAAAAGAATGAAAATCCTGCAGATCTGTGATCCTATACAAAAAACACAGCAGAAAGCTAGATAAAAGTATTTGTTACATTGTCAAGTATAATAATTATAAAAGGACACTGATATCCACATTAAGAAAGAGATATGAAGCATAAAAAATTAACTAGGCCATCAAATACTGTTCAAATATAAAGTCCTACAATTAAACACATTTTTATTTATACATATATTTGCAAATATTTGTCACAATTGGTGATACAGCACATGTCATCTGACAATAGGACATTACTAGAAATAAATAATTCTTTTGTATACTAACTCCAGTATAAATAGCAAAAAAAAAAAAATTAAGGGTGAGTATCAACTCAAGTAAAGGAGCTTTGGAGGTGGTCATATAGGTGCATGATTCATCAACTGCTTAACGTATATAAAGGTAGCCTCCCTCATTAAAGAGAAAGCTATTTATTTTCCACAGCAAATAACACCTGCTTTCAGTAAATTCCTGGCAATAATGACACAGCATTTCCAGACAATTATGATTCCTCCAAAAGTCAAATCTTTAGTGCCAAACTTAGAGCTGTGCATTCCTTTTTTTTTTTTTTTTTTACCACCTACATAATCAGAATGCAGTGAAACATAAGTCCATTGCAAGTTGAGCTGGAAAGAATTCTGATGAAAATAAACTGATCTTCCAGGACCACAGCAGCCTTGAGGATGACAGACAATTGTGTTACTGCAAGACTGCATAGTTTAACTGGTTCACCCACTTGAAATCTCAGGGAAACTCAGTTAAGTGAGGCCCCTTAGGCAGTTAATTTTGTTTAAGGTCTTGAGGACTAAAGGGTATTTGGGCTACCTGTGCAGAGGTGGGTTTATTTTGAAGAAAAAGCAATAAAATACTGATACATTTCAGAAGGAATCCTACTTCTGGAGAAAGAAGCCAAGCCTTCTCCTGGGTGGGCTTAGTCCTAATGACTGTTCACAGCAGGTAAACAAAGTTTGAGATCCTTCAAGGAGAAAGACAAGAAACATCTGTTCTTTGCTCAGCATAAATTTTGAGTATTTCACCAGGCATTCATTTAAAAGAGAAACCTGATTGAAATGAACCAACATGGAATCAAACTCATCGCAATGTACACTATTCATGGTTTTAGTATAATTGCAAAATTATTATTTTTATATGGTTGTAACAAAGCTTATTTTTCCATTAATCTAACTACTAAAACATTATGCACAAGCAAGAATCTTATTAACAGTCATTCTCCACCTTACCACTGATGGTGATTCTATGAATACAATCTGAGTACACAATTGAAAGGCATGCATCAATCTGCATTTGTGACGGTCCCATCTGTGGTGACTCCATTCATAGTTTTAAGAAAACAGGTTCACAAATGTTTACATTGACATGAGCCTCAGAATTTGCACAGAAGATTGTACACAGTCACCTAATTTATTTTAATACAACAATTAGGGTAAACAGTTTTAAGATTTTAGTTTTCTTTGCTTGAAATGCAGATTTCAGAGGAGCAGAGACAGATGAAGACACAGAGACTGAAAGGTTGAGATTTCCCATTCATCAGGTGGTTCACTCATCAAACAGCTGCAACCAAACCCGTAAGTTTCTTCAGTCTCAGACAAGGGCAAAAGGTTCCAATCACTTAGAGCACCATCTCCTGCTTTCCCAAGGACATAAGCAGGGAATTTAACTGCAAGAGGAGCATCCGGGAACTAAAATCTCTGAAACTGTGGGATGCTGCCACTGCAGGTAGCAGCCTATCCCACTGCACAACAACAGATCCAAATTAAAATTTCCATGAGTACAACAATGTATATTACCATTATAAAGAGGGAAAAACAAAATATTTATTATACAAGGGAGACACTAGATATGACAAAACAGCGGACTACTGTTTTTAAAAGTTGCAATTAGCTAACATGTAATAAAATCAGGCAGTCTAGTTTGCTTATTTAATCCTGTATTTATTTTTGATACTTCATTACTTGGAATGCTAGTTTTGACATCAGAAATCTACTTCCCTGCTCAAATTCTTCAACTGCCATCTTGGACTCTTCCATTATGTTCATGGATTTTTAAGTGTATTTTGTCTTCCCATTAGGTTACTGAAGTTAACGGGTTGAACATTTTCTAAGGTCAGAAGGTACACACGGTTCCATCCACTTCAATAATAAAACTGAAGCATGGTTCCTTTAACTGTTTCCCTGCAATTACTGAGTAGCAGTAAAAATAAGCTGAGTTGTCTCTTCTGGCAGTTTCTACCTGTCTACTGTCATCATGATCATGTCTAATTTGAACCTTATCTCTAAGTATATATTTTTAGTGTGCATGGGATTTTTCTGTGGCTATATACTCAAATACCTATAAATTAAAACAAATTGATGTCCACTAGTTTTATGACAAATGTGTTAATATAAGCTTCCTCCTTTTCATTAGAAAGAAGGGCAACTAACAAAATATCCCACTCCAGTGTGAGCATTAGTGATATACCATGATCATAGGCAGATGGATTACCAGTCATTTGCTGGGTAAGGATTGCGTGGCTTTCTAAGCAATATTCAAAACAGAATGTAGTTTTACTCCTGGCTATTTGTGCTCACCCATTCTGCTCACTTCGGTGAGTCAGAAAACCAGGCACTGAATGCCAGTGCTGTCACAGGGGAACACGCTTTCATTTAACTCAACGTTTGAGAGAAGAAGGGCGGTAGGAAGAAGACGTCTGTCTACGATTCATTTTCTGCAGTGAATCTCTTAGGAACCAACAGGAATACAGCATGCACAATCAAGATTATTCAGTCCAGATAACAATCTTTATTGTATTTCAATTAAAAAAAAACTTTTGTGCAGCATGTTAACATCAAGGTGCTGTGCATGAGGAAATTCCTAAGGATGGATGGGCGATGTGGAAGTGATGAAAGGTTTCTAGCTGGTAGAACAATATGATCCAATATGTGATTTAGAAAGGAAATTCTGCCAGTAGTGCTAAAAGCTATCTTTTACTCAGAAATAAAATGAAGTTATACATCATTTTCTTTAAAATTAAACAACAAAAACAAAAAACCAAAATAATTTACCACCCGTGCACCACTTAATCATACAATCCTATGTTTCATATACTCGATGGATTTGAACCCTTGGATACTATGTACTAGGGACTGCAGGACACTAGAAACAGAAAGAGACTTCTTCATCAAGGTGCTTAGATGAGATCAGACAAACTCAGCATGGTTTTTTTGTTTTGTTTTGTTTTTGTTTATTGGGATTTAAAATTTGACAGGGAGGAAGGAAGAGCAGAGAGTCTGTGCTTCCGTCCACTGCCTCAAAGCAGTTCTCCCATTTAGAGGACAGGGCTGCCCAGGAGGGTGTGCATCAGCCAGGACGCAAAGGAGGCATCTTGACCAGCCTCTGAACCACAAAGCTGAATGCCCTCCTGTGATCTGGCTATTACAGAAGGTCATAAAGTGACCCAGACGGAGGTATAGCAAAGGTACACTCTGCAATCTCTGCTCACACACATTAGTTAAGCACCAAGACCCAAAGAGATTATTCATTAGGAATGCACAGAAGAAGAAAACAGGGCAAGGGAAAATGGAGCTTGGGAAAAAAAAAAGCTACAAGCGAATAAAATGGCCAGAGAACAAAGTGGAGAATCCAGGCATCACCCAAAATGGGCAGGAGGTCATCAAAGCAAACGGAATGGTCTTCCACAACAAATCTCTCAGAAAGAACAGCTGATGTAACGCCTGAAGCAAATGCCCCAGACTGAGGGTCCCAGGAATCATCTGAGCTTGACAGGAGAGATGCTGTGAATGGACATCAAAGCAGCAATCACTGGGCCTTGGCCACGCATAAGTAAAATATTTCAATATGGATTAAACACGAAAAAACCATTTACAGTAAAACGAAACAATGATGGAATAAAAACATCAAGAAGGACGGATGAAAAGCAAAGGACTTGATAGATAATCCCGTTTCATCTCATACTGATTACAGTATCCCTAATAATACACCATGGGGTGTTTTAATGTTGAATTTTAATTTCTACCCTGAGTTTGCACGTGGCAAGGTTTTCCTTTTGGCAGCTTGACAGCTTTACTTGAAAGGGTCCCAAGACCTTGCTAGATATCAGCCAGACAGATGGTCAAGGTACAAAGACATTCTGTCTTTTTTTTCTTTTCCTGGAGGTCTTTGAAACCAAATGCCATTGTAACAATGTTAAGCTTATTCAGCACTTGACTATTGGGCTAGTCAGAGTGTTTTAAAATCTCTCTGTATCCTTCAGGGTCTTTGAGATGGAAGATGACAAAACATTTGATTCATTAAAGGCACAGGAAAAGGAAAAATGTCAGAAAAAGTAGCTTCTGTTAGATTTAAAATGAATGTTTTGGGAAAATCATCTTCTAAATCAGTAAGAGCAAAGAGCATTCAGGAATAACATGCGTGATAATACGCAACATTTTGAATATTATTTTGGGTCCAGTGCAGTAGCCTAGTGGCTAAAGTCCTCACCTTGCAGGCACTGGGATCCCATATGGGTGCTGGTTCATGTCCCAGCAGCTCTGCTTCCCATCCAGCTCCCTGCTTATGACCCAGGAAAGCAGTCGAGGACAGCCCAAAGCCTTGGGACCCTGCACCCATGTGGGAGACCCGGAAGAAGTTCTGGGCTCCTGGTTTTGGATCAGCTCAATTCCTGCTGCTGCAGCTGCTGGGGAAGTGAATCAACAGACAGAAGATGTTCCTCTCTGTCTCTCCTCCTCTCTCGTATATTTGGCTTTCCAATAAAAAATAAAATAAATCTTAAAAAGTGAGAATATTATTTCAATTAGATTGCTTATCCTTACAAAGACCTCATCATGAGGTAGCAACATCAATGCCTAAGGTTTGGTACAATACTCATATTTTTGTAGTCAATCAAATAATCACTTTGATGAACAGAACTGCAGGAAAAAAAACCTCAGGTAGTGCTAATGTAAGAGGGTACTTGAAAATATATGTGGAAATTGGAACTAAAATATAAGTTTATTTTTGTGAAAAAAAAAAACCTTTGAAACTCCTGCATACAGCACTCATGGAAAAATGCACATTATGAGGAAACTATGAATGGATTTCAAAATTCCATTTACCAAGTGATGTAGAGTGAAAGACTGATCTATTTATTGCAGTTAGAAGGTTGAAGGAGGATGAGAAAGACAGGGTGGAGCAGGAGCGAGATAATACACCTTTAATTCACTGATTCACTTTCCAAAGTCACTGCCAGAGCCAGGTCCGGGCCAGGGGGAACCTGGGAGTCAGGACATCTGTTTGGGTCCCACAGACAAGAAGTAGGTCCCCAAGCATTTGGGCCATCAGGCTGCCTTTCTAGGAAAAGCGGCAGGAAACTGGATGGGAAATGGAGCAATACAAGACTCAAGAACAATGGAACATCCAGATTACACTCTGATTTAGGATACTGGTGATCCAACTGGTATCTTAACCCTGTCTGCCACCTCTAAGCTAATCTTTCAATTTTAATTTCCATGGACTTTTGAAAGTGATTTTTTTATCAACATATGTAATAAGCTTGAGGGGAATTTATAATGAGATATTATTTTACAACCAGAAAACTATTAACCACATGACACAAAGTATATTTCTGTATATTGGAATGAATTGTAAATTGCTAACACAAATCACTTACCTAGTTCTTCATTTTCAATAACTTCAAATGTGGCCCAAACATCACCTTTAACAGGAATGATATTTTTAATTGCTAATATGTCATTAGTTAATTCCTCCGCTTCCATTACAGGAGATATCTGTAAGAGAAGCAATATTTCTTTAAATGATAGGTCAGACACCACGGAGCCTTATGTTATGAGACAACATTTCCCATTTACTATTTTATGATACTCTACCTTATTAGTATGGCTAGACCTATTTTTTTCTAAACATACAAAGAAAAATGCCATATTCAAATGAACATGCAATTCATTTTAGCATATGTGTATAAAGAGATACTATAACACTGAAATAACCAGAACTTTTTTTCTCACATAGTGAGCAATTTAAATCAGAAGGGAAGGATATTTCTACTCATACCCAGAAAAGTCTTATTAGACACTGAATCCAGCAAATCTTGTCACCTGTCACTTCCGTAACCAAGTTTGCAGAGTGAGTTTGGTTTATTCAGTCTAGGCCCTAATTATACACAGCCGACTGACTCCTCTGAGTCATGCCAAGAAGCCCCAGGCTTTTGGTAGTGTGTGGTTGCATTGACATGCCAAGTGACAGATGGTGGCGTACCAAGGTATGCTAGCAGCAGGATTGCAAGGCACAGGGCAGTGTGCAGTGCCAGCCTGCAGTCCAGTTCCAGAACCTGAGGCCTGCTTAAGCGTATCACTTCTTCAGGGACTTATGGGATTTTTTTTTGCTGCGTTTCTTCTTAGCTTTTCAATCTTAAGTGCAAGTGAGCCAAAACTGAGACGGTTTTCTTCAATTAGCATTTGCTTGCAATGCTAAGTAAATGGAAGATGGCTTAAGCCTTACAGTATTGCAAGGGAAATTTAACTTTGCCCATTTTCAGTGAATAGATCTTTACCAAAAGTTTCTTAGCAGGGACAGTCCCTCATTTCCATCTTTCCTACTCAATACTGCTCGGAGCCTATCAGAACCACGTAAATAACAAAAGAGATTTCATGATAGGTAGCTCACATTGTCGGTCATTTAAACATCATGCAATGTAGCGCTTTGGGCCATAAGTTTATCACAGAATTTTAGAAAAATCCAACAAAATATAAACTTAACAGGGAAAAAAAAAACAAAAACAAACAAACAAACTAGCCTCCAGGAAAAGCAGAGAGTTTTAAACAGTACAATAGGCAGTTAAATCAATCTAATAAAGTTGCTGAACATCATGGAGTTAAACATTTTTTAAATTATAATTTTTTGAGGAAAGAAATAATATATTGCTAAGAAATAAAATTGGAGAAAGAGGTAGCATAGAGTACCCAATTTGCAGGTAAAAAGAGCAAACTTCATCATGATTGCCCCAGGAAAGGCCCACATTCCAACTTTAGATAACCTGGAACTCCACATTTAGAAAATATTTAGTCTATGGAAAACATGAATTAGTAAAACGGAACCTGGTTTTGGAATATGATAGGCCAAGTTTGTGTTCTGGTCTTAATTGTTGTTTTTTTTTTTTAACCTAAATTCCCAGTTTGTATTCTTACATACTTGGGGTGTCATTTCATCCCTCTCCAAGAACTGTAGTCACAATTAGCTGACTTCAATGTAACTGAAAGAATCATCAAGGTCTTACGCAGCAACTAAAATGTTAGTGTCTATATTGTTCTTCCATATTCAAATATATAAAGCTGTTTTAGATGGAATTGGACAATATTTTTCGAATAACATGAGAATTTATGTCAACCATCGTCATTTGCTATGCTGTTGTGACTATTATCAGAATAAGCTCTGAGGCAATTAGTGTACAGATTTCAATGTTGCCTCTAAACATCTCTTCTAGCACTAGTGATGGAGTTGTACCAATTAACGTGAGCTAGTTTCTCACATCCCCTATGATGTACACTGCAAACTCAGTGTAAAACATAATAATAGCACCGAAGAAGTGAGAACACAAATGGATCATGAGGAAAAATCCTATGCTAGAAGAATTTTGACCCCACACGCTGGGGCAAGTAGCTCATAGTAGAGTTAGGGCACAACCATTACTATTGATCTAAAATAATAACTCCAGGAAGTGTACCTGAGGCCTGGAAATATCTAATGTGACTGTAAGCTTGAGTTTTTAAATCTGAGAAGTTAATGGTGAGTTTCAGCTACAATGCAGATGTCTGTACCTCGCAAAGAAAAGCAGGATGCTGTACCATTTATACAAAGGAGACTAATGACTGAAAACAGTAACATGAGAGAGACATACAGCACAAATCATCGACATGCTCAAAGAACAGTATGATTTAATATGCAAGTAAACAAGATGATTGAATACTGAAATACATGGGAAACAAATGTGGGAGATCAATAATCGCAGCCCTAGCAGTATTAGTTATTAAGCGCTTATTGCAGAACAATTTGCTGCTAAGCTTTACATGCGTCATCATATTGAGTCTTCCCATTAATGCCATGCAAAACATTCTAATTTTTTCACTTTTGAATAAATGAGAAGATTGAGGACTACACAGGATAAAGGAGTTGCCTCACGTTAAAAATCTTGGAGCGGATGGGGGAAGATTTATGTTCAAGATATTTGCAAAAACGTGTAGAAAATTTCAGTTGTAAGCTAAAGCACATGATGTGTTCTTTCCATATTAGCAAATATAAGAGTGCTCACAGGATACTGATACAAAAAAAAAATAAATCTTGTCAGCATTCACTGAAGGATAAAGATAACACAGAACAGAGAAATGCATTATCCTTAAATTAATGGAGAATAGCATATCGGAAAGTGATGGTCGTTGTAGTACATATCTCTACTGAATAAAAGGAAGACTCTAAATGAAACTGTTAAACATACCTTGACAATACGATACTAGATTTTCTACCATTGCCTATACCTGCAATGCCACCATACACTTAAATAACAGAATGTTGGACTTGCAACTGTTTCTAAAGAACTGTACTATTGATTGGGGAGTGGCAAATGAAGAGAAGGTGAAGTGGGAAAATCCCACAACAATAAATAATAACAATAAATAACAACAATAAATAATACAAAAACCATAGCGCCAGGACTTAGGATGCACAACAGTACTATGTCCATCTACTTGGGACTTACCCGGATGATAATGCTACAGTCAGGTTCCTTCCTTTCTACATACACTTCAATGAGCAAATCTCCAGCCTGGGAAACCTGCAAAGTAGATGCCAAGATTGCACATGTGAGGGTGTTGCCAAAAGTCACAGACACTTAAAAGACAGAGGTCAGATTTTGCAATGCCATATACCAAAGGAATCAGTTCAGTATCCTGTTTGCAACTATGGTATATTCCATTTATCAGAATGGTTTATGATGAAGAGGAAATCAAGATTTTTTTTTTTACTGAAATAATGTATCTGGATTCATTGGAAATGTGCTGACATTGAAAAGAGATGCAGCAAGAGCCATCACTACGTCTACCAATAAGACATAACAGGAAGAACTGAATATGTGACTCACGTAATTCTGCTTTAAACTACTATGCACAGACTCAAAAACTAAAAGGGAAAAGCAGAAGTAAACTTTCAGAAGCATGATAGATCCCTAATTTTTTAAAACATAATGAGAAATTAGTTCAGAGTTGTATTAAAACTGTAAATACAGAAAGTAAACCTGGTTAAAAAATAAAAGTGAAATGATATATTATGGCAGACAATACAGAGAAGTATTATTTTAGTTACCTTCGGCCAAGGATTAGAGTACAGTTACTTGGGTCATTACACTATGCCAGAACACAGATGTCATGAAGAAGATACAAGACAGAAAAGGAAAAGTACAGGCTATCTTCATGTTAACTCACACAACAAGATGTGGTGAGTTAACAAAGAATCAAATAGATGCATGAAAAATATTGAATATCTTTTTGCCAACTTTCACGTAAGTTATAGAAAACTACTTGGAAATTATAACACCATCTTATTAAAAAAAATAACAGAAAAATTATCCTGAAGCTCAATTTGCCTAAGTACAGCATTTAATCAAGTAAAACACAGAGAGGTGACACTTGAAAGACGTCCTTTGAAAAAGTGTTAATTATTTCACGCCTACAGTTTTAGAAAAGTTTATTTTTAAATTGTGTGTGTGTTTGTGTATTCCAGTTGCACTGAATTTCTAAGGAAGGAAAAGATACAGTTTACAATTTTGCTTTTCACTAGTGTTTGCATAAACAACTCTCCAGGAAGGACACATTTTAAAAATTTAAAAAGCAAACACAAAGAACTCATACAACGAAGCCAAAAAGATGAACAGGTAAGGAATTTAGAAGTAAAACACAGACATTGTCACAAAAACACTCCAGAGGAAACTTTGGATTGAATAGAGAAAAACTAAAACAAAACAATGTATTTTTTTCCAAACTCTCCAGTTTTCTAAGTATTAAGCTTTTAGATAATTATTTTCCTGTTCTACTTTATGCTAAATGTAAGGGTGTTCAGGACGCATTATTTTTTTAAAACATATGAATATAAAGGGTTAAAATGGAGCTGGCTCAGTAGCATAGCCAGTGAAACTGCTGCCAGTGGTGCTGACATTCCATATTGAAGCCAGTTCAAGTCCATGCCGCTCACTTCCAATCTGGGTCCATGCTAATGAGCCCAGGAAGGCAGCAGAATGTGGCCCAAGTCCTTGGGCTTCTGTACCCATATGGGTGATCCAGAGGAAGCTCCTGGCTCCTGGCTTTGGACTGGCTCAGCTCCAACATTTGCCAAGAAGTAGGCCAGTGGACTTCTGTTCCCATCCCTCTCTCCTTCTGTAATTCCCCCTTTAAACAAATCCATCTTTCAAAAAAGGATAAAAATGTAAAATGTAAAAGGTACGTTTATAGTACATCAATATAGAGGATGCATTCAGGCTCACACAGTGCCTTATTTCATGCATTCAACCCTTCGCCAAAATGTGAGAAATTAAATAAATTGTAAGAAGCCACAATTTTTAGTGATCAAGTGGATATCTCTGAAATTGTATTCGCTATGTTTAGTTAAGTGCAGTAATTGGTTAAATAACTACTATCACTGTGCTGGTACTAAAACATCTGAGCCTTTCCTCAACAACTTCGTCTGGGGGAACAGTGCCAATGACTACTCTAATTACTAGCAGATATTTTAGGACTGAAAGGGATTTACCATCTGACTACTGAAAAAGCATTTCCTCACTAGCTGAATGCTGCCACAAACATGGTATGTTTGAGTCATTCCTATTGTTTACAATAATGCCTGAATCCAGTACAACCTTAGCTACTAGAAGATGGTTAATGAATAGCCAGAAAAAATTCATTAAACAAAGTACTCTGGGGAGGCAGAACGCATGTTGCCCATGCAAATTCAATGTAAGACACCTGAAGAGAGCAAGACAGAATTCAGAATAGTCCACTGAACATGAAAGTTAGCAAGTGTTACAAAAATCACATTAGAAAAGTTCCCATTAATACAATCACCTGAGAGCATGCAGAGCGAAAGCACAAGGAAATAAATTTTCAGAATTACAAGGAAAGATTCATTAGGCTGTCGGAATTTTCAAGTAACTCTACTAATTCTTTGGCTTTAAATGCTTCCTTTTAAGTCTCCCAGCATTTCCAATGCTTTTTTTTTCTCATAAATCTTCATATATATAAATTGAAAATTATTTTTCTCTATTTAAAAGAATATGATTAACATATTTCACATGTATACATCAGGTTGTAGAACTACAGAACTGTTTTTTATCTAGGCTCTTTTTCACCATTACTTTTGTTTTGTTTCAAATGGGAATATGAAAGTACATGTACCAAAAAAATCTTGATTTACAATAGAAATGCTTCTTTATTTTTTGAGAGATCTAACTATTACTACTCACTTGAGTGTCTTTCCACTTGGTAATAAAGCTATTCTCTATGTCCATTTGTTTGACTTGATCTTCTTTAACCTGTTTAAGATATAATTTGTGACATTCTAATAAGGTGGAATACAGGGAGCAGTGTACTCATCCTCATGTATTCTTCAGGAACTTAAATATCACCAAGTAAAAGATAAAAAACGAATGGCTATCTTAATCAGCATGGGCCCACAAAGCAGGGCAGACAGAAATCCAAGACAGAACTTCATAGAGTTCAAAACACTTTTTGATGATATTGCTTCAGGCTGCAGAGCCCATCCATGAAAACCCCATTGCTAAGGTGGTGAAGGCAGCAAAGGGATGAGGCTCTTAACTCATTTTCTCAAGTCAAAGCTTTCATGAAGGGCTGATTAAATGTCTCCCATTTGGTAAAGTTGGGTTTAACATACTGTGAAGATAACCATGTTTCTATACAGGAACATTACAAAAATAAAACAAAAATAAAGAGAGCATGTAAAGCCACATATGACTTTTTTGTAATCTTTTCACAGAATCAGCTTATTGCAAAGAAGCTGCTATTGATCAAAAATAGTGGACACATAAAGAAAGAAATGGAGGGAAGCAAAGAACAAGGAAAATACAACCACTTTGCATCCACTACTACATGAATTAACATACACACTGTGAAATTTTACTGAATGAAGCATTCCCTTTCCCCTTGCTAAGGAAACATAAATTATTACAAGTAAATAAAAGCTCTTCAAGCAGTAGCGTATAGCATTAACCCACTTGGCTTCACCTGCTGCATTCTTAGCTCTGGCAAACAGGAATTCCTATAAACATCATTAACTGAAAGCCCAGAAATGTTATATGCAGAACTGGAGTTTATAACACATAAACATCATTTGCAAAGCTTTATATATATATTTTTTATTTTTCTGCTGGACTGAGAAACCATTCCTAATGTCAACTTTATGACAAACTATGTAAAGTTTAAGTCCATAAATGAACAAACTGAAAAAGCTAAATAACTAAAACTGATAATGGCTGAGCATTGTACCTGCTCCCCGCCCCCATATCTCATCCAGTTTCCTGTACTTGAGACCTTGGCCCTCATTTTGGAGACCCACAGTGAGTTTCTGGGTCCTGGCTTCTGCCTGGACCAGCCCTCGATGTTCTGGACAACTGAGTGCTTAACCAGTCAATTAAGGATTTCTCTCTTTTTTTCTCTCTTTATATCTTCTAGAAAAAGAAAAATGGCTTACCAAATAATCACAGAATAATGATAGGATTTCAACATTTTCTTTCTTTCCAATTGGGAATACAATTTTAGGATAAACATTGAAATGTTTCCAACTACAGAATTTAATAGGATAGTGTTTATTTTCGAGTTTGTTAATTTCATAAACTGCATCACTTTAAGCAGACATATGCAGTACTCAAATCCTAAGCAGGAAAGGCACAAATGCCCTATACAATGCCCTATACGTAGAATTAAGTTGTTTAAGACTAGAGACTAAAAATTTTACATAAAATAAAATTAAATAAATAATATAGCTAAGTTAAAAAGTTAGTTATATCCGGCCCAGCATGATAGCCTAGTGGCTAAATACTGGACTTTCATCTGTCAAGAACCCGATGGGAACCGATTTATACTCTGGCTGCTCCACTTTCCATCCAGCTCCCTGAATGTGGCCTGGGAAAGCAGTAGAGGATAGCCATGTGGGAGACACTGAAGAAGCTCCTGGCTCGTGGCTTTGGACTGGCTCAAAATTGGCCATTGCAGCCACTTGAGGAGTGAACCAGCAGACCGAAGATCTTTCTCCCTGGATCTCCTCACTGTATATCTACCTTCCCAATAAAAAAGTAAAAAACAAAATTAAGTCTTTTTTTTTTAAAAAGCTAGTTACGTCAAAGAAGGAATACAATCTTTATTTTCTCTATATATAATACTGAAAAAGGTTTGAATAACATCCAAAACATGCATCCTTGCAAAGAGAAAAGAAAATGACCTTAATAAATGAAGAATGTAAAATATTTACCTCAAATATTTCAACATAGTTATTAATCAGGTCCTCAATTACACTCACTTCTTCACTCGTTTGTCCCTTCGTTTGAAACAAACATGATGAAAAGACTAAGGCCAGATTATGGGCATTCATGTGATTGATTTCTGAGCACTTCTGAACCCTGGAAGAGAAAAGCACAGCTCATTATGAAACACTTCAATTTAAAAACTGCATGGGACTCTAAATCAGAATACTAAGTTATCATTTTTCTCTGACATTAAAAAAAAGGGCAAAGATAATTTAAACAATCACCACCATTAAAAACTGTTAAGCAGGTGCACAACACAATGTAGTACTTGACAACTGCTTTCAGGAGAGGGATTGAGTATAATCTAACAATGAAAGAACTCAGCTCAAGCACAGATCTGTGTACCCGAGTGGCGTAAGATGACCTAGATGACCACAACACAGAAGAAGGGACAGGAGCTACATAGGAAACAAAGCAACACAGGTGGATCAGCCCACACACAAGACAGGGCTGCATATTCCAGGATAAGAGTTGAGCTAAACATTTCAGAAACTTCACAGTAGGACAGAAATAGAGACCTTCAGTAGGTGCCAGAAAAATGACTTACTTTACAAATAAAACTAGAGTTTCCATGAGCAAAACGGAGGATTTTTGCAATGAACACATAAGAGGAAATACAGAATAATCACGGGGGTCTAATACAGCATTTAAAGCGCTCGCAAGTACAAATCCAAAATGATTTTCAAAAACACAGTCATCTCTAGGCCCAGTGGCTAAAATCTTCATCTTGTAAGCACCAGGATCCCCCATATGGGCACAGCTTTGTGCCCTGGCTGCTTCATGTTCCATCCAGCTCCCTGCTGATGGCCTGAGAAAAGCAGTCTAGGATGCCCCAAAGTCTTGGGATACTGCATCCACACGGGAGACATGGATGAAGCTCCTGGCTTCAGATCAGCTCAGCTACAGCCATCGCAGCCTGCTTGAGGACTGAACCAGAGGATGGAAGATCTTTCTCTCCTCTCTCTGTAAGTCCATATTTCAATAAAAATAAATAAATCTTTTAAAAATATATACAGCCATCTCCACAAAAAAGGGAAAGCTGCATTAGCAACATATCTTACGTAAGAATCGTTAAGTACGCACATGAAGTATCTGTTAATGGCTTCTATTTGTCACTAATATGTACTAGCTACTTGGTTGTTGATTTAGTTACCCTTGGAGATTTTAAAAAAATACATATTGAATGAAAGAGACCAAAACAAAGTGAGAGCAGGCGCATCTCTATACAGAATATAGATCCCAGCAGGTGCGAAAAAAAAAAGTAAGTAAACAGGATCATTACATACATGGTATGCAAGAAATTCAGAATAAAACACCAAATTGCATAACAGACACAGGACAAGTGAATGTGATGTATAAGGAATTGAAATTTAATACAGGAGGATGTAACAATTGTACACATCTCTCCCCAAATTAGTCCTGCAATCTCATCATAGCAGCCTGTAAACATCCAGGTAATTTATCAGCATGTCTGCCTCTGTTAGTAGAGTCGAAGCAGGTCACAGAGACCGCCACCTTCATCACACTGGAGAACGTAATGGTGAAGGGAATTAAGTGCGCATGACTGGTAGAGTAAGTGATCTCACACCTGAGGTAAGGAATGAGTTAAAAGCAAAATCAACCTGACCTTACCCAGACTGACTTTTCAAACTTTTGACAACACCATGAAATATTCCTGCTTTCAAGAGACTTCCTTTGATAATGTCGTTCTTCTTTGGCACTATTTCACCTCTGTCGTTTGCACAGCTGCAATGTCTGGGACGAAGTGAATTCAACCAGATCTGTTTCTTACTTCTTCCTCTGCCATCAGATACTGTGCCCAGGTATGCCATAATTAGCCTGCTCAGTCCTTTCATACTTATACCCTGCCATCAGAAATTCCACTAACTTGTTTTCTAATTAGTTTCTCTGTCTCTTCTCAAGGAGTCCGATCACAGAGGCTATCACAGAAGCTGCTGTGATCATCCTCTTGTTTCCATGCATCAGGGTGGGTAACACTCAGCCTCCAGGCCAGGAAAGGACACAGAACCACTTGGTCCGACCCTTCCCAGGCAACCCCAGGTAGGACTCAAATTTCAATAAATCTGGTCAGGCTACTTTTTCAGCTAATAAATCTCTCTAACATGAGTAATTGTAATAAATATCAAGGCATCATTGGCAGAAAAAAAAAGTTCCCTACCCTTAGACATGAATGAGATCTAAATGCTTTGCATGGTCTACAAAGCTTTTCTTTTATAATGTACTGCTAGCTAATTCTGTCTCATCATCTAATATTCGCACATCCCAGAAAAACATTTTAGTTCATTTCTTGTTTTTATCTTGCTTTCATACCCAGTCCATCTCTCCAAATCTGAAGCATCAAAGCATTCCCTGAACTTCAATGCATCATTCATTCCCTTACAGTACCCTGCCACAGCTTAAAATTTTCTGCATTCAAGCTTTTACCCACATCTCATAAGCATGGAAATACAAGTACACAACACAGGCCGCATTTGTGTGGTACAACAAAAGCATCCATTTTATAATAATGGTGTTTGCATGCCCAAGAATACGTTATTAGAAATTAGAGGAAAAAAAGGAAACTATGTAAGACTTTTAAATCTAGTCTCCAAACAATATATAGTGGATTTCAGGGTTTTATTTATTTATTTATTTTTATTGGAAAGGCAGATCAGATTTATCGAGAGAAGGAGAGACCAGGAGAAAGATACTCCATCGTCTGATTCACTTCTCAAATGGTCACAATGGCTGGAGCTGAGCCTATTCAAAAGCTTTTCCCAAGCCTCCCAGATGGATGTATGGTCCCAAGGCCTTGGGCCATTCTCCACTGCTTTCCCAGGCTACAAGCAAGAATCTGGATGGGATGCGGAACAGCTGGGAAAAGTACAGTGCCCACATTGGATCCTAGCAATTGCGTGGTGACAATTTAGCTTTTATTGTATTTTATTCAAGGAAATATGAATATTAGAATATTCCACACAGACATATTCTATCCATATGACAATTTTTTAAGAAAAATTTATACTTTTGTCATTTAAAAATAATTGATGAGATTAGAACAAAAGATCGGTTTTAGGCTTATAAGGCTATTTCCACATATCTTCACCTTTCACCTCTTGTTTCTCAAGTCAGATTACACTCTTCAATTCTTTCAAAAGTGGGATGACTTACTCCCTGACACAGAAAATCATTCTGACTTTCCTTATCTCATTGACACTATAATTCCAAAATATCAGGATTCAGGTAAGATGTCAATGAATAATAATAATAATAAATAACAGTCTGTAAGTATCTTTCTATGTGAAATTGCTATGCTCTGATTCCTGCTATAGAACCCAGGTCCCTCAGCATTCAGGGAACTGTGGATTCTTTCCAATATAATTTCATGAACATGCTAAAAGTGTTTACATCAAAATCTGTCCCGGTATATCACTGAGACACAGACAAGACTCGATAAGGTAGACTCAATGTGTATGCTACAAGAAAATCATTCCTGAAACCATAGCAGAGCAAACCATGACCACTTGCAATGGCATATGCCCTACTGGAGTGGCAACTGGAAGCGCAGCGACTCTGCTCTGATCTAGCATTCTGTGAGTGCTCCTGAGAAGGCAGCAAGTGATCTGGAAGACCTGGAAAGAGTCCCAAGCTCCTGACTCCCGTCGGTCCCAATTCTGACTGTGGCCATTGTCTGTGAGTGAACCAAAGGATGCAAGTTCCCTTCAGCCACAGTCTGGGACTCTATTAAGCAGAAATAATTTTATTTGTTTTCCCTTCTACTATTTCTCACTCAAATGAGTTTTCATGTATTTGCTATAGACAGAGATAGGCAGTCAGAGAGAAACCCTCTATTTGCTAGTTCACTTCTTAAATGACAGCAACAGCAAGACTTGGGCTATGCTGAAACCAGGAGCACAAACGTCCATTTATTATCATTTATGGGTGCCAGGGAACCAAGCATGTGAGCCATCTTCTATTCACTTCCAGGATCACATCAGCACAAAGCTGTACTGGAAGTAGGAGCAGGTACTCGCATATGGCACTCAGATGTGGCATATGGGCATCCCAAGGCAGCGTCATAACCACTCCAACTGAACTCTAAGATGATAGTTAGTGCTATTTGCATTTGAAGAAGTTACATATATCACCACCAAACATTTAACAAATGTTTCAGGGCCCAGTGCAGTAGCCTTGCAGCTAAAGTCTTTGCCTTGTATGTGACAGGATCCCATATGGGTGCCAGTCATTGTCCTGGCAGCCCTCCAGCTCCCTGCTTGTGGCCTGGGAAAGCAGTCCAGGACAGTCCAAAGCCCTGGGTCTCTGCACCTGTGTGGGAGACCCAGAGGAGGTTCCTGGCTCCTGATCGGCTCAGTTCCATTCACTGCAATCACTTGGGGAGTGAATCAGCAGGAGGAAGATCTTCCTCTCTGTCTTTCCTCCTCTGTACATATCTGATTTTCCAATAAAAATAAAAAATAAATCTTTAAAAACCTGTTCCAGTGTAGAAATAACTCGATGATATTAAATACAGAAAGAACAATGTGATATTTCATACAATACGGCAATAAATGGAGTCATGAAGAGGGAGAGTCTAGCCACAGTACTCAAAATAAAAACAATGACATAATGGGAGCCAGGTTTGAAACGTCTAGAAAACCCATGCGTGCACGGACCTGTAAAGGTGTTCAATGAGAGCTGCCAACGTTGCTCGGTTGACCCCTGGGAGAGTGCGTATAAACGCCCCATACTTCTTTATTCTTTCCTTGTCATCCTGTGCATCTGGTAAGGAAAAAAAAATCCTTAAGGCTAAATAATTATCAATTTTAAAGCAGAAATCATTCATATGTTTTAACAAATGGTACAAATGTTCAAGCTTCTAGAGCAACCACATGCATGTATTCATGTGCAAATGCCAAAGCTATCTGCTTTAGCTCTTACAATCCCTTGTGATTTAAAAAAAGAGAAAAACACTCAAAATGTGAGACTAGCATGGTTTTATTTTTTCATCTTATACTTTACAGAATAGCAACTTCTAACAGGAATACATTCAACTAATTTCTTAAACTGCAGTACAAAGTGGAGAGTTAAACCAAAAGCATTGCGTGTAGCTGTGGGAAGGTTTCTTTATGCACATGTGCAAACGACAAGTCTGATCTTTTTTCCCTAGGAAATCATAACAATCTCACCAAAGCTACAACACTTCCCAGAGGTGCAAGCTGTGCATTATCCCTCTGATGTAAATGCATCATCCTTTGCCAGCACTGGTACCTACAAGCCATTGGAAAGGATGAGCGGATAATGGATAAGGTCATACGCTAGCCTGAATACTACGGTCCAAATATAGACGGATGGATTGCCTTTGTCTTGAGCAGAAACTGACAGGACATTACCTTCAAATTAGCCAACTCTAAGATGTTAAATGGTTTTAGAATTCATAGAAAGGCACCTCAGTGGTCTAGCGTCCACAAACGGGGATCGTCCAGTCACCTGATTTGGCCTTGCCAATGCAACCGCACAAACAGGTTTCCCACTCCTGATCTAGATACAAGATGTACACTAATGGTTTGTTCTTACCTAGCTAACACAGGAAATAAAAGACTATTTTTAAAAAATTTTCTTTTTAAAAATATTTGTTTATTTGTTATTTGAAAGTTAGAGTTACAAAAAGAAGGAGAGACACAGGACAGCAGCTGGAACTAAGCTGATCTAAAGCCAGAAGCTAGGAGTTTCTCCTGCGTCTCCCAAAAGGGCAGGAGCCCAAGGACTTAAGCCATCCTCTGCTGCTTTCCCAGGCCACTGGCAGGGAGCTAGACAGGAAGCGGAGAAACATAATCTGGTGCCTATTTGGGATGTCAGGTGCTACAAGCTTGAGGATTAACCTGTTGAGCTACCGTACTGGGCCCCTTCCAATGCCTCCCTCGACCCCCAATTAAATATCTTATACCTACTTTGCTACTCAAGGGTATTGCACTTATATATTCCTTCTCAATCCTAAGCATCTTTCAAAAGATGGCTTTTTCATTTTCCACTTAGCTGTGTCTGTTCTTTGCAGAGAGGCAGTAGCACATTAATGATTCTGTAACAGTGCACAGTCACCTGCCGAGGGCATCAGAATCCCTGGGGATATGAGAAACACTGCGCCATATTTTTCAAGAACACTCCTATTCAAAACTGCAAGTGATATCTCTTTTGTGTCAATTTAGTCTGCACATGAGATCTGTACAAGGAAACAGGGTCATATAGACTTTTGTGACCTAACAGAGCAAGAAACGGAAAGACTCGCGTGACAGTTAAGATACTACCGGAGATGAGCCATTCCCTGTACAATCCAAATATTTACCCCTGCATTATCCAGGTTCTAACTATAGGGATAACAGGTTATATTTAATAAAATTAATACTACTACAGCTCCTGGAATAAGACACCACATTACGATAGGATACATTCACATACCTCCTAATGAACTGGAATTTTAAAATGAAGACAAGCTTGGGGGGAAAAAGTAAAGCAACAGAAAATATAATCAGAAAACTGACTAGCCACTGAATCAGCTCATCTATCTCAGAGGGAATATGTGCATCATATGAAGAGCGGATTGCCCAGCAAGGCACCCTCAGCCACAGCGCCAGGATGGTAAAGAGGTCTCCTCTGAGGCCACTCCAAGTACGGACACCTCCTCTGGGGTCAGTCAGAGAGCTGTGGTTCATGCTTGGCGGATCCTTCATGAACCTCTTCTGAAAACTGACCGAGCTATTTCAGCTGTCAATGCAAAGGGCTTAAAGACCATTTGATGCCAATATTCAAAGTGTTCTCTACATAAACTCTCAAAGAATTCACATCCGGGTGAAAGGTGAACAGATACCCTTCTGCCACGGGCTCTCCGCGTACAGACTGCCTCCTCCTGGCGGACTGACCCGAGTCAAGACTTCTTTGTCTCTACATTTTACAACTTTAACAAAAACATATTTGTCACATAGTTGTTATAATAGATTTTGCAGTAAAGAGCCATTATCAGCTTTTCAAAAATAGAAATACTACAAATAACTTCATGGAAAATACAATAAAATCTTCAAACAAAAATGAAAACTACAAGAAAACTGGGTTTAAAGAAATGCATTTATGTATTTTCATATTTTAACTCCCAGAAAACTAAACAATTAACTGTGATTGTGATTATAGTTAACTCCACTGGTTTGAGACATACGAGGGAGCAAACAAGAGATGAATGGATTTTGTAGATGAAGAGCTTTACATAATCTACTTGCTGACACTGATATGGGTCACTTGGGATAATTGTCACACTATGTATGATTTGTGGCGATACTGACAAGGAATCACTTCAAATTTATTTATTTTATATAGAATAAATCAATGTCTTCAGTAAGAATCTCATTTCTTGAAACAGGTTAACGCATAAGATACCAACAGATTACGAACTACAGTTTAATTCAAGGAAAACTGTTAAATACTGAAGATACAAAACTATTATTTTGGAAACATAGATGAGAAATTCTTGGTGTCTTATTAATAAAAATAATTGACATTAAGCAGAGAGAAAAATTGGAAATATGCGATTAAAAGAAGTATAATATTTCTTTTTAAAATCTTATGTTTTAATAAGAGGCATTGCTGTAGACAGATTACAGATACAAAGTGATATATTATTGAAATCACTAAGACACCAGTTGTTAACATACTATTCTTCTGGGTAATCTCTTAAAAATGTCTCATTACATTCTTGGTGTCATAAGATGGAAAGGAAAGAAATAAGAATGAAGTACAACAAATAAAATAAATACAATAAAAATAATAAAATAAAATTAAATTAATAGAATAAAAACAAAGAAAAGACAAAGGAGCAGCATGTAGAAATTTTATAAAGTGAACATTGATTTAAACACCTTGTTTTATTTTCAACAGAAGACGGTATATGGGGACTTGAATGCAATATTTCAAGGTAAAAGCAACATAAGCACTAAGAAATCCACCTAAAAGTAACATAAAACCAGGCCTAGAACGCACGCCCTACGGAGTATCACCGCATTTCTTCTCAGGTAGCTGCTGACACCTGCCGCAGGCGTTCCACTGTAACTCAGGCATTCATCCTGCTGCCTGTTTTGTGCCTCACCTAAAGCAGAGATCCAGTAAGGGTAGAGCTCCTTGGCCAGCAGCGCATCATCAACGTCACAGAGGAAGCGCTTCAACACACCCGTCACGTCTTCAAGCCGATGCTTTCCAGCCCTCAACTTAACGCTTCTTGCATCCTTTTTGAAACTTTCCAGGAGTTCGCTAATGTGCGAAGGATCACCATTCTTTTGATAGATGTACTTGCATCCCAAGCCTTTGTTAAAAAGAGGTACACGGAAACATTTAAATAGGAGATGCATTATGAAATCTGATGAAGAAAATTATGAAAAAAAACCATCAGGCTACCAATGATATAAGCAAGCATGGAGCACATGGTGCTTCTTGTCTATGATGTCAATCTTGAGAATGTCAAACAGATACACTGCTCCATCCTCAGCTTTCAACAAACCCTCACGCATCCCTTCCTTCAGTTCTCCATAGTATCTTTTAAAATTTTTCTTTGGGGCCCAGAGTGATAGCCTAGTGGCTAAAGTCCTCATCTTGCACATGCTGGGATCACACATGGGCACCAGTTCTAACCCCTGCAGCCCCATCCAGTTCTCTACTTGTGGCCTGGGAAAGTAGTCGAGTACAGCCCAAAGTCTCAGAACCCTGCAACTACGTGGGAGACCTGGAAGAAGCTCAAGGTTCCTGGTCTTGAATTAGCTCAGCTCTAGCCATAGCAACTGACTGGGGAGTGAATCAGCGGATGGAAGATCTTATTCTCTGTCTCTCCTCCTCTCTATATGTGACTTTCCAATATAAATACATAAATAAACAGACAGATAAATAAATAAAGTAATAAATATTTTAAAAACATATTTTTAAAAATTATTCCAAACTACACACTTAATTGTCTCACTGACCAAACTGAGGCTTCAATTTCGCAATCTCCTGACCACACCTCTGTCTATTCATTTTTGTCTTTTCCTATATTTATTTCCTCTCAGTGAGGAGATAGCTCACCTCTTTTTCATCTTTACTGATTCATTAAATACTCCGCAGACAGGGTGAGAGCAGAAGAGATTAGGTTGTTGAAGATCATGAGAACACAAAATAAAAATCCCTACCAGTCTTTCCCAAGCCACTCAGGTTTCTATTTTGTTTCCTTTAAAATGAAGTTTTGAGTTCTACAGTCTCATGTTTGCTGTTCTTTAAACACACAATCTTATTTCTGTGCACAGACCCCATGCTGAGACCACTTTCATCAAGAATATCGAAGACATCTTTTCCCATGATTTTCAGCTTTTATCTAATGAGAACCCCCTGCAGCTTCTGACACTCTAAATGAATCTGTTAAAGCTCTTTACATCTCGTTGTTTTCATAAAATCAGGATTTCATTTTCATCTCCTCTGTGTTCTGCCATTTATAATTTACTGGAGATTTCAGGAATCCATGTTTACTTCTTCTCTTCTCCCACAGCCTGTAACAGTCTCTGGGTGTAGCCATTCAACTTCATCATTTCGATTATTACATACACATTTTAAAATAATTTTCACTGAGAATTTAATTTCTAAGGTTTCATACACGCATATGTACTGTCACACCTACACACAACACACAGGCAGTGATTACATTAAGGAATCGATTGTTTTGCCTCATCACTGCCTTCACCCTCCAGTCCTTAAAGTTCTTGTTCTTTTACCTCAACCTATGGTGGTACATTTTCCCAAACCCCCTTTGCAGAGTTCCAACTTTAGGAACTTTCTAAGTCATGTAGACTTAACACCATCTCACTTTGAAAACTTTCTTCCCTTGTGTGCCATATGCTGTAATTTTTGTGACCTTGACTCCTCCTTACCTTTCCCTGACTCCCACCCACTTTCCTTCAACAGCTTTCGAGTCTCTCTTAAAAACGGCAGCTGCAGGATGTAAAGGACTCATTTGTTGGCGTCACCAACAACCTCACAAAAATATATGCTGTCCTCCCATTGCCTATAGGCAAAGGCTGAGGATGTTTTGTTACTGTATTTAAAATGCTCAGTGAATGGACCTCATTTCCTGACTTCTGTTTACACCCTTTCTCTGGCACATTAACTTCTGTCATGGAACTGATTATCAGAAAAAAGTCTCAGTTCTCCTCTTGGTATTCCTGTCCGCTTCTTAACCAGCTCCCTCCCCTTAGGGCTCATGACACCAATCATTATGAAACCCTCTACTACCATACTCACTCTGGATGAAATATACCCCTACCCCACTGATGACTGTGGCAACCCTACAACACAGAATTCTGTACTTAGATGCACTTGTTCACTGGTTTCTCTGTGATCCATACTGTGTAAACTGCTGCATGGGAAGAGTTATATGCTTTCTGTATATATCCAGTAGCTACAGTACCTAGGAGAACTCAGCAACTATTCAACAACTAACTTCCTAACACACAATTCTACACAGACAACACAACAACAAAAGAAACAACTGCAACTGCAGTCTAAGGCAAGAGGTTCCTACCTGAATGAACTTCTAATAGCTGGCACACAAATAGATTTAGTGAACTAAATGAACATGTGAACCCATTTCTGTTTATAAAAATTAAAATGCATTCCACAAGAATAAATAATAAATATACCCAAACTCATATTGTGAACTTAGTCAAGTTCAAACCCTGACATGATGAGCACTGAAAATCTGCTGTTTTCGCCCAGATATCAGTAAGTTTGCAGCAACTTCTTCTACAAAGGTTCTGAGCCAACCAACTGGCATCCTATGATTACCAAACATTTTCTAATTCATGTCAAATTTTTCTACTTGCTGCTAACAATGAGGTTCCCCTACACTTTGCTCATTTAAACAAAAAAAAAAGCTTCAGCAGCTTTATACCTTTAATACACAAGTTAATGCACCTTGTGTTAGAGTTATAAAGTAGCTATAATGTATGAAATTTAGCTGAAAACAATCTAGTGCTTAATGGTTTTAAATTCAAATAAACAACATAAAGAAACTTCTGATTTCCCTAGAGAAGCATTAAATTTGTTACACTAGAGTTAGTCAAGTTATTTTAATCATTTGCCAGCTGAAGAAAGATCCTACGCCATTATGAAACTAACATGATGTGAAAATTCCTCATGAGGTTATACGTGCAATTCATTTATGCCTGCAAAATGCAACCATACTAATACTGAACGATAGCAATATGTGAAATAACCTCGTTTATTATTCTCAAATAAAGATTATTATACCTGAAAACATACACATATTTCATCATAGGAAAGAACTTCATCCATGAAGGGTCATCCACGTGAGAATGCACATATTTTCAATAGATATGATACAAACACAGTGAACTTATACCTTAACAAATAACTGTATTTGGATTACATATCAAATAATTAAAATACTCTCCTTGGAGAAAAGATTAATATATTCTATAAATTTAACTGCCAAAATTTATTTTTTGTAGCATTGATTTATTATGGGCATTGCCAGTGTCCCACAGCAGAACACAGTCCTTAGCTTTGTTTTCAACTTTTTTACTGTATCTTCTTTGTTTTCATTATTTGGACCAGTGGCTGACAGGCAGCAGGCACTCAATAAAGAAAACAAGGAAGAAATAACAGAGTTCTCGTCTGTAATGGTCTTACTATTATACCTTTTTTTCTATTGAAAACATGCAAAGATATTTCCAATATCAGGAGAGCAAAAAGAAATCCTATTTGAAAATATAGTATCAAGCATTTTATTCTTTTCTGCAGCTCTGATCTAAATAAGTTACAGATTGAAATCTGGAGTTGATCATTGGTCCAACAAATAAGACACTAAAATTGCAATATCCTGCATCAAAGCACCTGAGTGAGACTGTTGTTGCCATGTCCTAACCCTGGCTTCCTGCCAGTGAATATCCCTGGTGACACCATGATGGCAGTGACCCAAGTCGGGAACCTGCATTAAGTTCCTGGATCCTGGGGTGGACTGTAAGGCCAGGGCAAGTGCAGGAATCTGGAGAGTGTGCCAGGGGTTAGAAGTTCTCTTTACATCACTGTCTCTCTGCCTCTCAAAATATAAATAAATGAATGAGTGAATCAATCAATCAATCAATGAACAAATAAATAAAAAAGAAAATCTTAAGGCAGAAATATTTGTATATTAGAAAAATGGCAAATTTTTTAACCCTTAAGAGTATGACGTATATACACAACCAGGAAGGAAAATAAAGATGAGAAAAAGTTATATTTCAGGTGAATCTAAAATACCATCATAACACATGAAGTTAAAATGAAGCTAGAGCATGTAGATACAGATAAACTTTTTTATCGGCAAACTCTCTGTGTTGCAAATAGCCAAAATTATTCAAACCAATTCTCATGCTCCTTAATAGGAACATTCAATTAAATACAATGTTGGATGAAAAATGCACACACAATTTGAGAGCAACGCAACAGAAATCAAAATCTTTTATATGTTGTTCCAATTCTATACATGTGCTAAGCGGAGCTGAGTTACTCTTTATGCTATGCTTGTAATATCAGAAAAATCACAGTCCTCACTATTTTTTATACATTTTACAATGTAGATTTGTTCAATCTGTTATTTAACAATCCTTCACTCATAAAAAGAAAGGAATGAGAGAAGTGTATTATGCATTCTAGCTGACTTTCATTGAGAGAGCGAATGGCAGTCAGCTGAGCAGAGACATGCCTTTTATTCTCCACTGGTGCACTTACAAATGAAAAGGGCTTAACTTAGTCCAACAGAGGTACCACTGGAAAAACTGTAGGAATGACAATGTGAATAGTAGGCGGTGAATAAAAACTCTGTGATACATACCATACTGTGTAACAAATGCTATGCAGCTGTTCACGATAATGGGTACGTCATTTTTGCTGAGCTGCTGATCTTGTAATGCATTACCATCTGTACCTGCTGCTTTTTCAATTGCTGTATGCCAGACTGTGAAATCCAACTTGGTGTGCCCATGGATGTATAATGTACTGGAAAGTTAAAAAAGCATTTCAAGTCATAATTCTGCAATTTTATTTTAGACTTTTACTTCAAGACAGATTACCTCTATAGCCAAAAATACACAACCCTGTCTCACCCGGTGTAAGAATAACCCTGCTTTTTATTCCTCATCATCTCTGGCTTCCACTCACTTTCTCTTTTGCTGGGACAGTCACCTCTCTCTAGAGAATAAAGGAAGTTTTCTGAAATGACAGTCTCTGCCCTTACCATCCTCCAATGCCTTTCTTCTTCTAAATAACTCTCGTTTCAAGGATCTATACTGCTCTCTAGCAAACACTAACAGCTGCACAAAAGCACACAGAAGAGCCTACTGAAAAGGAGATCAGAGGATAAGATTATTCTGCTTGTAAAAAAAAAAAAAATGAACTCCATGATTCTAATCGATGTTCATGAAGTTTGTGGAAATTGTGAATTACGAAAAAGTCTACACATGAATTCCAAAAACTTTGGACCAAAAGGAACTTACCTTTTAAGCTTTCCGACATAAAATGCAGAAAGAACTTCAATATGTTTCAAGATTTTTGGACTGCTAGTGACTTCTATAGAAAGTAATGTACTACCATCTAATTTTACTTTTATTATAACACTCTTTCAAAACTTTCCTCCTAACATTATGGTCACTCATTTTCTTTCCCAAATTCTTTCTGAGCAACAAGGTGTAATCTCAGTGCTAACAGACAAGTCCAGGCTCTCCAGAGACATGACATTCAGGCCAGTGGTTTCATTCCCCTCATGTTAACGGCTCACATACAAATCCATGTCTCCAGGCAACAGCTTTTTCTGACAAAACCAATCCTGCTGCAAAACTGGAGCAGAGAGCAGTAGATGGGGGACTGTAACTAACATTTCCAAACTCAAAGTTTAGCTTCCTATTTTACCTACTTTGTGATGGAACATAAACTATCGACCTTATCTGTGTCTGAGTTTTGTTTAGATAATCAAGGTGCCCAGCATTATACTCGATAAACAGAGCATTATTAACTAGATAATACACTCAAATACTAAGGCACATTTGGTTTTTGGGACATTATCACCTTCCTGTCTAGCAAGTATCTCAAACCTTTCTTTCCCTCCATACCAAACTGCTCCGGGCACTCAATTTCTCAACTTACATGACCAGATATCTAATACCAATTGACTATTGACTGGTCTCTCCAAGTCACTGCCACACGAAGTCAACCACAAATTTCTGTTGACTAGTCCATTATATTTACCCTCCTCTTCTTCTTTGCAACACTGGCTGACATTGTCGTGGAACAGGTTAACAAACTGTATGCCACACTGGAAGCCATATGGGAACTCTGGTTCTAGTCCCAGCTCCTCTGCTTCTCTAGCTTCCTAGAAGGCAGAGGCAGCAAAAGACAGCCCAAGTTCTTGGTCCTTGCCATCCATGTGGGAATTCCATCCTAAGCATAGCCAATCTTGCCTGTTGTGATCATTTAGGGTATATGGAAAACTGGTTTTGGCTGGCCAACCCTGGCTGTTGTGGCACTTGGGGTGTAAACTAGCAAACAGAATCTCTCTCTCTGTCTATATTTTAAAAAAATAAAAGACTTTATAAAATGGTCTATACTTATCTTTCCTACTTGTACGTTACATTCCCCTAAACTCAAGACATGATAGGGCAAGGTGACACATCTTTACATTTTTGTCATAAACATCTTCACCTTTTTGACTGGCTATTCCACTCTCCCTCAAAGTTATATTCCACATACTCCTACCAATTATCTCACTCTACTTATTGTGTCACCAGTTTTCTTTCTTAGTCTTCTAATAGCTACATGCCTTCAATTGTACAATCTGTTGTGTCTAAGTGAATGTGCTGATCATTAGCTCTCCAAACCTTACATGATCAAATTGCAAGACCTAGAGGTGGGGACTTCTGTTGTAGTGTGGGAAATATACATGATAGATAAGGACATGACAAACAAGATGAGAGGTTACTGGCACAGTGTCAGTGAAGGGATCAAGCAAGAGAAGTATTTCATTCTCTCTCACCAATACACAGGGCCTGGCATTTGTAGACAAAGAATCACCTTGAAATCCTATCATCAAATATAAAATTCCACTTGAATTTGGAATTCCAGATATGTAACATAATTACCAATGAATTTCACATATAACTACATTGGGGTTAAACTATTTGACAATGTTTTCATGCTATGAGGGGGCTACCAGGAATTTAATCCAACAAGGGAAAAAAAAAATGGCTAGAGGAGCCCTGGGATGTAGGGAAGGCAGAGAAAAGAGAGGTGTTCCCTTTGAACTTTCTGATCATCACTGACCCTAATGGAAAACAAATACTAATAAAAAATGACAACAATAACTTTCTATTTTTGTTTCCTTACAGTGTTCCTGTAAATTTGGTGAAATACAAAAATGTGTTCACATCATAGAATCTAAACATTATTAAAACAAAAAAGATACAGTGACAAGCATTTTACCAAACCTATTTCTGACCTTGCTATAACTACTTTTGCTTCACTGACACTGTAATCCTCATCTTTCATTTTCTGACAACTTTATCTATTGTTTTTACATTTCCACAACACAACAGCATTCCTGACCTGTGGGTCTTGTAATTTTGTTTCTGAAAAGTTCTGACACTTGTTGTAATACCCCTGACAAGTTTAGCCTTTTCATTTATCTTACATCATCTTTAGCTTGGAAAAATTCTAGTGCAGGGCATATGTGTCTAAATGAAATCATATAACTCAGGACCTTTTCCTTGATAAATATCAACCACTACACTTCATAAACAACATTAGAACCTGATGAACTCATAAGTTTGACAGACTTAACATTTCCATGACTTTTATTTATTTATATAGTTTTTTACCTGATAATTAAGTTTTAAATGTGAACTGTTTTCTTAACAACAATAACCAAAAAACCCTATGGTGTTGAATATTCCTGAAAGCAGAGAAATAAAGACATAATTTGTTTCCCCAAACTATTTCTGTTACACTCTCACCAACAGGTGCACATACACAACAATGCACACACTGTAAAATGAGAAAGAAGCTTAAGTTTCAAGAAACTGATGAAGGTTAAGTAACTCGGGGCGTATCCTATATATGTGTGTTTAGTACAATGAGCAGAGAATACAAAAATGCACTGTATTGGAAAATATGCTAAAATGTCTCTAGCTAGGAAACTCATGAACATCTGATTTCCTTCTTTATAGATGTTTATTTGCTTTTAATGTAATTTGAAAGAGCAACCAAGTCACCAGAAAGGAAAGATCTTCCAAGATCACCCAAAAAAGAAAAACCACACACAGCTTCCATTCTGCCTTCAAAGGCTCTTTTGGTCCATAAAACATATAAGGAACAGGATTTTTACAAGAAAATCTTGGAAATGTTCATTGTATATTTTGCTTGAATGTCTGAGGATTTATTTACCAATCAATGTGAAAGGTAGTTAAAGATATCAAGACCTTCCATCCACGATTTCATTTCCCAAATTGCAGGAACAGCCTGGGCTGGGCCAATGCAAAGTTAGAAGCCTGAAACTTTTAACTATCTCTAAATAACCTCTCCACTCTAGCTGGAAACTGGAAAACAGGAACTGGCAGGAAATGTTATAAATCTGTCAGCAGCTTCAGGGTGCCTGATTCCTCAAGAAAGGAAGAGCTCTAATGTTTTGAATCAATATCAGACGAGTACTGCCACTGGAACACACGGGGAAGTCTTGTTACAAGCCTGCTCAAAACCTGTAACGTTGCTCTTCTGACCACAGAGGAAATCCTAATCTGTACTTTGCAAAATTGTTTTTTAAAAAATTCATTAAAATGTATTATCTTAAAATACTTTTAACTTTGTAAAAAGCCTGAAATTTTTTTCCAGAGTCTGACAAGTCATGAATTAAACTCAATTAAAAATAATAATATAAATGTCCATCAATTTTTCAAGACACACTGTCCTACAATTCCTCTTAAGAAATTAAAAATTAAGTAAAATTGGACTAAAGTTGTTTCCAGTTCATCTTATTTCCCTGAACCCACTATTTTCATCTTTCAAGAAATCTTTGAGCTCAATAGTTTTTCATGCTGAAATTCTCTCTAAGATTTCAGATCCAGATAAATACATCTAACCTTTGGAAAAAAAAATTATTCTGACCCCAAGATAAAGAGATCTAGTTTTCTGCATATGTAGTCACAACATAACATTTATTTTTCATTAAATTTATGTCTCAGTACAAAGCTATATTTTGAGTTAAATGAAACAATGTTTGACATAAATAATATAAACTGTACAATACAACTTTTGCTAAATACCCATACATTCCCTTTATTCTAATACTCTTCAAACTAACACTGTCTCATAACGTATACCTGAAGAGTTCCTTTATTTATGTAGCATTTGTGAGTGTGATGAGAGAAAAGGCTCTTTCCTTCGCCTTGGCAACACTGAGATTAAACCATCTCCAAGAATTAAATCATCAGAAAGTTACAAAAGCAGTCAAGCTGATATTGTGGGCAATTGGCTACTGTTTAATTTGCAATTACATGCACAATTTAGAAACCAATTTAAGATAATTTAGCCTCCAGAGGATTGCTAATGTATCAGCTCCCATAAAACACAATTCAAGGAGGACAAAGGAAGAATCATAGGGAGTAAGTTGATAGAAAGCAAAGAATCTTAAGAGTGTTAATCTCTCAAATTGAGAAAAGTAGTCTGTTCTATAATTGTGAAATATAATGATAAAGTGTTTCTTCCCCAGTGTTTACGTCTTTATATCTAGAATTTGCAATTAAAACTGAAATGCAGCCAGCCTTGGAAGTGCATCATGCTTTACTGCATAGGTCAGCCAAGGAATCTAAAAGGAAATGACAAACAGCTTAGCAGTCTTTTCTGTGTCTGATAATACGGCTGCATTATTCCTTATGCTGATTGTAACCAGCAACTTTGGAAGAACGGCACAATATACGTCCTTGGCAAATGGCCATGCAGTTCTAGAATGAGGAAATAGTGAGCACAGCAGCCTATTTATTAGAAACAGACAAATGGAGATGAAGGTCAAAGTGCAAGAACAGTTTTCAAATTTGGAGAAAAAGAGATTGTAGTCTACTGAACACTTCAGTCACAGTGGAGATAAGATCCGCAGTCCAGCAAAATGACTTCTAACCTCTTGGTGCAGAGTATCTGCTCACAACAGATATTCAAAAATACAATTTTTTAACATAAAGAAATCCAAACCAAGGCCTTAAAAAGAAGCAGACTCTAATCCCAATTACAGTATCAAACACCATGCCAGGAACCCTTATAATCAAGAAAGCTTTATTTTCCAAAATAATAATTTTAAAAACACAAAAAAAACACACATTAAAGGGACACACCATCTGGAACACCTTCTGTTTAGAGTTATTCAGAGCAAAAATGCTCTGTGTGTAAAACAGTATTGCAATACTTTTCTGTCTAAAGACACACTATAAATATTAAAAAAAAAAAAACATGTATACTGAAATATTTATCTAAACAGGGGCTCCATGCAGTGATTAGCTACGAACTTTTCTTTCAAGGAACATTTACATAGTTTTGCATCTTATGAAACATACAGTTTAGCAAGGTTGACAAGGACAAGGAAAAAGCTGTGAAATTAAATTCACCTGATTCAGTTATGATTTACAATACTGTATCAAGCTCTTGCTAGCAAATGTTAAAACTTATGGTTGGTTAGTTTTTCTCTTTCAATTATTTTCACTATTTTTGCCATCAAAATGAGTAACCAGAAGCTGTTTTATTTCCCAAGGCCACAGTTTCATCTGTCATTGACAAATCTACCACAATCAATTTTACTTTATAGTCATTATCTCCCATGGGGATTAACATTAAAAGAGATAGAAAAGAACAATGCAATGACCTTTTTCCATTTTAACATTGTGTTTCATCTCTTCAGCAATCACAGGTAACACTAACTGGTGACTCTTGGGTCCTGGGGAAGCAGGGTGAATTTCCCACTTAAGTAGATGACATTTCTTACCCCATCCATCCAGAAACTCAGCAGTCATCCTTATCTCCTGCATCCCAAAGCATATGAAAACCATCTGACTGCTACACCATTCAACACCCCATACCAGATCCAGGAAGATCCCAACACACAGCACCCGTCGATACCTCACTTTTTTACAAGATTAAATTTGACGGATCCTGTCCCTTTCAAGGTCTCTGTTTTGCACCATCAGCTTCTCCTTTTTTACCCCTCTTCTCCAACAAACCATAATCTTACACAAATTCAAATTACTCACAAACTGTACAACTCCTCCCTTCCTAAGTTAATCGTCTTACTTCACCAGTTCCATTAACCTTAACAGACTGTCCTCACAAGTTTTAAACCGGTCCGCTATCTGCTATCACTTCCACTAGCCTCCAAATAATCAGATTGACTTTATACTATTCATGCATCCTCAGTCCTTGGCAGTGCTTAATACTCTTCACTGTTCTCTTGTTCTTACAATACAATCCTTGCCACTTAGTTCTTGCCAATTCCATTAAACAAAAACTTAAACAATGGAACCACAAGTTCATACCAGAACTAAAACAAACAAACAAACAAACAAAACTCCCCATGGTACAGTGGCATTGTAATCATTAAAATGCCATAGAGAAATATATTGCTCATGTGTTTGTGGTCATTGTGGTGTATAAAAGAATTTATTGTATAAAATATTGTCTAAAACTATAGAACACACAATTATGTATACTACCTAATCCTTGTTAATGACAATACGTAACTATATGATTGATGTACACATTTAAATTCAATCCCCCAAACACCACAGCTGTTAGGGAGTGGCCAAGGCTGAAGCTGGGATCTGGTACTTCAATCTAGGCCAGATGTAAGTGTCAGAGACCTAACACCACATCTGATTCTGCTTCCTTCTAATGTCCTTAAGATGAAGGATGAAAAGAAAGATGATGCCCAGGTGTTTGTGTCCCTGCCTCTTTCGTAGGAGACCTAGCTGGAGTTCCTAGCTTCTGGCTTTCACATAGGCCTGCCACAGATGTTGTAAGCACTTTAGGGATCACTCAACTAATGGAAGACATATTCCCCCCACTGTCACTCAGCTTTTTAAATAAATAAATCAAAAATGCTTCCAAATGATTGGTTACTTGCACAGATATACAAAGATTTTTAAATTATCACTGGAAACATGAAGAATCTGTGACTATTATCTTGGAATTCTCTTAGTGTTCCATTTTTCAATTAATTCAGAGACCACGGTTTTACAAATGGATCTTATCATGTAACTCCCATAAACTAGTAATGACAAAATAACAAAAACATTTATTCTTCTGGCTTCCATATCTTGCATTCATAACGGAGTGTACTCCATACAGCACACATTAAACATTAACTCATCAAACTGATTAGGTTTGATACATGTCTGCTACATTGCAATTAACCTTCATCCCATTGGCCAAATCCACTTAGATTTAAAAGGGTAGGAAAATAAATCTTAACTATAATAACCTGATACAATAATTCAAAGTGATACATGTAGTGAAGTCAACTATCAAAATGATAGCTGCTTATCTGTTTACAAATACAAGCTCTGTGAGCGCAGATGCCAAATCTGTATTATTGAACACTGCCCTCCTGCCTTGGACAAATGACTGTCAAATTGTATTCTTGTTTCGATTTAATTCTACTGTACTATCTACACATAAGACTATTTCTGAACATATAATTAATAATACTCTTCACATCAGAGTGAATATATCACCTGGTATTAAAAATCAAAATCAAAGGTATCATTAACCATCATCATCCCAGGAATAAGTAAGCGAAAAGCCAAGTCCTAGCCATGCCTGGAAGTTACAAAACACACTCTGACATAAATGTCTAATCAGCAATATGCTAGCTGTGTGGGGCTGCTGGTGTCCTCCCACGGAGGAGGAAGAAAGACAGGTTCAGTTAACTGTTGAAAGTCATTAACCTTGTCATGAGCAAGAAAAATTACCAGAGGGAAGGCTGATTTTGCTAAATTTTTTACACAGGGTTGGCAAATTATTTTTGCACTATAACAGTGGCTAAACATTTTGGATCAATGTTATTGGGGGGTTTGCCTTAAGCAAATAATGAGAAATTAAGGAAAAAAAACGGCAATTTGTTTAAGAAATAGTAATTGTTCCAAGAAACTCAAGCTATTTCTTTTCAGGTTTCTTTACTTAATCACGCTCATATTTTCTTTCCATTTGTTTTTGTTTGTGAAGACTTCTTTATTTAAAAGGCAGCTTACACAGAGGCAGATGAAGAGAGACGGGAAGAGCCTCCATCCACTAGTTTACTCCCCAGATAAACCCCAAAGTCAGAGGCAAGCCAGCCCACAGCCAAGCACCAGGAGCACCACCTGGGTCCCCCCCGTGTTTGGCAGATCCCAGACACCTGAGAATTATCCTCATCTCACAGACCTTTACACACCCGAAGTCCCGGGGCTGCTATATCCTCAAATCTCTTTTCCATCCTTACCCTTTATTTTGGTAAACCCACCCAGTGCTGTAGCCAAATCACCACCATGAACTAAAATTATGTCTCCAGGTGTAACTACTTCATGCCATGCTTCTCTATGTACCCCCCAGCTCCATTTTGCCATTCAACAGACATCTCCTAGCTGCCATTGCTAAAGCACGACTCTTGATCTACTGCCTGAAACCTATTAATATCTTGCCTCTGTTATCCCTGTTGTTAGTTATCTTCCCTTAGTGGGGGGAGGGGGGAAGAAAAGCACAATCACATATTGTTCAGACTCTGAACTTGAGGGTTATCCTTGGTCCTCACACTCATCTGACCCATCAGCATACTCGGCGACCTCTACTTCCACAACGTGCCTATCGCTCATCAACCCTAGAGTCTTGGGGAAATCATCTTTCTCCTGGTCTCTGTAGCATCATCTTATCTAGACCCTCACTTTCTCCCTTACTTCTCCAAAGCTTATACAACTGGAGTCACACCATGCCTTTAAAAACAGATAAAATCACTCCACGTCCTAGCTCTTTGCGCAGCGTCCCATCACACGTTGTGAACAGAATTAAAATCTCCTCACATACTGAACTTTAGGCTTCTTTATGATCTGGACTGAAGATATTTATTGCTAAATTATTTCTTCCAATTCTCTGATTTTTTTTTCAGACCTCCCAAGCCACAGCCTTGCAGACCAACAATCTTGTAAGGTTTTCAGGAACACTATCCACATACAAGTGTCTTCCCTGAATCAGCTCTCTCATCACACCCTCTCAGATTGCCCTCGCTAGCATGGAATCCTATTCGCAACCTGTTTTCCCTGCATATTTTTCTTCTTGGTATTTAAAACTGATAGACATAATACTGCATAACTATTTTGTGTCTTCTTAGGTTGTTTCTCTCACTAGTGTTCATACTTCCTGCGGATAGCAACATTGTCTATGTATTCACTGCTTTAAACTTCAACACCTGAAAACAATCCTCCATGCAGGGCAGGTCATTCACAACAGTTACTGAGAAACTAAATAAATGGAGAAAAACTGAATTCTAGTGATAGAATTTCCATATTTATACACAATTCAGGATTTTATATGTATCATATGTCTCCAATGAAAATACATTTACAATTAACAAACTGCTTCAAAAATACATAAATATGTATGTTCCCTAGGAACCTGGGTTCTCAGAAAACTAAAAATCTGAGCACAATGAGGAATTCATGCAAGAACGTAAAAAGTACAAACTTCATTGGCGGACTCTTTCTGACATATATTTTACACACATGATTCAGTAGATTCCCAACAGGTTTGACAGTAATGGTTTCTTTCCCGATCAGACACTGAAAATAGCCCAATCTCCACAATTGTTAAAATAAAAAGAGCAAAAAGGCACATACCGGCCTTTTTCCACCAAGAGTAAGACATCCAATTTATCTCCATTTTGAACCATTGTGCTGATTGCTAGGGAAGGACAACAAAAAATGAAAGCATAAGTACATGTGTAAAAAATACTAATCTAAAACACACATAATTAATACTATAGCTAATTATTAATATTACATGGTCCCAAGTTATAGAGTAAGCCATAATTTAGTGTAGAAGCTACCAGTACTGCACCTATGAAGAAATGCATCCCTAAGAGAGAAGCTTCTTACTTAACTCTTGAAGTCTTCTTAAGTGCATCCTGTCTTCCTGAACTTCTGGATTCTGAAGGCAAAAATGCAAATTGCATTTGTCCATAGCAAACCAGCCTTTTCTCCACTGATCCAGTGCCTGGCAGTCTTTGTAGAAGAGCTGGCCAATCAAGTCGTAGTCAGTTTCTGTTAAGTTTTCAGCAACAAAGGGAACAAAATGCTGTTAAAACAAATACAGAAAAGTAATATAGACAGTGAAAATAGGAAATCCCTTCCCTGACAACAGACCTGAGGAAAGGCGAAACAATTATCTTGGTCGCCCCAATTGAAAACAACTTGCTCCGTGTCTCAAAGCTAACCAGTAGGGAAGCATCTAGAAATGGCAGCATCTTAAACCATGTTTCTGCCTCCATGGAAGCTGAGACATGAAGACTTTCTCTGACATTTGTGGCCTTTTCAAAAACATCAACATTCACTGTTTTCTCCATTTACATGTTTTACATATTTTTACAGATTATTTTCCCTTCCCCTTTGAATTTACATACAAAAGTTTATACAAAATCAGCAACCCTGAAAATAATTTCATTAGCAAATGATTGGCTTAGTTCAAGGAATGATTTTTCCAAGATCACCGATTGATTAAAGCTGTAGAAAGGTATCAATTAACCTCCTGTGAGCATAACCTATGAACACCCAATGAACAGACATTTAGAGCACTAGATGAAATGTTCATGGAACCCTGAAGCTCAACCTCAGACTCTAAGAATCCTTTCTGGGTTTCAGATAATAAGATAACATTTAAGTACCTTGGATATAGCCTCTGTCCACCTTCTTTGAGCTTGAGATGTTTCAGCTCCAAATAAAAACACACGCTCAGAGGGTAGGTAGATCTCAAAAATAAAGACAGGCCTGTAGCATGCATGAATAAATAGACACCATCAACCATTGTACCTGGTTCTCACCGAACAGCATACAGGTGACATTTTTTTTAAAGATTTATTTATTTTTATTGCAAAGTCAGATACACAAAGGAGGACATGCAGAGAGGAAGATCTTCCATCTGATGATTCACTTCCCAGGTGGTCACAATGGCCAGAACTAAGCCAATTCTGCAGCCAGGAGCCAGGAGCTTCTTCTGGGTCTCCCAAGCGGGTGCAGGGTCCCAAGGGTTTGGGCTGTCCTCGACTGCTTTCCCAGGCCACAAGCAGGGAGCTGGATGGGAAACAGGGCTGCTGGGACTAGAACCAGCACCCATATGGGATCCTGACGGTGCAGGGATCCTTTAGCTGCTAGGCTACTTCTCCAGACCCACAGGTGACATTTTTAATTAAATTTCTTTTTAAAAGAGAAAAAACCATAAACTCAACCTCCTCATCCATCCTAATACCATTAAATGGGAAAAAAAATGTGAACTCAACCTCCTCACCCTTCCTAACACCACTTTGCTGATGGGTCTGGATTGTTCACAGTGATTCAGATGACTCACTGGATGACCCTGCCGATGCCCTGGATGGTCTTTAGCCGGCTGATATGGCACAGGGTTCCACTGGTGTCCTCTGTCCTCTCCAGACCATTCTGCCTTGACTAATACCTAAAAGGAAATCTATCCAAAGAACAAGTAGCCCTCTTCTGTTCTTAGCCAAAAATTATCTTCTGTCATGCCCCCTAACTTCATCGCTTGTTCCACAAACACAATTAGAGTGATACCCCATGTCCTGACATCGGTCCTGTTTTGTGGAGTGTGTGTGCTATTATAATCTAAAAACATAAAATCTCAAAAGACCATCTCTGCTAACATTTGTAATATTTCATAAATAAATTTATATTTTTGGTTGTATTATATGTTGATATGAATAAATGTCAATTCTCTTTAGGTTCCAATTTATTTCTCAATTTAGCAACTTAAATATGCAGTGCATTTATTTCAAAATTTTATATTCTGCCATATTAAAGTGACTACTCATTAGAATAACACTATTGTGTTTAAAGTAAATCAACTAACAACCTTGTTCATACCAAAGAACAACTGCATTTGCTAGTCACTTTGGCTTGTATATATTCTGTGTAACGTTACGTAAATATATAGCTTTGCAATAAAAATTTCATTAAAATGTTATGATCTTACAAAGCTAGTTTTTCAGATTTAATACTTATACTACTTTTCATTAAATATAACACAAAACATGATAGGAAACTTTCAGACCAATGATCTTAGTCTGTGTCCTAAAGTCCTAAAATTTAGTGAATTATTAAGTCAAATTAAGTCAAACACGCTACATAAATAACACTTTCTGCTTTCTAAGGATTATTGTATTTATATCAAGAAAAAGTTTCAGAGAAAGAGCAAGTGAAGAGAGATGGTCACAATGGCTGCAGCCAGGGCAAACCGAAGCATAGAGCCAGTAACTTTTTCTTCCATGTGGGTGCAGGAAGCCAAATTTTTTGCTGCATTCTCGGGCACACTGGCAGGGATCTGGGTTAGAACTGGGGTAGAGAGAACTCAGACCACCCATGACGTCACAGTTGGTGGCAGCAGTTTTATCCCTATGTCACAAGCCACAACATGGACCTCCCCAACATCCCACTTCATTTCTCAAGTAATTCTTTCAGAGCATTAAAAATTTCAGCAAAAGGCCCGGCACGGTAGCCAAGCGGCTGAAGTCATCAACTTGCATTTGCCAGGTTCATTCCCGCTTCCCATCCAGCTCCCTGCCTGTGGCCTGGGAAAGCAGTCGAGGACGGCCCAAAGCTTTGGGACCCTGTACCCGTGTGGAAGACCCAGAAGAGGCTCTGGATTCCTGGCACAGCTCCAGCCATTGTGGCTTCTTAGAGAGTGAATCAGTGGACAGAGCATCTTACTCTGTCTCTCCATCTCTCTGTATTTCCATCTTTGCAACATATTTTTTTAAATTTCCAGCACAGATTCTTAAGAAATTTAGCATTTCTATATGTCATTGAATTTGCTTAATATTTCATTTCATTGTGAACAATTCATCACTGAATATTTCCCATTTTCATCTATTTTACTCATGATACTCAGATGAATTCAACAATTGTCATTCATCCACTATTTAAAGTAATGAATACATACTGTAAAAGAACTATTATGATAAAGAGAATACTATAAAGTTTCTTATGATTAAATGCAAATATTAGATATATACCTCATTTATTTCATTTTCCTACTTTTTGTGAATTTTCCTAAAGAACTTTCAGAAGCAATTAAAGAAATAAAATGACAACAAAGTCCTTTTTACCTAGTGTGCCAATTATCTGAAAACATCTTGCATTTTGTGCTAATGACAGACTTACCCAGTATTTAAATAGAAGTCTTCTTTGTGTATAGCCAGGCAAATCACCTCACTGATATTAACGGTGCCATTAGGTGTGGTAGATTTATCATTTTCATAGTAACTCAAGAAGCCTCCTTCCAAAACACACCACTTCTTACTTATCTCTATAAATTTAGAGCAAAACAAATAACAGATGAGCCATAACATAAATCCATTTTAAAAAGTATAGTTTGAAATAGTAGCTGCACACAAATAAATGCATTCCATTGTAATGAGCCTGTTACCGTCACATGGGAAATAAAGGTGTAACACTTTCTGCTTTAAAAAATTTTGCAACCTAACAAAAAAAGAATGTACAAGGCAAAGATGACTGTGATCTTGATAGCCAGAGGATCCACGAACCACTTGTTGCAAATGAACTCTGAAATTATAAAACTGATGTCTGTAAGAAGGATTAGGAAGAAAAAACATTTGTGTTTGGAAGAAGACAAGGGGCAGCAGCTGATCACAGGTGGGTATCCCAAAGAAGGAATTGCCACCTGCACTGTTCTGAATGGCTTGGTCAGGGAATATTAAACTCCTCTGGCTTAGGAAGCAGTTCCCAAAGCTTACAGGTCACGTCAGATCATCTCTCATCGTAAATAAAGTTAGTTATGGAGAACACCCACACACACACTCATCAAGTGGCAGCTTTGCCTCTGAAACGAGACAGACCATCTGGGCCCCAAAATCCATATTGACTGTTAACTGGTTTTCAAAACCTGCCGATTCTTGTTGAGTAAACAGATGATGTTGAGCTTTTGAAAATGGTCCTGGTAGTAAAATGACATCAGATTTTAAGTTCTTGCACTTTTCTTACCAAGGCAAACAGATGTGACAGCACAAGGCCATAGGCCTCTGTTGACAGAGGTTTAAGCGAGAGATTTTGAGACTAGCGATTATGAAGGACCAGGAAACACAAGGACACGTGTGTTTTCAGGAAATTAAGCACACTCATGATTACAAGAAGTAAAGAGAACTCACTAATCACGGTTATCATTTTTAGCTTCGATTACAAGATGGACAATGATACTCACTATGTACAAAAATCTGCTAAAGGCAAGTGCCCTGCAATAACAGCTTTTATTAGCAACAATGAATCAGAGAGTAAAAATCCAATTCAAGTATGCACTAAGAAGCCAAGGAAAGGTCTTGATAACCACAATGACTTCAGGATGAAGGTGGCAGTTCAAAATATATCGTAACTAAATGTAACGTCTCAGAAACCTTAAAACTACAGCAAGTGATGAATAGAGAGGTGTCCAAGTGAACTACAAAGCAAGCAAGAAGAGAACAAGTATAAAATAGAGTAGAAATAGAGTGTTCATTTTTGTTTTTAAGAATACAAGTTTTGAAAGTTGGAGGCAGAGAGATAAAGGTAAAGACAGAGACATCTTACATCTGCTGGCTCATTCCCCAGAAGGCCACAACAGCCAACAATGGGGCACAGAGAATCCAGGAGCTCCACTGAAATGTTCCACATGGGTGCAGGGGGAACAAGCATTTAAGCCATATTCCAGTGCTTTTGCACTGGGAATGGGATCAGCCTGGGATCAAACAGGTGCCCAAATGGGATGCCAGCATTACAGGTTTTATTAACTTCACTACAACACAGGCCCCCTCTATAAACAACATTAAATATAGCAAGCTATCCAATAAAACGATTGTGGAGAAAAACACCTGTGGGTCTTGATAATAAAGCAGCTGTCTGCTTTACTATAAGGGCAGTGCAAGATGCCAGGCTACAGCGTTTTGAAGATTACATAAAAAGTAAAAGGAGAATCCACTCAGAACAGAGAGCCAAACCTTATAATGAAAGAACGGCTATCACATGCTCCAGTGCAGAAATGAGCCAGCACAAGGTAAACAGCAGACAAGGAAAAACGCATATGTGTTTGAATATTGGTGTGTGTATACATACATACACACTAAGAATGAGGATAAAAGTCACTTCGAATAGTTAAGGTTTGAGCTAGCTGGGCAAAAGATACAAGACAATTCTTTGCACTGTTGTATTTTTCTATAAGTCTCAAATGAAGTATGGATAGTTTTTAAAAAAAATCGTAAGAAACAATATGTTAAACTGCTCCTTAAATTCTCTTTCATCACATCATCAGAACCTTAGGATAGGGAGGTCTTCAAATCACAGTGTCCAGGAGAGATGTTCAACAGGAGGAAACTCTAACAAACATACATACACTATGAAAAATAGATCACCACGTGAAGTGCGAAGTCAACGCCAAGAGGCAAACAGCACAAAGAAATCTTTTATTGGTCTTAGAAAAGGAGAGTTTAAAATCACAATAATCTTCCTAAAAGAAGAAGACAAAACCTCCAGAATTGTCAACACACACAAGTTCACCATTGGTACAGATGAGGGTTCTGTCTGTCCTCACTGGTGGCTTGTAATCCCATGCGAGGCAATAGGTGTCTGGAACTATAACCATCGGGCAGTACGCGCAGGAGACCGGCAGTTTCAAGGACAAAAGCCACCCTCAGAGAGGAAACGTCAGAAAAATCTTTACAGCAAGAAACAGCTTTAAAACAGTCCATTATGACTGGGAAGGCATGCCTCTAAAACAGCAAAGAGTGTATGCAGAGCCACAAGCATTTCCTGATTCTGAGAAAGAACAGCGTGAGCAAAGTCACAGAAGGCGAAATCCAAACTCCTATTTGGACAGATAAGATTACACACCAAGTGGGGAAATGGTACACAAGACGGCAGGTTCATGACAGAGGCCAGGCCTCCAGGGCCTCACATGACAGGTGTTCCAGAGTTTGTGCCTCTTTCAGTAGACAAGTGGGAGACATCTGAAAGTCCTAACAAACAGTGCCAAATGAATGATGCATAAAATAAATGTGGATGCAGAATCTAATTATGCAAATTCTAATGGGAAACAAATGACAGAGGTGCACACAAACTCATTTTAAGTTAGAAATATGGGCTTGAGGAGATTTAGTTCTGTCATATTATCATTTCTATAACCATTTATTAGCTTTAGTTTCATAAGTGAAACGGGCCAGAGGTCGGACAAGGTAGGCACAGATATTACCCTTGAGGATTTATAGCAGCACAGCTGTGATGGGAAATCTTGACATTTCTATTGATTTGGGAAGCAATGAAAAGCTTTGGCAAAATTATCCTGGATGATATCTGTCTGCTTAGGCCAATTTAGACGTGAACTCTTGACTCTGACTTTAAAAAATGTCAATAGCCCCTGTGCGACCCTCTGTGCAGCACAAGTCTTACTGTTAATCAGTTACTGCATGATGTCCACCGCAGTAAAAGTGGGGCATGCAATGGATACCTCTCAGGACTCGGGCTTTCAATAGGCAAGACCTTGGGTGCACTGGCAGAAGGGTTATTCATTTCTTCTTACTCAATTTTAAAAAAATCATTAGCATAAAAAGCACAGTTTTCATCCATCTCATAGATATAATTCTAACATAAACATACTTCCTTCTCCTATTCTCCTTTCCTCAATCCCCTCCTTTAGTTTTTCTCTAATTTCTGCAAAAGCATAATTATAATTTACTTTAATCACAGGCTTATGCACCACTAACCGTAATATTCACCAAGCTAAAAGGAAAAAGACCACTGTTCCATGGCAGTATAAACAAGGAATTAAAGACAAATTGCAAGATACTACTTTGGTTTTTACACATTGTTTGTAAGATATATATATATTTATTTATTTATTTATTTAAAAGATGTATTTGTTTTTATTGGAAAATCAGATATATGGAGAGGAGGAGAGATAGAGAAGAAAATTTTTCATCCATTGATTCACTCCCCATGTGGCCACAGCGGCTAGAGTCAAGCTGATCTGAAACCAGGAGCCCAGAGCCTCTTCTGGGTGTCCCACATGGGTGCAGGGTCCCATCCTTGACTGCCTTCCCAGGCCACAGGTATGGAGCATGGCTGCTGGGACATGAACCAGCGCCCATATGGGATCCCAGCACATGCAAGGGTGAGGACTTTAGTCAGTAGGCTACTGCACTGGGCCTGTATTCTACATTAACTACCATGTGAATGAAAACATGTAATATTTGTCTGTTTTGACTGGCTTACTTCACTAAGTATAATGGCTTTTGGAAGGAAAACTGTAGGATTTACATAAGCATGAGTAAAGAACACCAGAAGTGATGTGCACCAATATGATTATGGAATCATATCAACATCCAAACATATTAGCATGGTTTTCAGAAACAGCCTACTGGACAACACAAACTCAAAGACCATCTAGAAGCCCAGAGGCAGCCATGTTATATAACAGCCACACTTATTGCCACTCCTCTTCCTTTTCTTTCCATTTTTGCATAATGCACAATTCTCCACATTTTATTGGAAGACCATATCAAAACAATCTATTATGATGCCACTTCCCTATAGCCATTCCTACAGCACAGAACATTTAATTAACCTTCACAAAGTCATACAACGACTTAGCATCAAAGCAAGTGGCAGAACCCAAGGCAGCTGGGGTCTAGATGTTATAACTGTTAATTTAGGAAGATACACAGTGTATGTCCATGAATTTTAAATGTTGAGCCACCGATGTCCTTTTAAGAGAAACATATTAGGACACAGAAGTCACACTTTCCAATACATGGTATATAATACACTGAATGTAGTTAATGGAAAGATAGTTTTACAAAGCCAAAAAACTGGGCCCGGCATGGTGGCGCAGTGGTTAAGGTCCTCGCCTTGCACGGCTGGGATCCCATATGGGCGCCAGTTCTATCCTGGCAGCCCTGCTTCCCTTCCAGCTCCCTGCCTGTGGCCCGGGAAAGCAGTCAAAGACAGCCCAAAGCTTTGGGACCCTGCACCCGCGTGGGAGACCAGGAAGAGGCTCCTGGCTTCGGACCGGCATAGCATCAGCCATTGTGCTCACTTGGGGAGTGAATCATCGGATGGAAGATCTTCCTCTCTGTCTCTCCTCTCTGTATATCCACCTTTCCAATAAAAAAATAATAAAAATAAAACAAAGCCAAAGAACTATTTTCTGATGAAGACTTTCCTTAATTGATCACATTCAATAGCCACTGAAAACAGGAGTACACTTTTGGAAAACATTTATACGAAAATAAGCTCAGAGCTGGCACAATGGCTCAATTGGCTAATCCCACATCTACAAATGCTGAAATCCCATACAGGCGCCAGTTTGTGTCCAAGCTGTTTCACTTCCCATCCAGCTCCCTGCCTGTGGCCTGGGAAAGCAGCAGAGGATGGCCCAAAGCCTTGTGACACTGCACCTACATAGGAGACCTAGAAGAAGCACCTGACTCCTGGCTTCAGATCAACCAAGCCTTGGCCATTGTGGCCGTTTGAGGAGTGAACCAGCAGATGGAGGCCTCTTCTCTCTATTAATCTGTCTTCCAAGTAAAAATAACAAAGCTTAAAAAAAATAAAAAGAATATAACCTTGGCTTTCCATAGAACAAAACTGTAAAAGATGCCTCAACATTTACCCATGACAGTAAGCACAAACAAGCCAAAGCAAAGCTTCTGATAAACCACATTAACCACTTTCTTTTTAAAAATCAAACACTGTGGGCACTGGATGGTAGCCTAGTGGCTAACCCTCACCTTGCACATGCCAGGATCACTTATGGGCATCAGTTCTAATCCTGGCAGCCCCACTTCCCATCCAGCTCCCTGTTGTAGCCTGAGAAAGCAGTCGAGGATGACGCAAAGGCTTTGGGACCCTGCACCCACATGGGAGACGCAGAAGAAGCTCCTGGAGCCTGGCTTCAGATCGGCGCAGCTCTGGCTGTTGCAACCACTTGGGGAGTAAATCAATAAATGGAAGACCTTCCTCTCTTTCTCTCCTCTCCATATATCTGACTTTGCAATAAAAATAAAATAAATCTAAAAAAAAAAAAAAGATCTGATGTTTCCTTGGGAGTAAGTAAATGTAAAACAACAAAGTTTGAAAAAAAAAAATCAAATGCCATGGAACAAAATACAGTTGTGCAGAAAAAGCAAAACAAAACCACGATGCTATCATTCAGCTCTGGCTTTAGGTTTAACAACAGCTATTACTCTTTCTCTTCATGACCACTAGATTGAGGAGAAAAAAAGAAAAAATACAGATCAGTCTTGATAACCGGAGGCCAGAAGAACTTGAGATCCAGAGATCCTGAACTGATAAAAGAGCACGTGCATTTTCCTGCCCCTCTCCAGGTGTTTGCCTTTCAGAGGCAAAGGTTTCAACTGGACCCTAATCTCAGAACGTTCCCAACAATTCATCTTTCCCACAAAGCTTATGCTTTCCATTAGCAACACTACTAAGAATCCCGGACAGAGGATGGAAAACAGAGAAAACAAAATATTGCTTAACAGTTTAACATGTCATATTTCAATGGGATCTTTTATACAAGATATGCTGTGTGCTAATAACTGCATCATTAAAAATAATAATAATTTATTTGAGAGGCAATGTTACAGAGAGATAGAGAAGGAACACCCATGCAAGGGGAATGAGGGAGGGAGGGAGGGAGGGAGGGAGAGAGAGAGAGAGAGAGAGAGAGAGAGAGAATTTTACCCACTGCTTTACTTCCAGTATGGCCACACCAAAGGGTTGTATCAGAAGGAAGACAGCAACCAGGGTTTTCCTTGAGGTTTCCCACGTGGATGGCAGGGGGCCAACCACTGGGTCCATTGATGCTGAATTTCCAGGCTATCGGCAGTAAGGAGTCAAATCAGAAGTGGAGCATCCAGGATGTGAACTAGTTCTCACTAAAAAAAGTTAGTACTACAGGTGGTAGTTTAACATATTCTGCCAAAATACTGGCCACAAATGAATCACTTCATACCCAGATAAAAGCTGAAATATAATTGTGTAACTTGCATTTTCATACTGGTAGTAAAATGCATGAAGAAATGGCCATTCTGGGGCGTGCATGTTAACAGGTAAAGCTCCCATTTTTGACACTAACATACCCATATGGCAATGCCAGTTGCAGGACAGGCAGATCCACCACCAATCCAGTCTCCTACTTAGCCACCTGGGAAGGGAGCAGAAGATGGCCCAAGTACCTGGTTCCCTAACACCCGGTGCCTGAATCGAGTTCCTTGCTCCTGGCTTTAGCCTGGCCAGCCTCCGATGGTCACTTGAGGTGTAAATCAGAGGATGAATATTCATTCATTCGTTCATGCATTCAATCATTCTCTCTCTCTCTCTCTTGCTTTCAAAAAGACATACAGAGAGACAGAAACAGACATGCATTCAACAAATGGTGATCACAGGCGTACCATGTATTGGCATTGTTGTAGGCAGCATTCAATAGTCCAATATCAAACTGGCAAGTTTTCAGATTTTATAACCACAATTGTCTAAAAAATTTTTTAAGTGTTTATTTGCTCCAGAGAATATAAGAGGCTTTAAGAACACAATTTTGCTTTTCAAATGTCCTATTTGATCTTTTTAAAGTCAAGTGGCTTGAAACATGAGGCTAAGATCTCTCAGTGGTTACGGGACACATTCCAGAAAGCTTGTAAGAGCTCGCAGACAAGTATATTAACAGCTTTATCCAATTATTTTAATAACAGCTCTAGTGAATTCAAAGGTTATCTAGGTTCTGCCACCTTTCCTCTGATCAGTTATGTTTGAACTACTTACAGGTTAAACAGTGGCAAGAGCAACAAAAGATGAAAAAAAAAACATTCTCTCTAATATTTGTCATTTATTATCAGACACAGTAAAGGAAGAATAAAAACTTTTTTTTTTATGTGCTGAAAGAACCAGCCCATCTAAATTTAAAGGTAATACACATTGTCACTTTACTCTTTCGTAGCCAACAACACTTTGATCAAGCCTGAAGTGTTATCTTAACAATTAGAACACTAGCCATGTGTGAAATTCTGCTTCATGCTGAGTTTCTTCTTTTGCGATAAAGCTGGTTTAACATCAACTCGCCCGCAGACTTTGTGCGAAGATTACAATCATTGTTCATGCAGTCTCTAAAACAATGTCATGTACAGACAGCGTGGGCTCACCCAAGGGCTGTGACTCTTCGGGGAAATCTGACAGAGTTCATGCCAGTGCCATTTGGCTCTGGGGGTATACGGAGAAGACAAATAAAACTTTGATGATGAAGTAACCACTTCAAATGCACACGTATCACAGCTGATAACCTAGAGTTAGTTTTCTATCCTCCTGCTCTTTGATAAATTAACACTGCTAAATTCCACCAGTTAATGAATGAATGAATGCTAGGGCTACTGAGGTTCGTTAACCATCAGTGCACTCAGCAAATATCTCCTTCCTCCGTTGGAGCCGGACAGGTCTCACTGTCTTTTCCAGCAGTTACGTCACAACTTCCTACAAATGTACTACACTGGCCATGAAGTCTGTGTCTTGATTGTTTTTTTTTTTTAAAGATTTATTTTTATTATTTTCTTATTGGAAAGGCGGATATACAGAGAGGAGAGACAGAGAGGAAGATCTTCCGTCCAATGATTCACTCCCCAAGTGAGCTATGCCAATCCAAAGCCAGGAGCCCCTTCCGGGTCTCCCACGCAGGTGCAGGATCCCAAAGCTTTGGGCTGTCCTTGACTGCTTCCCCGGGCCATAGGCAGGGAGCTGGAAGGGAAACGAGGCTGCCAGGATAGAACTGGCGCCCATCGGGCATGCAAGGTGAGGACCTTAACCACTGCACCACTGCGCTGGGCCCTTGATTGTTTTTTATAAATTCAACACCCAGCACTAGGTTGACTCAAGAATGTAAATGAATAAATGCCCACTAAGAAGAGACTGCTCAGCTAATTCCCCAAACCTGGAGTGCACTCTGAAATCAAACTGATTATCATCTTTCTCTTAAACCTTGCTTCAGTTTTCATTCTGCTTAAACACAATCATACACTTTTACTCAGAGCATACTAAATTCTGTCTAGTATCACCTGACTATTCTTTCAGCTGACCATCTCAAATGTGAAAATGTGAAATGCTCCCAAGCCCTGAACCTTCTGGCATGCTGACAAGATGCCACAAGCAGAAAATTTCAAACTATGAAACGTTCTGTGCACAGAATTGTTAAAAACACTGTATAATTGACCTTCAGGTTATGTATATATGAAACACTAGTGAGCTTCACTGTCCCGACTCAAGTCCCATCCCCAAGATATAATAATATATATATGCAAATATTCCAAACTCTGAAAAAAAATTCAAAATTTGAAGCCTGGTGAAACTGGAAACGCTCAGGCCGGCTGGCACCACACGTTTTTGTAGGGTATGCTTAACACGCACGGAAGAAGTCACCGATTTTCCTTAACACGGTCTCACTGGGTCATGTCAGGGTGTACATCCCTAGAAGCAAGGGGTGACTTTCAGGTTCATTTTGGAAATGAAGTTTAAAATCTGAGACCGAGTCACCCAGAAAGCACACATCAGTGAACTCTGCCGGGAATCTGCTCAGCATTGCAGCCCAGCTGCAAGTCCCTGTTGCAGGACATGAAATACCATCTTTGCCTGGAAGCATCTATAATCCTCCAAAAATATCTCTCCATTGTAAGATCAAATCTAACATCTTAAGGGAAAAAAGAAAGAAAAATTTAAACCCAATTGTTTTGCTAATGGAATAAAGTTTTATCTGACAAAAAAATCTAAAAGAAGAAAAGATACCTTCCAGCAGTTTTTTCTCGGAAGCCAGTTTAGAAGCCGCAGTAGGAGCTTGATACAGAAAGTCACAAAGGAACGTGGACTGGGAGGCCTCCTGACTTAATCCGCCCTCGGAATGAGTGTCATGTTGGGGGAAATCTAGAAAAAGGTGCAAAATATAAAAGTTATTTTTCCTTTGCTTATAAATATGGAGATGAGTTCAATAACAGCACCCTCAACTTTACCAAAAAATAAATATAGACACTTTTATCTTTCTTTGCATAAAAATTACAAATATGCACTTATGTAACGCTTAGTATTCATATATGAAAATCGGATTTAATTTTAGTGGAAATGATTATGCAGGATTAACTATTTTAATCTTCCATTTATAAGATTTGACAAATATAAAAGATGTATGCCTAAAACTTTTTCTTGACATGATATAAAAAAGGTCTCAAGTATCCTCTATCATTTGGGTAATTATATTTTTCTTCATTCTAATAGTTTCGTGCATTACAGAAGCAAGTGAATTCGTGCGTCCATTTTTATAAGGATGTATTAGAAAAGAGCAGGTTAGTGCAAGGATGGGCGCAGACCTGAGAATTTGTTGTGGTAAAGAAATTCCATCTGCAGACTCTGCCCAGCCTTCTTGGCCAGCAAATAGGGGGTGCTGTGAACAGGGTCTCCAGTTGCACACATGACGTCTGCTCCACTGAACAGCAAGGCCATCGTTTCCAGAACATCAGGTTTCACAACAGCAGCACAGAGAGCCTAGTCATTAGAAGAAAACAGAGCTTGAAAGGCAAGAAAGTATGATTCTAACACTTCCCATCAGTGAAAGTCTGGTGGCACAGTCATGGAAGAAGGCTGCATTACTTCTTCCTAAAACACTCATCATGACTATGGCCTGAAGGAGGTAGCAGGCAGACAGCCCTGTACTGTATGGACTGAGAGGTAATGTAAGACCTCCAAGTCCCAATGCATTGCTTTGGGACTGTGAAATCCCTTCTAAGCCCTCCTGTGAGCAGTAGAAACACTGTTACACTTAGCCAAGTTGATAATGGTTGCTACTCATCTCAAATGTAATAATAACATTTCCCCTAACTGTGAATATTTTCTGAACTATTCGGGATTGGTAAACTATCCAAATTATCATTGTGCTTTGAGAATGTGAACTATTGAGTGCAAGGAAAATTCAGTATCTTCGTTTTGTGGGGAAGAGAGTAGAGAGAAGAGTACATGGAGGCACTGAAACTAGCAAATGCATGGACCAAACCATGCATTTTTTGCTTCAAAATAATAAGCTGCCCTCTCCTTTCTTCCCGTGATGTCAGTCCTCATCTGTCTCATTGTTGGTTACTTCCGTTACTCCCAGGAGTACGTGGACAGTCTGCTGGTGAAGCTGTCTGCTGTAATGCAGCTATTGGGCAGTCATTAGCCAGCCCCTTGAGCAGCTGAGGGGTCCCAGGATGAACCGCAGGCACTGTCCAGAAAGCCCATCATTACGATTCGTACTGTGGTGTAGCTCACCTCCAGAATTCACTTCAAACCAGCATCCAAAGGCCTGAATTCTTCGTTCAGACTTCACGTTAATCTCCTGGCTGAACTAGGACCTATTGTTCCTGGAACTGGCACTACTGTCATCCCTTTCAAATGCCTACAGTCTCACTTCATGTATATTTCCTCTTACTCTGTCTTGTCATGTTATACTTTTCCTTCAAGTTGTTGGATTGCGACTATTTCCATTTAACCTTTTGATTTTACTGTTGTTACCATGAATAAAGAGGCAAATCTATTTACTATCAGAATTGTATCTCCAAACTAAGCATACAACAGTTACCAAATACAGTTCTTTAAAAAAAAAAAATTTAAAAACAGTCAATTTCAAAGGGCCTAATTGGAGATAAGGGCTGATACATTAAGCTCCCCCAAAATTGAGAGAGATGTGTTTGACTGGTACATAATTTAGAACAATCTAATGGCTTGGCTCTTAGTAAATATGTGGCAGGCCAACAGGATCCCAGTGAGAGAATCAGTAACTAGCCAGTTATAAGATTTGTATTAGCATCAAGTAGAAAAGGAATGTAAGGAACATATGGCCTTGCTCTCTACCAATTACCTTCCCAAATTCATAATTTAACTTCTTAATTTTATTTATTTAAAAGAGCACCAGAAAGAGAAAAAAAGCAATGAGCTCATCCATCAGCTAATTCATTCCCCAAATACTCATCATTTCGGGCCAGGCCAAAATAAAGAGCCAAGAATTCTATCCAGGTCTTCCCAGGCATGGCAGCAATTAGAGCCTCTTCCCAGAATGCACAGCAGCCAGGATCTTGGTAAGAAGCAGTGGTAGCATCGTATCCCAGGCATGCTGAGTGCAATGTCCTCTACATAGTTAAGTCATCGAACTCCAGTAAAGAGGATTTGTTTAATCATAGTCAATGACATCTTCTTTTAATTCTACAGCTTATAACCAGACAGTTATTTTAATGGTGCAATCAGCATCCTTCAAAATGCTACACAAAAAGATTCCATATCTTTTTTTTTAATTTATTTTTTATTATCTTTATTGGAAAGGCAGATATACAAAGAGGAGGAGAGACAGAGAGGAAGATCATCCATCCGATGATTCACTCCCCAAGTGAGCGCAACGGCCCATGCTATGCCAATCCAAAACCAGGAGCCTCTTCCGGGTCTCCCACGCGGGTGCAGAGTCCCAAAGCTTTGGGCCGTCCTAACTGCTTGCCCGGGCCACAAGCAGGGAGCTGGATGGGAAGTGGGGCCGCCGGGATTAGAACTGGCACCCATATGGGATCCCAGGCATGCAAGGTGAGGACCTTAACCACTGCACCACCGCGCCGGGCCCAAAGATTCCATATCTTAGTAACAACCAACATCTAACCAAATGATTTCCTGACATCTTGTTTCATTCCCTTCCCAGCTCAGGAACTTATCTATATTTACTGTCCTGTTTAAAATTAGCTAGTGACCTGATTTTACTAGAACTCTCACATAAATGAAGTGGGAAAACTAATTTGTGGAGAACTAAGCCAGAATACAAATACAAATCAATTTGATACATTTTATTTTCATAGGGGCACAACAGAATTTATTTTCAATAATGTTCAGCCAAATGCTGCAAGAATAGGAATCCTTATCCAACAGCATTATCATTAAACTTATAGAAAAGAACTGATAAATGTGAAAACAAAAACAAAAACCATGTGAGGCTTAAAAAATCCTGCCATGACTCCACTGGATAAACCATAAGTTGTTAACAATAAACTCAGTAAACTATGGCAACACTGGTGACATTGTCAGCAACATATGAATGAAGTTATGACTGAACTCTTAAATCTAAGACATTTTGATGTTTGAAATTTACTTATTTATTTATTTCGACTTACTTGAAAGGCAAAGACCAAGCCAGAGGCAGGCAGGCAGCAACAGGTCTCCTAAACCCTTGTTCACACTCCAGAAATAAAAGCTGAGGCTCGACTAGTCTGATGCCAGGAGCCAATAACTCAGTCTAAATCTGCCAACTAATTTGAGTTGTACAATAGAAAACAAGTTGTACATTAGAAGAAACACAGGATTTGAAGCAGGCAAGCCCAGATTCAAACTTGGGCATTCCGATATTGAATGCAGGTATCCAAAGCAGCATTGTTGAGTCAAAAATCTATCCCACTTTTTATTTCTTATCAGACATCCTGGTACATGTTTAAAGACAATCTAGCTGAGGTCTAAAACTATGGTGGACTGAATACCTTATTTAATTCTTCTTTAGTGAGAGATGCCAAAAGGGTCCTTCTGAATTTGCCTTCTTTGTATTTCTGAATAATGAAGTTTTTTCTCTTTTCCACTGGTGAATCCATGTGTAATTCTTCATCCTTTTGAAGATTACCAGCCCAAAAATCATTTGCTCTTTTGTTTCCAATGATGATAAAAAGCTTAATTGTCAAAAAATAATAAAAAAAAACAGTTCATAGACATATTTTAATCTGCAGAAAATTGACTCACGCTACAAGTTAAAGCATAAACCAATATAAAATACAAGAAAATACATGAAAGATCCAACTCATTTGAAAAGATGAAGTGTGAAAGTCATACAGTAGCTATTTTTAATACAACTTAGCTACTTTCCATACTGGTAAAAACTTAGGCTAGAAAGTAACTACAAGCAATGCCAATTTCAGCAAAGTATTCTTCGTAACTTAAATGGAGACAGATTCATGTACAAAGGCTGAATACGTGGTTTGATGTGCTAGTGGGACAGGAGCAAAAATGAAATAGCAGAGAGCCAGTTGGACTCAACCACAGTAACAGAGCGCAGCAAATGAATCGTGTCTTTTGCTCAGTATTTACTCTCCCCTTTCTAATGTTTTATCAAGTCTGGGTTATAAAGGCTTTTAGTTTAATTGTCAGAAAGCTGTCACATCTGTAAATGTAGTTTTTACCTTTTTACTTTTAAAGAAAAATTATCATATAGTGTAAAAGAGTCATGACTATCAATCAGGCTATAAGCCATTTCATAACGTGCTAACAGCTCCATCAAAGAACCCCTAGAGCTTCACATCACCCCACGGCATTCCTTTCCCACAGCCTCTGTGGTTCTGGCCACACACAGTGGAACTCACCTCTATGAGTTCATTGCTCCAAATGCTGGCATCCATTTTTAGACTTCTCACCTTAGAATCTTTTGGTCCCAACGATCTATGTTGTCCTGGAGTGTAACAGAAAAAGTATTCCTATTTCAAAGTGTAGGTAAACTTTAACTTTCTCTAAGAATAGTAAATATATTTACACATATGTATGTGTGAATGCACTTTCCCACTTAAAACACCAATATCCACTTTCCCACGTGACAGCAACACTAAGAACAGCAGTGGCCAATTACACAGCAGTCATCACTACACATAATCATATACCCTACAATGACATAAAAGTACACTTTAAACGGAACATACTTGCATTAGAGATACATGACTATGTAGGAGTCTGAACCTCTGCATAGGCACAGGCATATATACATACATATTAGTACCACAGGTCATTGAAAACCTTTTATACTGAATTTCTTTACCTCCCAAGATTTTAAAGGCATGTGTTTAAATCACATATTTACATAAAAATAATTCCAGATATGTTCCTCTTACACCAAACCAGCTACAACTCTACTAAACATGAGTGTAAAAATATGGGAATCTGGGCCTGGCAGCTAAAGTCCTTGCCTTGAACACACTGGGATACCATATGGGCGCAGGTTCTAACCCTGGTGGCCCGATTCCCGTCCAACTCCCTGCTTGTGACCTGGGAAAGCAGTTGAGGATGGCCCAAAGCCTTGGGACCCTATACCCACGTGGGAGAGCTGGAGGAAGTTCCTGGCTTCCGGCTTCAGATCGGCGCAGCACCAGCCATTGCGGTCACTTGAGGAGTGAATCATGGGATGGAGGATCTTCCTCTCTGTCTCTCCTCCTCTCTGTATATCTGACTTTGCAATGAAAATAAATAAATCTTAAAAAAAATATGGGGGTCTATTTGGCATAAACTTTATGAATGGGAATATCTGCATCTGATCTTGGAGTGCCTAAGTTCCAATTCTGTCTCCATTCCCAACTGCACCTTCTTGCTAATGCACATCCTTGGAGGCTACAGGAGATGGCTCCAGTAGCAGGATACCTCTCACCTATGTGGGATACTGCAATGAGTTTTTAGCTCCTGATTTTGTGCCTGCCGCCACCCTGGATGATCTGGGCAGTTGGGGAAACAGTAGATGATATCAACTCATACCTCTTTCTCCTCCCTGTCATTCATAAATAAGATACTGTTTATTCTTTATACTACATTTACAAATGGAAGAGAGTAAGCACCCAGTATTCTATTATCTTTGATAACCCTATTCAAAGCATCAGTAATTCCTGGGCAGCTAGGCTGCATCTCAAGATTTTCATGCTAAGAGAAAAACAGGTACACAAGATATAGTCCTGGGTCTATATTACAAATCATTTGTCCCATGAGCAGTAAGCGTTCATTCCTCTTTCCTTGTAAGCAAAAATTTCTTTCTTTTCCTCCTCTAGGGTTCAAATGACTTTAACACAGAAAGCCCTAGAATCCTGAAGGCAGAGATTTGCACAGGTTTGCATTTTTTAAAGATGATTTAAAGGTTATACCATGAATGAGAAAACTGGACTCCTGTAGGAAGAGACAAAAGGGACAGCAACCACAGTTCATCAAGAACATACAGAGCCTGGGCAGAACAACTAAAGGGAGGGGACAGATATGAAAAACAAAGAGCTGGGGAGATGCCTGCGGGCTTTAAGCAAAGTAAAGCCCAAGGGGCTCTGAAGTTTCAGACTTGAGTACAGGACAGACAGTACTCCTTATGATCAAGTAGAGAATGCATGAAAATGTGCAGCTTCAGGAAAAGGGCTGAGGGCAGCATTTTTTAGTAAGCCTAGGAGGTAGATTAATTACATGAATTTTGTATCCAACAGTGAGAATCATCTGCTTGAAAGAGAGAATTGTACTCCAAGTAGTGGCATTGCTCAGAGGCATCACAGTGAGAGAGGGCTCAGGAGGGAATCCAAGATAGCACACTGCCTTCATGAGCATGAAGAGTCAAAAATGTGACCTGAACAACAAGGACAGACACCACCGTACACTCATAGAGGAAGGGATCTTGGAAAGCGAGGCAGGAGGGAAATCCCAGGCAAACATGCCAGTCAAGGGCGGAAACACAGCTGAGCAGGCAGAAACGGAGAAGAAGCAACAGATACTGGAAGTGCAGTGAAAGTGCTTCACTGGGAAGAAAAGATGATTGAAGAAAGCTGAAGAGAAAGTGCATATGAATACTCCTGGGAGGATACCATCTGTGAAAGGAAAAGGAGCCCACAACAACAACGCCTAAGGAAGAACAAAAGATTTTCAGAAAGCTTGCCAATGTCAAAAGACAGAGATAGTGAGCAAATTCACATCACGAAACAGAAGAAACCACTTCTGTATATTATGGCAGAGAGAGGCCTGATGGGATGAAATCCTCAGGAGAGGGGACAAAAGGACAGGAGGACAGCAGTGCCCTAGGACCACGCAAACACTCTCTTTTATTTTTTTTAAAGATGTATTTATTTTTATTTGACAAGCAAATTTTACAGAGAGGAGAGACAGGAAGACAGAGATCTTCCAGCTGCAGGTTCACTCCCCAATTGGCCAAAATGACCACAGTTGAGCCAATCTGAAGCCAGGAATGAGAGCAGCATTTTCTGGTTCTCTCACAAATGTGCAGGTGCCCAAAACAGGAGCCATTCTCCATTGCTTTCCCAGGTCCTACACAGGAAGCTGGATCATAAATTGGAACCCATATTGGATGCCAATGCCGAAGGATGGGGATTAGCATTCTAGGCTACAATGCTTGCATCAGCATGTCTCTTTCAATAGGCCAGGCAAGAGAAAGGATGGGAAAATGCAAAGCAAAGGATGATAAAATGATGTTGTCTTTGTCGATACTATTAGTTAGTTGGTAAAGAAACTCATCTTAGTAAGCTAAGATATGGAGACTAGAACCCTACAGAAACATTAACAAAGCTATGAACAATGTCATGTAAGCCAAATGCCTTGTCTTTGCTTTTGCTGAAATAGATGTTCCTCTTTTGTGGTCTCTCATTGAAAGTTGAGCCTTGCACTTAGCTCTACTATAATTACTATTTATATATTTGAGAAGAATGCGTCACAACTTATGGTCTTGCCTCTTTAATTCTCTGAGTAATAGAGCAGCTGGTATTGTAGGTGAGTTCTTTATGTATAAAGAGGAAGAACAGGTGATGGTAGTACTGGAACTTTCTCTAAGGTCTCTAAACACATAGCTAAACTGGGTCCACTTCTCTCTAATCACTCAAACACTCATCTGAGCTCCCAAACACACCTGAGAAGTTAGGTAGTCAGGGAGAAGGACAAAATAAGAGAACCAGCCATGGTACCTATACTTTTCAAAAATGTCTATAATGTGTTCAAATACTTCTATGTACATATTTTTATGGGAAAAAAAAGGAAATCTGGTAATAGGATGTTTATTGTACAAAACAAACTTGATATGAAAAATAAGTATTAAAAAGAGAAAAAATGGGCAAGTGTTCATGGAAAGGTTCAAGCTTGATCAAAGTGTATTATAAAATCCCAAAAGCACAATATTGACGTTTAAAAAAAAATCTTATGGAGGCCGGCAAAGTGGCACAGTAGGGTCAGACATTGTCTGCAATGCCAGCATCCTGTATCAGTGCTGGCTGAGGTCTGGCTGCTCCACTTTCAATCCAGCTCTCTGGTAAAGGCACCTGGGAAAAGGCAGAGGATAATACAAGTGCCTGGGTCCCTAGCACTCGCATGGAAGATGGGGATGGAACTTCAGGCTCCTGGCTTCAGCCTGGCCCAGTTCTACACACGTGACCACTTAGGAAATAAACCAAAGAATGGATGATTGTTATGTCTCTTCTTCTGTAATTGTGCCTTCCAAATAAATAAATAAAATCTTAAAAAATTAAAAACTCATACACAGGGCCAACACGATAGCATAATGGTTAAGACCTTCCCTTGAAAGTGCCGGGATCCCATATGGGTGCTGGTTCTAATCTCGGCAGCTCCACTTCCCATCCAACTCCCTGCTTGTGGCCTGGGAAAGCAGTTGAGGATGGCCCAAAGCACCCATGTGAGAGACCTGGAAAGAAGTTCCTGGCTCCCGGCTTCTGATCAGCGCAGCACCGGCTATTGTGGTCACTTGGGGAGTGAATCACTGGAAGGAAGATCTTCCTCTCTATCTGTCCTCCTCTCTCTACATCTGCCTTTCCAATAAAATAAATAAATCTTATATAAAAAAATAGAGACTCACACATGTACCAGCAGGCAGAAAATATTACATGTTTAACAAGTTATTTTTCCACACGATTCATGAAGAAGAGAACGTTAGAACAAGGCTTTCAAAATTGATTTAAAGGGACCAAGCTTGTCTTGGCTTTACTTTTCACAGTCATAAGTAGGATGCATTATAGAGGACAACAAAGAACATTCAGTGCCAATCTGCCACAACGTGAAGAGGAGCATAACCTAGCACTAATTACCTGCACACTTCTTACAGATGACAACACAGAGATTGATGGACGCCCAGTCGGGATCTGGAGCCTTGCAATCTGCACAGCTCCTGTTGGATTCATTGAACCAGATCTTCTCGGCTACTTCATAATCAGAGAGAGTTTCTGCTATTGATTGCTGCACAGCTTCAATCCAGTCTTGTTTCTCTTGTTCAGACTCTGCTGTAAAGCTGAAACAATTAACGCTTCTGCATTATTGATCTCCCTTATAAAGGTCAATTAAGCAGCATGCTCGGTTTGCATACTCATTTCACTCACAAACTAAACAGTAGCGGAAAAGAATACCTTCCGGAGAGATCGGGGTTGTCTTTACTGTTAAAAATCATCTAATTTACCAAATCCTTTCTTTTTTACTTTTTTAGTTTTCTATACTGCTTATGACTTTGTTCGTATAGTTTAACCAAGATTAACACGTTTTTCTAATCAGGACAGAAAGGATTGCTTTGTTAAATCAAAAGCTTAAATGAGGGACCAATGCAGTGGTAGAGTGTGCTAATCCTTTGCCTGCTGCACTGGCATCCCTTATGTGTACGGGGTGCAGTCCCAGTTGCTCCACTTCCCATTCAACACCCTGGGAAAGTAGGGGGTGAAAACCTCAAGTTCTTAGGATCCTGCACCCACATGGGAAACAGAAACAATCTCCTGGCTCTTGGTTTCGGAGCAGTTCAGCCATTTGAGGCCACTGGGGGAATGACCCCAGCAAACTGAAGACCTCTCTATCTCTCCTTCTCTCTCTGTAAAAGTTGCCTCTCAAATAAAAATAAATCTTACAAAAATACTAAAATAGAGACTATAGTTCCACAACAATGATTATTAATGCAATCAATAAGAGACTGGCATAGTTTCAGGACTACAGCAATATCTTGCCAACTAATCAGGCCACAAGAGTCAAAAACTTGCTCCATAAACTGATTTTTTTTAAGATTTAAAAATATATATATTTTTTAAGTTAGAAGAACATCCATATGGTTTTAAGAAACCGAGAAATCAGGAACATTTTTAAGTGATTGCTTTTCTAACAGATTTCTAACTCATTTTTAGACCTGTTCAGATGTGTTCAGATTCTGAGTGTGCATTAGGTGTTTAATTAAAGAGATACAACTTCAAAACAATACTTCACCTCCAAGAGCCATTTACTAGTATCTACAATAAACTAGCAAATCCGTTGTGGTTTACATTCAGTGCCCCCCAAAAATTCTCACTCACACTAAAATGTTCCAAAGAAAAGAATGCTTTAAAATATATCAGTGCTTCAGAAAACCTATGAAAATTTTGAATTAAAACATGTGTTCCTTGTTGCCAAATGTCCTGAAATCCTTGCTGTGTTTGTTTATAACACACAGTTTCCAACTGGTTTACATGTAAGCCAACATATTAATGGACAAGATGGACTGTATGTTTGAAATATTATATAATTTCATTGCTATTCTAGTGTTAATACACTCATTGACTGTGTTCAGTTCTCTCCAACGATACAGTTAAGGCCAGAATCTGCAAACAAACAAATACAGCTCATTGTGCTTCAAGTGATCATTTTTCTCCCGACTCTGGCCACTGGACATAATCCAACACACACAAATATGTAACAGGTCTGATAACATTTTTTTACATTGTTAATCCATTATTAGTCTTTCAAAGTCTTAGAAAAATAGCCTGTGATATACACACCACTGTATTATGTTCACCATTTGTGATAAATTAACATGGTTGAACTCATAAGAGAACCATTTATGCAACCTGTATACTCAAGCTATGGGAAACATAATAGGACATTAAAATACATTAAGTACCTTAAATTTTCTGTTTTCTTGTTATAATGATTCAATTACTAAACTGTTTGTCACAAGATCTATAAGATAATGCTAAAATATCTGAAGCAGATAGTACTATGAGGTCCATTAAATTCAGTACAATTCCAAGTTGGGCTCCCTGAAAGAAACTCTGAAGCAGCTATAATTAGATAAAGCTTAAAGGAAGGAGTACATTTGATGGGCCTAAGAAAGAGTAAATAAAGTGCCAGTGCCATGGCATAGCTGGTTAAGCTTCTTCCAGGAACAACCCAAATGGGCACTGGTTCGAGCCCCTGCTGCTCTACTTCCAAGCCAGCTCACTGTTAATGGCCTGGTGCTTGGGCCCCTGCACACAAGTGCGACACCCAGGAAAAGCTCTTGGATCCTAGCTTTGAATCCATCCAGCTCCCGTCATTGCTGCCATTCGGGAAAAGAACCAATGCATGCCCTTATCTCTCCATTACAGCTCTGCCTATCAAAAACAGTAAGGAAATCTTTAAAAAAGAAAATGTAAATAATAACACAATGATAATACAGCATCCTTTTTTATTGTCCTCCTTCTGAATATGGAGGAATCTGACACATATTTGCTGAGAAAAAAAATTAATACACTAAGTCCACTAAGAAGAAATAGCAAGAACAGACACAACCCATATTTCATGTGAAAAATATTTTTTCCAGGTTACTCAGGTCACTTTTACAAGCTATTTTAATATGCTGGCTAAAATTAGAGAAGAAATAATTTGGAAAACAAATAATTTTAAGTATCTCACAAAGAGATATATGTCACCATGACCAAAATAAAATCAGACTGCCCCAAATACTCTTGTAGTTACATAAACACAAAATGTTTAAAATTAGCTTACCTAAAACTCCTATAGGGAGTGATTATCTCAAATGATTGTTTTACAGTTTTGTCCACTTGTTTTACATTTGCCACATTCATAGGAATGACAGTAATGCCCAGTCCACTCTTAAAATCCTAGTTTGAGAAAAAACACAAAGAAAATTATTTTAGAAAGTGGGTTTTGGGAGTCAGCGTTGTGGTGCATCAGGTAAACCCAGCACCTGTGTCAGCATCCTATGCAGGTATTGATTCCTGTCCTAGCTACTACACTTCTGATCCACCTCCCTGCTGGTGTCCTGGAAAAAAACAGCAGAGGATACCCTAACTGTACCACCCCTGCCAATATTTGGGCTTTACCAAGCACAAGGAAGACCCATAAGGAAGTTCCAGGTTCTAGATTTTGGCCTAGTCCCAACCACGCAGTTACAACCATCTAGAGAGTGAACTAACGTGTACAAGAGCTTGCTTGCTCTCTCTTGTTCTCTCTCTCTCTCTCTCTCTCTCTCTCTCTCCTTTCCACAGTAGCACTTCCAAAATAAACAAATCTTGTAAAAACTTGATTTTGAAATTACAATTTGCATTTTCTAAAATTCAGCAGATCCTATGAAATCTTACTACACATACATATATGTAATGAATTCATTAGAAGATGGATTGAGAATTTTTTTTTTCTCATTTTAGGACATCCTTTTCAATACAAGATAACATACATGGCATTCTACCTTTAGCAGTAGGGATATGGGTAGAGTAAGGATTTCTGTGACAGATAAACTAACTGGACTATAGATACTTGCTTTTCAAAATAGGAATTATATTTGCCCTCATGTACTCAATAAAGGAAATCACCAGTTAGGCTCGACCTAGGTACAAGAGTTCCCACATGGGGGAATAAATGACATGGTGAGCTCAGCATAATTACTGTTCATGTAGAAAGCTGGGACTGAGACTCAAGGACATAATGTTAGAAATTGAAGCCAAATTTTCTCTTTGTTTTCTGATATGAAATTACTTCTGTTCTGTCATATACTTTTTATATTTTAAACAAAAGCACTGCTTTTTTGGTGAAGCTATAATTTCATCACATTCCCAATATTGTATTACTCTTCAATTCCTTCTTCAGATTCTTAAGGCTCCTAGAATACTAATTGGGTTTCTATGAAAACTACCTTTTGCTTAACATCCTTACCCACTGTGTTCACATTCTCTGGAAAAAAATGGTTGACTATCCAAAAGGCTACAAATAAACTTCATTGTAACAGCGTGAAGTTTGTGTGATCTCCTTGCAGGATTTTGAGAATTTAACTAAGGAATCTCAACACTTTATAAAATATAATCCATTATCTCAAAATGAATGTTATTACACAGTGAATTCACATACCATGTATGGAATAATCACACCATATCAAAGTTGAGTATGTACAACTATTATGTGTCAACTTGTTTTACAAAAATGAGTTACCCTAACAATAGAGTCTTACTAAAAGTATTCTGAAATCCTACATTGTCATCAGGAAAAATTACAAACACTGTTTGGATGTTTCCAGTAGGAGATTATGAAGAAGCAGTACACCTATCTCCTTTGCTGTATAGGTTACAAGTGCTATTTTTCCATATCCCTGACCCTTAAGCACAGTCATGTACTGCAGTTTTAGTTTTGGTACTATGACACCTGTAACTCTGGATAGGGGGAGGGAGGGAGGCAGCACAGGGATAGGGCAGGACAATCTCAGAGGCAAAAGGCCATTCACCCTTTCCTCCTTCCTAGCAAATAACTTCTAGAAATCCAGAGGCTGTTTCAGTGTGTGAGAATCCTTGAGATGAGACATTTCAGGACAAACTTTCATGTCAGAGCATTAAAAAGGAATCCAAGAACTCTATTCCCTTCTAGTATTAACTTTCTCCTGCCTATGTGATTTATTAAAATAATCCTTTTCCATTTGAACCATTCTTTTGAGCTTTTGTTGTTTAACATTAATATACTCATGAGTGGTAAAGTAAGTGAGATAAGACATTTTGAAGCAAATGTCCTCCTACTCACACAGGTATTGACTGTCATAACCTGTGAAAAAGCCTATCTTGTTTTTTTAAAAAAAAAAATAGACAATTTTAATTAACATAAGAATATGACTTATTTAGAACAAAAATCAACTGAATGTTTTTTTTCCCCTGAGGAGAGAATAAATGGCTCATTTATTAGCATATACAAATCAGAAAGTGAGAATCATGATATAAAAGATGCAGAGAAATATTGAGTGTTATGTAGAGCAGAAGTATTCCACTTCCACTTCCTATACTTAATGGAATCTATAAGGACAGACAGGAAATCACACTTTCCTAAGCATCCACACTTAACAAGCTATAGCATGTCAGCACATGGCCACAGTTACAACAACTCATTAAATTCAAACCAAATTCCCATTAATACAGGCCAGTGCTACTCATGAATTAGGTAATCAGTGCATTAACCACCCCACCACTCCATGCCTAGTTTATGTCACCAAGAACCCACGCTTGTCTTTGTAAAGGAGGCAGTGGTAGGGGTAGCAAGACAAATATCTTTAAAACCACTTTCTGATGGCTCACCTTGAGCAGGGATAAACCCTAATATAAAATACATGGGCTTCTCGTCCTTCAAACAATTCTCCATAATGAGACTTTTGACAAGAGCTGGGTATCAGACCATTCTAGGCTAGATTCTGTGATAGGGGCCTGACCTGCAAGTATTGCCAGTTACTAACGGCAGAGGCTTCAAGCACTTTCACCATCAGACTAGCAGATGGCAAGCATGACAACCTTTTATGGAAACGGATGAGGCTCATCAAGGTTACTGCTTCAATAGATACGGCTTCATCTCTACAAGCAAGAGTTGAAGCGTCCATTTAGAAGGCTGTAATTTCTGTTAAAATAAGTACGGGCCAACTACATACCCCAAATTTCTCCCATGCACAGCAAAGATAGTATTTTTTAGGTCTGGAAAATTGTATCCCATTCATCAGCTGCTTGCCATGGCCATATGGTTTTGAGTAATTATACTACCCACAGTGCTCACCAGCACAAATTGACTGTAAAATATACACCAGTGTTACAAAATAAATGCCAGTGCTCTCGAGAGCTATTAAATATGAAACAAGTGCATTTTCTATTAAAAATATTTTTGGAGACATTATGCCACTTTTTCAAAAGCATTTAGGGCATGTTTAGATTCTGTCCCACATGTTCATTGAAATCACCTGGAGTAACATCTCACCCCACCCTGAGATTCTAGTTCCACAAAACTGAGCACAGAATCTAGGAATCTTCAATTGATAGGTCTCTGACTCTCCTGTGTGACCAGCACTGAGACATACAAAACTACCTTAGATAGCAAGAGCAGTTGGAGAATTTAGAGGGTATGTCTCTGCAATAGCTAAACAGCAGAACACTAACATTCCTGTTTGCCTTTTTTTTTTAAAGATTTATTTTTATTATGTTTTTATTGGAAAGGCAGATATACGGAGAGGAGGAGAGACAGAGAGGAAGATCTTCCATCCGATGATTCACTCCCCAAGTGAGCGCAACGGCCAATACTATGCCGAGCCGAAGCCAGGAGCCTCTTCCGGGTCTCCCACGCGGGTGCAGGGTCCCAAAGCTTTGGGCCGTCCTCGACTGCTTTCCCAGGCCACAGGCAGGGAACTGGAAGGAAAGCGGGGCTGCCGGGATTAGAACCTGCGCCCATATGGGATCCCGGGTGTGCAAGGTGAGGACCTTAACCACTTGCGCCACCGCGCTGGGCCCCCTTTTTGCCTTTTATTGAAGTTTAAAAAGAAAAAGCATTCAATCGGGATATGTAAAAAAAAAAATTCTGAGTCACTAATACCATTGATTAAAAAGAAGCAGACCAGAACAAAATGGCACGTTAAGATTATCAGGATTATATTTGTCCTCAGTGCAAACGTCTGCATCCAGAGGTTTTAAAAGCAATTACCCTCATGAAGCATCAATACTCCTTCAATTATTCTGAATATCTATTTGTACACTGCTCTGAAATTTATAAACACTTGGGAACTCTCATGTGATTTTTTGAATAATTCTGAGTAGGCAGAAGATCTAGAAAAATTTCTCCTAATCAAGTCACATTTATTCATGGCCTAGTCTGTGCTAAGTTCTCACACTGAACAAAAGGCTATGACAGAGTACCTGTTCTGGGAAGGATCATAATCTAAGCAGGTTAAATGTGTGAAAGGTATGAAATGAAGCAAAAAGACTTGGTTGAGGGGGAAGTATTGAATCCAGTACAGAAAATGACAGCAACATTCATAAAATGCTTTCCAAAGGAGGTGACACTTGATTGCTTTATGCACAAAATGCAGACTCTCTTAATGTTTGGGTTCACCTCTTTGGCTCCAATTCCTTCTTAAGCAAGCACATATATTTACAACATCTTAAGTAAGTACGTATTATATCTACAACATCACTTTGTTGAAGATGAAGTCAATTTGGTTAAAAAAAAAAGCTTAAATTGGACAATTTAACTATTGTTATCATTCCTTAAAATGTTGTGTCTTTTTAAAATTTTTTGGATTTGGGCTCAACTGAATGTATTACCTAATAAAAAGGTAATTATAAGAAAATGTATATCCCCAAATAACCAAGAGGTAAAACCATAAAAAATAGAACAAGATGTGAATGCTAAACATTAAAGCAAGTTAAAAATAAATTTCACATTAACTACTGCATGATCATGAGCTTTATTCTCATCCTGAGAAACAGACCTGAGCCAGGCACAACTGGGCTTTAAGAGGCTATAAACTATATTGAGTAGACAGTAATGCAGAATTTCAGTGTCTAGAGCTATATTTTTATAGCGAGTACAAAGCAAAAGCTGGATTCTGGAGTATTGAGCACTGTTTTACATCTAATGCGTTGAATGTAGCGGCACCCAGGCTTGATTCAGCAGATCGGAACACACCCAAAGGGGCAATGCACAGCAGTGTTACGTCTCAGACCCGGCAGAACAATCTTGGTAAGCTTTTTCCTGATTGTCTATAAGCCCAGTTTACCAACGTATCTAGACACCAATGTTCTCATTTACCAAAAGGGAATGACATTCATCTTACATAGCAATTAAATGCAACTTGAAAAATAAGGCATCTGAA